AAGTGTAAGTCCATCTGCAATTGCATCTCCGATTTTTTTGAGATTTTTTTTTCTTATAGTACTAATTGAGATTAGCTTCCATGAATTTTTTCAAATTTTTTTATCAAGCCGTTTTCGAGTTATGGAATTTTGAAAATTGGAGAATTTTCATGACTTTTAATTTTTGAATGCTCATAACTTCCTTAAAAATGCATCAATTTTAAAAGTCTTTTTTTTTAAATGTGTGTTTTAAATGTACTTTTCAAATTTTTACAATATTTTCGAAATTTTTCAAAAATATTTTTGATTTTTTTTATACTACGTACTTTTAAGTATTTTGATGCGCTGATTACGAAAATAACCTATCATTTTTTGCTTCTTAGAGGTCACTTTCTTTAAAACGCATTACATATATATACACTATTAACAAAAAGTAATATTTAGTTTTTGAATTTTATTCCTAGTCCATAAAATTTTGAGCTACATTAATTCTATCTTGAACCTGCCCAGATAGCACGTAAGTTTGCAGCAACCTTGCGGCAAGCATCAAATGTCCCACTTGACTCAAGCTTGCATAGTAAACTTACAGAAAGATTGCAGTGTAAGGTTACTGCAAGATTGCACAATAAGATTTTTGCAAGATTACTCAGTAAGCTTGCACGGTAAGTTTTGTAGCAAGGTTGGTGCAAAGTTGCCAAATAACTTTGCTTTAAACTTAAATTTTTTTTTAATGTTTTGTTTAATTTATATAATAAAAATTATATAATAAAATTGTATAAATTAGACGAAACATTAAAAAAAAGTTTTTTTTAGGTTCAAAGTAAGGTTATTTGGCAACCTTGCACCAACATTTCTACAAGCTTAATGAGCAATCTTGCGATAATCTTATTGTGCAATCTTGCAGTAAACTTACTCTGCAATCTCTTGGTAAGCTTATCATGCAATCGTGGGTTAGGTGGGACATTTGAAGTTTGCAGTAAGCTTGCGGCAAGTTTGCCATGCAAGGTTGGCAATATTGCGCGACAAGCTTGCTGCGCTATCTGCGGGTGCATTAACTCTGAATTGTGTATCTATATAACGGACGGACTGACGGACATCTAAAAGTAACAAACTTGCACTATATAATTTTTTTGTAAGAATGCTTTTAATACATTCAGAAAAAAAATAAATGTTAAGTTTTTTACTTTTTCTTTAATTTCAAAATAAAATATTTCTTATACATATATTAATTATTTTAAATCATTTTTACTTCCATATAAGCTTTTATTAAAAAAAATATATATATATATTCTAAAATTGAAATAAATTCTTATTTTATTATACTGATGTGAAGAATAAATTCTATTAAAATATTCTAAAATGCATATCAGGTATATTTATTTTCAATTTTAGAATATTTTTTACATGTAAAAAAATTGAAATACTGCTATCGAAACCATATTCATTAAAAAATGAATTATGTACATAACAATTAAAAAAGAAAGCTTTCAAAAAAAATTTATTTACTACAATTATTTTCCATTTTTCAATATTATAATAATAAAAATTCAATTCAATTCGTCAAAAAGCGAAAAATGGTAAATTTGGAATAGTGTAAATCTTAAATTTTTAATCATTGAAATCTCAAATTTAAATAAATTGAAAAAAAATAATCTAAAACAAGAATAAATTTTATTTTAAATATCAGGTCGAATTAAAATGAATTAAAATTTAAAAATTTTTCAAGGTATATAGGAAAAGAGGGTCTTAAATTCAATTATATTATGAAGAATGATAACAATAACTAGGAATTTAAGATTAATTAACGATATAGATAAATATGAAATGAAAGTCAATCAGTGCAAGTTTATGAAAATACAAGAAAGACTGAATAATATATTACACAAGCCCGATGAATCTAAAAGCAAACTAAATATTATAATATAATAAAATTTAATTGAAAATCAGCCATATAATATTAGCCATGAACAAAATGAATGGTAATTTTTAATTTGCCGTAATCTATTGTTAAACATTTATGTAGTCTTCTTAATCCGTATATAAGTTTGATATATATAGATAGTCAAAGTCCTATACATGTCTAACTCTGTAAAACTCTGTACATATACAGTGACGCAGCTTCCTTATATACTTATATAAATATAATGTAATATATAAAATACTGGTGTACTTAGATAATATAATTATTGAAGGGGAATTATCAATATGTATATCAATATTGCATTGAAAATCTACTCTCGTCAATTTGAGACAGAGAAACGACGATTGTTGTAAATATATTGTGTGACTTCAATGTGGATGTTGTGTGGGTTCTTAACTGACCTATTCTCATCCTTTAACATAGTTATCATGGAGGAGCTCTAAGGTATGCGACTCTAAACAAACATCTCCTTTTTTATTTTTCTCAACTCTCCTATTCTACAAAACTGTTCTCAGAAAATTTCAATTTTTTTTTTTACTGTTGGCATCAGTTTGTAAAGCAAATTAACCTCTTTTTTGTTTATTGGATTATGATTTCTTCTACAAAATTTTTTGTTTTCATAACAATAATATAATTATTATAGAGTCAACTCCATTATATTTCACTTAAAGTTGTTGAGGTCTATTTTTAGAAAATTTTTTAAACTTTGTAATTTTTTTCACTAAACAGTCAATTTATTTCAATAATTTTTAAATTTAGCGCCATTATCTATAGTTTCTTGTTACATGGTTGGCCCTTGTATCCAAAGACACAATACACTGTAAAAATTTTCCCTGTAATTTTAAATACAGCCCAGATAGCACGTAAGCTTGCAGCAACGTTGCGGCAAACTTGCCGCGCAATATTGCCAACCTTGCACAGCAAACTTGCCGCAAGCTTACTGCAAGCTTAGAATGTCCCATCTGACCGAAAGATGGCTCAGTAAGCCTACCGAAAGATTGCAGTGTAAGGTTACTGCAAGATTGCACAATAAGATTATCGCAAGATTGCTCAGTAAGCTTGCACGGTAAGCTTGTTGCAAGGTTGCCAACTAACTTTGCTTTAAACGTAAAAATTTTTTTTAATGTCTCGTCAAATTTATATAATAAAAATTATATAATAATATTATATAAATTAGACGAAACATTAAGAAAAAAAAAATTTTTAGATTCAAAGTAAGGTTATTTGGCAACCTTCCAACGAGCTTAGCGTGCAAGCTTACTAAGCAATCTTGAGATAATCTTATTGTGCAATCTTGCAGTAACCTTACACTTCAATCTTTCGGTAGGCTTACTGAGCCATCTTTCGGTATGCTTACCATGCAAGCTTGGGTCAAGTGGGACATTTCAAGGCTGCGGCAAGCTTGCCGTGCAAGGTTGGCAATATTGCGCGGCAAGCTTGACGCAAAGTTGCTACAAGCTTACGTGTAATCTGGGTAAATACAATTTAATTGACTCAAATAATAATTATTTAATGTAGGTACAAATAAATATTTATTTGATAATAGTCAAGTAACCGATTATTTGAATCAAATAAATTTTTTTTCTCAGTATATTTTATGAAATCTCTGTATATTTAACCCATTTTAAATTTGAAGTTGAATTTTAACCTCGCTTAAGTTGGCGTCGATGCTAAACGGCGAAAATTGTTTTCCACAAGGCCAAAAATGATAAATTATTTTTTTTAAAGATTTTCGGTCCAAATAATTCAAAAAGAGATTTATGCAGAAAATTCATGCAAGTGAATTTTAAGTGGAATGATGATATTACAGTTTCCAAAATTCAAGGAATAAATAACATAATTTTTTTTTTAAATAGGCCGCAACTATTTAGGATGAAATATAATGGAACATAATCCTTTCCTAATGTATTTTATTGATGGAGCGAATGATTTAATACTATATGGACCTCGAAAATGACCAGTTTCTGGAGAATTATCCAAATCCACAGAACAGTATCTAAATATGAAAATTTTCAATTTTAAAAGATCTAAATTCATTCGTTTAATTATTATGTTCATTTAAAATAAAGTAGAAAATTATTGAAGGCACTGAACAAAACAAATTATTACAATAAAATTTCAAGGCAATGTTGCCGAAAGAAGATATATATATATATATCTTAAAATTAGATATATTTTATTGAAAAAATAAAATTTTTAAAATTATAATATCGATTTTCAATGATGCGATCCACACAATAATTTATTGAGTGACTGGTAAAGTGAAAGTCGTAAACCCTATAAAATTCAATACTTTTTTTTACAGGAAACTTATAAGGTAAGTTTACAGTGAATAATATATTGTGCTGTACATGCGGGTATCCCAAATCATTTCTATATACAAAGTATGAAAATTTTCTTATAAAAATGAGCCGCAACGACTTTGGGTAAAATTTCATTATACATGATCCAATAAAACATAATTATTGTCTAATAATATTTTTCCCTATTATACATAAAATTTTAATCTGTATCTTTTGTTGGATGAATAAATTAAATGATGCTGAAGTTGTGAAAATTTTTCAATATATGAAATTGCTTAATACATTGAAACTACAATTTATTAGTTAGCATTATACCATTAAATAATTCTAATATAAATTAAATTAATCTTATATTATAAAAAATAAAATTGATCATTTTTTTCCCAATCGTTTTCTTTTAAGTAAATATTATTTTAAATATGTAAATATATAATATTTTTCCTAAAAAATTTCCTATATAGAACTAATTCACTTTATAGTCTTAAATTTTATTTTAAAAATATTTTTACATTTTTTTATAGTTTAAATGCATTTAGATTTTAGTTTTTCTTTCGATAGAAACGACAAAATTGTAATAAAACTAAAATCAGTGATATGTAATCAAACATGAGTGAAAATTCTATAGAATATTATTAGAATAGGACTAGTTTTCATTTGATAAAATAGTGTTATATTTTATATCAAATTTTACAGTTATAGCATTTTGTTTTTTTTTTTCTTCTTCTGAACAAGATTTTTTTTGATTTAAAAAAAATAAATCTTGATGTAAATATTAAATAAATTTTTTTTATTTACAGGGATCATTGAGCAGAGCATTTGGTTTACGACCTAGAAGTGAAAAAGCATCACCGTCTTCTTCTTCGGATACAGGAAGTCTTGCCAGTCAATATATGAGCAGCGTGCGCAGTAATTCACCGCCTCCACCTCAACTTCCGCCACGACCAGCCCTATTGGGTGGGAAAAAGCATCGTCGAGTTAAGAGCATCGGTGACATTGAATATATAAGCAATACCATTGTCAGTACACCCGTCTGACAAGAGGGTAGGTCCCATCATTCGGGGCCTTATCGCAGTTTGAGCGAGCGTGGTTATTCCTCAGCGTCTTATTCATCTCAATATGGATCATATTCTGGTTACAGCAATGTTCCCTCAAGTGATTATTATCAATATCAAAGCTCCGGCAATGTTTATTATCAATTGCAAGGGGGATATTATTCACCTCAGAGTTCGGGTCCACCTTTTCCTGGGGTACAGAGATATGGTAGTCTTGCCGAAGAGGCTTGGCCAATATCAAAAGATGAGTCTGGTCTCTTTAAAACAAATTCAAAAACTTACTTGGCTTAATTATTTTTTTTTTCTTCTTTTAACTCGGAATGAACACTCGGAAATTAGTCATTTTAAATATTTCAAAAAATTCATCGGCTACTATTAATAAAAATTGATTTTTATATTTTCAAAAAAAAAATTCCTAACTGATAAATATTTCAAAAACTTTTTTCAATAATAAAAATTCTGTTTATTAATTATTCGAATTTACTAAGAATGAATAAATTTATTATTATCACTTGATATTTAATTATTTAAAGACGTGAAATAATATTTAAAATATGATTTTCAAGTGCACCTATCAAATAACCTAATTTTACGATTTTTATTCTTTAATTATAAAAAATAGGAAACATTCAATTAAATAAAAACATAACAAATATGAAGTTCTTGTGATAAAATTTTAGAATTTCCTTGCACTTTTCTTCTCTCTTCTTCATATGTATAAAAAAATATTTTTTTAAATAAAATAGCCACTTTCTTCATTTCCTCTATTTTTGAACGTCAATAACTTTCTTGGAGAAAAATAAAAAAATATGGGGCTTCGAAAATTATTTAAATGGACACTAAATATATATACAAACACACTAAAAATTTCGCGTTGGTCCCAAAGCTGTTTTCGAAGATAAAGCGGATTAAAATTTTCGTTTTTTTGAGATATTTGACAGATGCACTTGAAAATCATATTTTATATATTATTTCACATCTTTAAGGGCCAGTTTCACCAACTCCGGTTAAAAATTAATCAGCGATTAAATCCCTAACCGACCAATCAGGAGTGGTTAAATTGGCTTTAATCACTGATTATCTTTTAATCAGAGTTGGTGAAATCGACGTTAAATAATTATATCAAATATCAATTATTCGTCAAATAATGATTTTTTTGTCATTTTTAATTTTTTTTCTTATATATCAAGAATAAAACGCAAATTTTTTTTTTTATAAACAATAGCTTATTTTTTTTATTGAAATATTATTTACAATCGTATAATCATTTTAATATATTATTAAAATATTATTAAAATTACGATTGTATGAAAAATTGTTTCAATAAGTAAAACGAGCTATTGTTTAGAAAAAATTAGATAAGAATTGCGTTTTATATCTGAATTAAAAGAAAAAAAATTATTAATTTGATACGAAAACATTTTTGTTTCAACATTATTTTTTCTTAAAAGTGTCGATAACTATATTTAAACTTATTGATACATATCAATAATATCAAATCACAAAATATGTATACATAATAGAACGTTTTATTCAATATTTGAAAACAATTTAAAGAAAGTCGATTTTTTTCAGAATAGTAGCCGAAAAACGTCCTTAATACGATTAAATTATTTATTTATTTTCACTATAGCTTAAACAATTTTTATTGTTATTTTATTCTAAAAATTTTTTAATTTATTTTACATATTTATTTACATTGTAATCATTTATCATAAGGGTTTTTTGAGAAAATTAAATTTTTTCGATTTTTTTTTTAATTGTTAATTTTTTATTTATTGCATTATTATTTTAAACAAATGTCTTTTTTATATATGTAATAAATTGAAAGTTTTTTTTTATTTAATATTAATGTAAAAAAAAGTATTATATTTAAAATTAAAATTTACATACTTTAATTTATTTTAAATTGTAAAAATTCATATAATGAATTGAGAATTCTTATGGAATTTAAAACTGATTTTAAAAAAACATTGATAGGCAAAAGATGAATTTCATTCATTCTTATAATAAGTCTGACTTTGATCCGTGAAGGAAAAAAAAATTTGTACAATTATTGTTTAAATTTTTTTTTTATTAATAATTAATATCAATTTTTTTAAAGATGATCAATTATTATCTTACTTTTGATATCTGTCGAAATTGCGAAAAATTTTTGTTTGGAAAATATTTTGGAAAGTCAGATGTTCAAGTTAAATGATTAATCTTATCTTTAAGTTCGTTAAAAGCTGCGTAGCTTTTTTTTAATATTCGTGGTTTTATTGTTGAAATTTTAGGTAGATAATAATTTATTATTTATATGAGTAATTTGGAAAATATCTATTTTCCATCGAGTTAACATATATTTCAAATTCGTCAAGTTCGATATTATATAAATTATTAAATTATATTTCGGTAAACGTAATTTTGGTACAAATCTGGCGGTATCAAGTGTATCATCAGGAAAAGTGAGGCAACGAATTTAGTAAGTTGTTTTAGAAAAAAAAAAGATATAGGTAGGACAAGAGAAAATAATTGATATTAATTCCAAGAACTGAATATCAGAACAGATTTGATATATTTCGCGAATAGTTCTATAGATAGCGAAGACTCAATTTTCGACAGGGTTCCACTTTCCATTATAGAAGTGATGTTTACAGAAAATATATATATATACAATTTTAGTGATGGCAACGTAGAAAAAATTTAATTTTTAAAAAATGATTTGTCCATAAAGTAAACAATTTAAAGCTTGGGACCAGATTTTCCTGAATATTAACAGTCTCAATTAGACCAAAAGAAAAAAAAATATCTCGATTTGAAACAAAAGTAGTAAATTCAATAAATTTATTGAATTTTTTGTGTCAGTTAAAATTTGAAGTAACAACTGAAATATTGACGAATTTATTATATTTTCCTCTGTGTTGAATTCTTATAACAATACTGCCAACATTTTTAAAGAAAGTCACTATTTATATTTTTTAAATTAATTAAGGTCTAATATTATTTTAAAAATTAATTAATATTTTTTATTTTGCACGCAGAAAAAAAAATTATGTTCGTCTCAGAGTTAAATAAATATTCATCCTATTTGTTTCAAATAATTTTTGTGTCAAAAAAAAAAAAAAATGTTAACAAATAATTATTTATCTTTGAGACAAATTGTTTTTTAATAATTAAATTCAAATAAATTGTAATTTGGTTCGTTTAAAAAAAATTAGATATTGTCTTTCTTCAAATTTATAGCAGAATACATATTACATATTCTTGGTTTTTTTTTTTAAATTTTGTTAACTGTATTTACCAGCATTTTTAATAATAATAGACTTTAAAAAATAGGTTGTGAAATATTTGACTGTCTTTTGTTACAGAAATAAAGACTTTGTTACAATTATATTTTATAAAATATAATAATAATAATGTTTAAAATTTTTTATTTAACGACTGTTCTATATTTTAAAATATAATACATACACTTTTGTGTTAAAATTCAATTTCGTAAATTTTTCAAAGTTTTCATATTCGCTACTAATTCTCTCTGATATATTATTATTACTATTATTATTATTTTTTTATTATTATTATTATTATTATTATTATAATAATAATTATTATTATTGACAAAATAATCCTATTATTTAAATATATGTAAACTTTGTCTGTATTTATGATGATATATGTATAAATGTAAAATCGAGTATTTTAGGACAAGTTTGAAATTAAAAAAAAAGAAGATAATAAACAATCAATGATTAATAAAAAAAATTTCGTAAATAGAAAAGAAAAGAATTACACAATATAGATTCATTGTTCATTGTAAATATATAGTAATGATAAAGAAAAAAAAAGCGTTACATTCCACTTGCTTTTGTCATAATAAATTTGACAAAAAAAAATATTAATATAAATTAAATATGGATAGCAAAATGACAAAATACTCGAAAATAAAAATATGTTGACAATGGAAATACATTTTTCTGCAGATATATTTTATTCCCTTAAAAAAAATAAATGCAGGCTCGGATTTTAGATCTTTATGCCTATATATATATAGAATTAATATATATAAATTATATATAAACATATACATCCCGATACAAATCTAACAAGCATATCAAAAATTGTTTATTAAACAGATTTTGATACGGATTTTTACTTTATAATTTTTGAGACTATGTTATAAAAGAAAAAAATCAGATTTGAAAAAAAGTATAAAAAAAAAAAAAAAAAAATGTTAATAAAAAATTTCTCTAAAACCGAACCTGCAAAAGTGCTTCCGCGTGTTACTGCTAACCAAACATATTCATATATATGGCTAAAATGGCCAAATTATCTCTTCCCAATCCTGTGTGACTATATTTACATATATATCACAATATCTGCATTTATAGAGATAAACAATACATCAAATATTTAAAAAAAAAAAATAAATAAAATTAACGTACAATATTAAAAAAAAAAAAAAAAAAAAAAGATCAGCGTTAACATTGCAATCACTACCACAATGTATTATTATTTATAAAACTTGTAATTAGTGATATATAATGAAGTAAACCAGAATTGTCGAATAAAAGAATTCGATTATATTTAAAGAAAAAATATTTTCATCTCTGAAAAAAAAAAAATTCAGCCTACTTTGTATAAAATGTGGCGAAAAATAAAATAAATATATATATATATTAAAAGAATATTTATACTCAAAAAACGAAATGAGTATGTATTTAAAAAGAAATGTATAAATGTTCAGCTTTTTTTTGTGACAAAATGCATCCGAATGAAATTTATTACTATGTCATAAAAGTTCAATTGTAAAATTAAATTTATGTATGTAATTATATTTTTTGTTTTTGAACGCGTAACAGACAGTAAAAAAAAAGAGAAAAAGAATGATTTTGTAGATAAATTAATAATTTAATTTAGTATATTTATTCAAATTTAGAAGTAATTAAAATTTTGTCATTTTCATATATCTAAATGCAAGAAATAGTCCAAATTATTAAATTAATTTTTTGATGTTTCGTATAACATAATTGGTCAAAAAAAAGTATTATCGTCATTTTATGTAAATAAACAGACGGATTAATACGTAAAGTATATATATATTGTACTTGCTTTAAAATCTAAGTAATTTATTCTGTTGAATTGACTTAGATTTAATTTTTGTATTTATATTAAAAAAATAAAAAAAAAATGATGTATAATACATTATATAAAATGCGAAAACTACATGCAAGCACAGGGTTTCTGTGTCTCACCTACAAAAAAAAAAAAAAAAAAAACCCTTCGTTTTGCTTTGATAAATAATGTATATATACGTAATATTGTGTGAGATGTACGTAATATCTGAAATAAAAAATAAACTAATTGCCTTCAAATTGATTCTCAGTGTTAGTTTTCTATTTTTATGTATTAAAAAAAAAAAAAAAAAAAATATAAAAATTTATACCCTTTAAAGAGTATATGGTAAAAAAAAAGTTTTAATGAAATTCTTTTTTTCTTAATACTTTATAAATAGGGTTTGTCAAACTTTTGTAATTCTAAATAAATAAACTTTTTGGAATTTCAAAAAAAAAATTTGTAGAAAAATTTGAAAAGGAATTTTAAAAAAACTTAAATATTTAGAAAATGAAAAGAAAATGAAAATTTAAGGTAACAGAAAGTATTAAAAAGGAAAAAAACATATTTTAAAATAAAATTCTCGGTTTGATGAATGGCTAATTCCTGTAATTCCCATTTCACTGTATAGACACAATGATTTTTAATTATATTTTTTTTTTCTAAAAACCAGTTAAATTACAACTAAATTGAATTAGTCACTTTTAAATTAGAATATTTTTTAATGAATGTAATATTTATAATATTAAAATTATCTAACTATATATTTTTTTGAATTTTTGAAACTATAACTTATATAGTGGAATTGTTAATAATAAAAACTTCCCTAACCTTTAGAGAAAAAGTAAAGAAATATATATTTTTATTTCCCTAAAATTAAAAATATTATCAAAGTAAATGAATTTTATTACTTTTAAATTTCATTTTAAAAAAAGTCAAGTAAATATAATTACTTTAATTATTATTTATTTTGTAAACAAAATTTTAGTTTCTTTAATTTCTATTCAGGTATTGGTAACACTGATCATAAAATGACGTTTCGTTGGACACGTTGCATTCAAGTGCCACACATAGGCAATGGTATGCGCATGCGCTTCTTACGTCGTCACCACTTGTCAATTTCTAGTTCATATAATTCTCTCATAAAACTCTCCACGAGTACTTTAGTTTTGCTTTCAAGAAGTTTAATTTAACTTTAGTTTAACACAAATAACGAGACGAAGAAAATAAAAAATGTCTGGAAAATCAAAAGCATTTACTAAAGAAGAGGAACTTTTACTTCAAGATTTCTCAAGAAATGTTTCAACAAAATCATCTGCATTGTTTTATGGCAATGCTTTTATCGTATCGTCAATTCCCATCTGTAAGTAAATATATTATTAATTCTAACAATGCTCAGCATCAATTTTTAAGTTATTAGAAAGATAAGTTTATAAACATATTGTTTTCATTAAATAAACTATCTTTTTAAGTCATTATCTCTTGGATTACATTATTTTTTTGGAGTATAATTTAAGGTTAGGTTTATTATAACATTTGTAAATATTGTTAAATATATAATATTATTTATATACAATATAAGAATTATATTTTTAAATTATTTATTAATGTATTTTCATATTGTTATTTTTTTAACACAATTTAATATTTTTAATTGTTTATTCAATTTATAAAAATAAAAAAACATTACATATCTTTAAGTATTTTATTTAGAATTAAAAAGCTGCTATTATAATTAAATTACATTGATTTCAGGGCTTTTCTGGAGGATACATCTTATTGACTTGTATGCAAATTTGATTTCATTCGTCCTTGTGACTTTAGCAAGTACATACGCGCTTGCAGTTGCTTACAAAAATACGAAATTTGTCTTAAAACATAAGGTGATTATTTAATTTTTTTTTAATGAAATATTTTCATTGTATTACATGGAAAAAAAAGTAATTTCTTAAATTTTACAAAATTTTTTGTATTTTTATACAACAGTTAATTTTGTGTGATTTACAAGAGTTTTATAAAGTTTCAATACAAAATACCCAATTTTTAAAATTTCATATACTTAAAATAATTTTATATTTTGTAATGAGCTGTTTGAAAATTTTGCAAAACTTTTTTTTTGTAAATCACACAAAATTGAAATTTGTAAATTGAATAATTGATATATCAAGGAGAAGCAATAAGTTTTGTAAAATTTAATTTAAGTCTCAAAATAAGTGAAAACAGGCACTTAAAATATTTTCGTTTCCGTTTTTAAAGTTGTTTTACGAAGCTGAAGTACGCAACGTTTATGATAAACGATTTTGAAAGAAATAATTTTTTAAAATGAAAAATTCTATAATTTTTTGCCTAAAAAATATTTTTTTTATAATTTGTTGATTAATGAAAACTACAAGAAATATTTTTTAAGCAAAAAAAAATATATAATTTTTCATTTTAAAAAATTATTTCTTTCAAAATCATTTATCATAAACGTTGCGTACTTCAGGTTCGTGTTGTTTTTCGATAAATATATATAAACATTTTTACCCTCTTTAATTTTTTTCAAAAATAATAATAATTATTATTATTATAAGTTTTACTAAAAAAAATAAATTTTTTTAAACAGATTGCAGTGAAGCGAGAAGATGCTGTTACACGTGAAATGAGCAGAAAATTATCTGAGGATAAGAAAATGAGCAAAAAAGAGAAGGATGAGAGGTAATAATTGCTAAATAAATTAATTGATTTATATTATATTATTAACTGTATATTAATATAATCAATATATATATATTTTTTTTAGAATTTTGTGGAAGAAAAATGAAGTGGCTGACTATGAAGCAACGACATTTTCAATTTTCTACAATAATGCACTTTTCTTGGCTCTTGTCATTCTTTTGTCATTTTATATTCTCAAAACATTGACGCCTGCTTTCAATTATGTTTTTTCAATAGGAACAACGAGCATTTTACTAGCACTCATATCAACTGGTACTCAATAAAATAGCTATAAATTTTTGTTAATTTATTCGCCGTAAGACATTTTCAATATATTTCGTTAGCTCATCTTTTGATACAAAATATTATTGTGCTATGTGCATAAAAATACAGTTTTATTTATACATACACTTTGTTCTTGTTAAATTTATTTATTTTCTTTAAAAAAAAAAAATGTAATATTCAACAGGTTCCATACATAATTTTCCTTATTTTAAATTATCCACCATAACAAAAATTGTTTTTCTTTAGAAAAAATTTCTTAAATACAATTCAGAGAAATAGTATTTTTTTTTTAAATTATTATTAATTTCGTCAATTCTTCAATTGTATATAAGTACCTATATAATTATTTTATATTTTTAGTTTTTTAAATTGTAATAAAAAAATTGAATTTATAGTTTTTATAAAAATAAAAAAAAAAGTTATAATTCTTAATATGAAAAATAATCCTTTGCATAAAAAGATAATTTAAATAATTTACTTGAAATTATTATAGTTGGAATGTTTCAATTACGGTTATTGTTTTATTTTAATTAATAAATTTCAAGTTTTATGCAGGTCGTGGAAATCTTTTAATAGGTATCAGATATTTTTTATTAAAAGTGAACAATAGTATATTATGTGGCAAGCACGTAAAGTAGTACTTTTTAGGTGAGGATGTAATTTTCAGTACGAGCTGTCGTTAGTGCGACGTAGGTGAGACGAAGGCGAGCTGTAGGTGAGATGAAGACGAGCCGAAGGCGAGTCGAGTCGAGCCGAAAGCGAGCCGAGTCGAACCGAAGTCGCACAGACAGCGAGTATTGAAATCATCCGAACCTAAAAATTACTACGTGCGAGCCACATACGCTATTTTTTTCGCCATTGTTATGAAAAAGTGAAACAATTTTAAAGAAAAAAAATAATAAAAATTGATAAATAAAATAAAAGCAAAAAAAAAAATTATGCAAAAATTAACAACTGCCTAAAAAAGACTTTATAGGGCAGTTTACTGCCTAAAAAAGACTTTATACGGCAGTTTGCTGCCTAAAAAAGTCTTTTTTAGGCAGTTGGCCCAAACTGCCTTAAAAAGTGCTACTTTATCTGCCCAAAACAGGCACAAAAAAGACACTTTTTCATGTCAATGGCGAAAAAAAAATTTTATTTATGTTTATAGTGTCAATGAATTTTATAAATATTTTTTTAAATTAATAAATTTAAAATAATTAAAGTATAATCGTCGCCAATAAAACAAAATAAATTGTCAATTCATTAAATTAATAATTATGCAATTTCTAATTTATAATTAATTTTGAGAACATGTAAAAAAAAAGGGCCCCTCCGGGATTTGAACCCGGGACCTCCTGCACCCAAAGCAGGAATCATACCCCTAGACCAAGAGGCCATATGTCATACTTTTCCTTAATAAAAGATCTATATTGCATGAATTGTATAAAGGTAATATATTAATGTTTACAATATATAATTATAATTTTTTAGATAAAAGCTTACTGTAATACATTGACTTGTTGTATTTTATTAAACAAGTTTGAAAATTATAATTTTTGAGGTTAAAACAGAGTCGGCGGTATAGTATAATGTATATGTACAGGCGCCATATGGTTTTACCTCTTTCCGTTCGATCCCTGTGCAGGGATTAGTGATACTTCTCCTATAGAGAAGATCTTGTAGAACTGAGTTGCAATTTAATGTTAAAAAAAAAAATTCAAAATTATATTTAAACAAGTTCCAAGACAATGAAGAAATAGTTTCTAATATTTTTCAGAAATATCAATAGTTATGCGTAATAAAAAAAAGTAGTTCAAATTTATTGTCATATTTTTAATTGATGATTCAATATATGAAATGTTCATATATTTATAAACATTAATGAAAGAACAAGAACAATGTAATAATTGATAAAAATTGAGGATTATTAATATTTTATTTTACACATAAAATCATCAATTATTATATTCTTTTCATAGTTGGTCCAGAAGAATGATGATTTGTCCTTTCTAAAAAGAAGATATCTTTGACATTACGCAGAAATCCCCCCCTGGATATAGGTGAGTCTTTTTTTTCACGTAAAAAATTATAAAATAAAATATTTAAAAATCTTCAAAACAGTATTTTTTTCGATTTTTTTTTAAATACAATAAAGTTGATGTAAACTAAAAATAGGTAAAAATAGATACAAATTGATTTTGTCTCAACTAAATGGTGATTTTATGACATTATATGTATAGTAAATTTAATTAATTATTATTAATAATTTATATACGGGGCATTCTATGGGAAATTTTCATTGAAAATTTTTTTTTGTCCGAAACATTTTTTTTCGAAATCTATATGAAAAATAAGGAAATACGTATTTTTTTATTTTTTTATTTGATGAAAATGAAGGAAGTTATGATTTTTTGAAATTTAACGTCAACGAAGAAAGTGTGTTTTTGGAACATTTTTGAATCTATTGTACTAATAAATTAAAAATTATGCTATATATGAAATTTGTTCATTTTTTCTCAAATTTTTCAAATATGTGCTCAAAAATAACGTACCTATAACAGAAACAACAAAACAGTTGAAATTAAACTTATAAAGTGAGTTTTCTCAAAAGAGACACTTTCGACTTTTAATTTTTTTTTGCATTACAATCTCTGATGATTGAAGAATTTTTTCCCCTATCTGCGAAAGTGGTACTTTTAGTTTATAAATTACTATTTACAATTTTTAAGCTTGACGCAACGATTTTTAGTATGAAATTATAATGATAATTTTCCTTCCCAATTATATATTAGAATGTGAAAATTTTGATCCACGGAAGGTATTTTAAATAACACAAGTTTTATGTCATTTTTTAATTTATTGCTAAGCAACGTTTCGATGACATGGTTTTGTCATCCTCTTCAGGCTGATAAAGAAATTTATACACCAATTAAAATAAAAATAAAAAATAAAAAACAACTAAGATACACAAAAACACAGTATTCACAATAAATTAAATAAATAAGTCAATTACCAAGTATAAAATTGAAATTACATTTTTTGTAATTAGTCAAATGAATATGAAATTTTGTGTCTTATCATGGCAAGCGAATTTTCGAAACTAACAATAAATATTATAAGTTTGATGCGAATAGTGACGATGACAGGGTGAATGAACTCAAATATAAACAATGCGACAAATAAACGTGAAGACAAGTCATGAATCTAATCTTTCAATTATATATATTATTTCAATTATATACGTTGCTTAGCAATAAATTAAAAAATGACATAAAACTTGTGTTATTTAAAATACCTTCCGTGGATCAAAATTTTCACATTCTGATTTTTAATATGTTTTCATGAAAATTAAAAAAAAACAAATGAATGTTAATGGAAAAAGCAGGTTATATTTGTAGAAAAAATGCTTAAATTCTGTGAGCCGTACTAAAAAAATTATAAATAGTAATTTAAAAACTAAAAATACCACTTTCGCAGATAGGGGAAAAAATTCTTCAGTCATCAGAGATTGTAATGCAAAAAAAAAAAATTAAAAATCGAAAGTGTCTCTTTTGAGAAAACTCACTTTATAAGTTTAATTTCAACTGTTTTGTTGTTTCTGTTATAGGTACGTTATTTTTGAGCACATATTTGAAAAATTTGAGAAAAAATGAACAAATTTCATATATAGCATAATTTTTAATTTCTTAGTACAATAGATTAAAAAATGTTCCAAAAACACACTTTCTTCGTTGACGTTAAATTTCAAAAAATCATAACTTCCTTCATTTTCATCAAATAAAAAAATAAAAAAATACGTATTTCCTTATTTTTCATATAGATTTCGAAAAAAAATATTTCGGACAAAAAAAAATTTTCAATGAAAATTTCCCATAGAATGCCCCATACGCACTTATGGGAATTTTTAATAGGAGAGAACTGCAAAAAGTGCATTTTTTTAGAATTAATGTGACTTTTTTCAAGTTTAAAAAACAAAACGAATGTTTTTTTCGTTTTTATTCAATAAATATATACAAAGTTTAGAGAATTTTTCAACAATATTTTTAAAGTTATTAAGCATATATAGGAGTAAAATTAACATCTTATTGAAAAATCATATTTATAATATAAAAAATTTTTTTCTCAGTGTAGAAATAAATATCATTGATGTACCGAAGCTTCATTAAGTTGCATTTGTCCTGACTGATTATTATTTACAATCACTGTGGCGACAGGATATTGACAATTTTTAGCATTTACATCATTTGGCGGTTTATAAAATTTCCAAGCAAAGAAAAAAAATGCCAAAGAAGCCACTTTCCCAATAAATGATAATGCAAACATATATCTAAAAAAAATTGATAAAAGTATATTGTCATATAGTCAAATTAATTAAAACTCTTTATACAAAATATAAAATAATACATCTTTTTGTTCCTTAATTTTTTTTTATAACAAATATTTTACATAATAAAAGCAGTGAATAATGGAGACTTGATGTTGAATGTAAATTAAAATTTAAAGAAATAGTATACCTACCGACTAAGATAAAAATTATCATAAACAAGACATGCGCCTTTGCCCTCGGTTGTATCCTGCCAAAGTATGCAAGCTTCGTCAATGAGAGTTCCAAAAATAATTGGTGCAGGAATTGTTCCCAAAATTCGTACTTTGAGCAATTGTATTCCAAGGGCAAATGATTTTTGCTCGTCACGCACGACTCGAAGTGTGCCCGACAATGCAGGCATTGTACAAAGAAAGGTCAAAAACATATTGCAAAAAGAGAGGGCCATAAATAAATAAATGTACCAACAGGAAGTGTTACATTTTATATTAATTGCTGAATAAGACATCACTTTCTCATTTAATACTGATGTCATGTTTAATGACGACGAAGAAATGCATTTACACTCCGAATAGACCTGTTAATTTACAAAAATTTAACAATTAATTTTGTTCAATATTATTCAATAAAAAAGGTAAAATTATATATAATTATAATTTGGTTTTGACTTTTGTAGATAAAAATAATTATACGTATAATAATTACCTTTAAATCGTTTAATTCTATTTCTTGATTACATCCAGCATAACAGGGTGAAAAATATGTGACCCCATTAATTCCGCAAATGGGATTAAATTGAGATGAAATGCATCCACAATCTGTATTGCAAGAACTTTCTAACGTCATACTATCTCTTTAAAAAAAAAAAAACATTAAAAAAATATAAACATAAATCAATGTTAATTTAAAAAGTATTAATTTTTTCATTGTTTATAAAGTACAAATATTACATAAACAAGGAGAGGGTCCTTTATGTTTATTTCATAAACATTTTGCTTCCTCATTGTGTGAAGCAAAAAATTTGCTTCCTCGTGGAGGAAGCTATCAATTTCTCTAATTCAATTACAGTAGAATCCGGTTAATACACTCCCGTTTAATACGATTTCCCGCTTAAAACGCTCTTTTATGTTTGTCCCTGCATTGAAAGACATTTTATTGCTTTCCCGTCTAATACGTTTTCCCGCATAAGACGTGTTCTTGACACGGTCCCTTCAGAATCGTATTAACCGGATTCTACTGTAATTGATTTAAAACATTTCGAGTTAAAAACTGATTTAAATTAATTAAATTTTTTGAAAAATTAAGAAAATTTTAATTCATTTGGGGTGTAACATTTATATACTTTATATATACGATTCGATTCGTTTCAATGCAAGGAATTCAATTATTTTATGTATTAACTTGAATTTAAAAAAAACACAAAATTTTTAGCTAAAATATGAATTTTTGATTTTTCAATTTTTATTAATTCTTAAAATTTAAATCAAATCTATACTTTATATATAACAATCGATTCGTTTTAATGCAGGGAATAAAATTATTTCATATAATTATAAACTTGCATTTTAATAAACACAACATTTTTTAGCTAAAATGTGAATTTTTTATTTTTTAACTTTCATTAATTCTTTAAATTTCAATCAAATCTGTACTTTATATATACCAATCAAATCGATTCGTCTTGACGTAAGGAAGACGATTTTATTATATATTACCTTAAATTTTTCTATTTAAAAATTTTTTGGAAAAAAGACGATAAAATTTTTTTTGGGGGGTATTTTTAAAAATCCTCTCGTCATTTTTGAGAGATTAATGTGATAAATAAGCCTACCAAATTTTACCCAAATCCATTAAAACCTGTTAAAGATATCGTGTTCACAAAAACGATCCACACACACATACATCCGGACAATTGATCAGGATCTCATACAACATGTTTCTATATAGAGGAAAATTTGTTTTCATCATTTTTAAAAATTTTATAAACGAAAGGACTACAAAGCTTCCTCCACGAGGAAGCAAAAGCAATTAAAAAATCTGATTTTAAATTAATTTTGCTCATAAAATATTAACTCCCTTTGCTTCAACTCCAAAAGGACATTTATATAGAGTCCCGTTGGAAGTTAAAAATTATCTCTTGTTTTACAGTGTATAATTTTTCACTGTAAAATATAAGATATTAAAATTTTGAAAAAAAATTAAAGTCAAATATATATATATATATCAATTAATAATAATATTAATATATAAATATCTACTTAAATTTTATACCTAACTTGATTGCTATAGGGAATTGTGAGTCCAGCAAAATCCAAATTGGGACAACTCAAAACAAAAGCAAATGTAAAAATTAGACAAACAGCAGTGCAAATTATGCAAAATTTTAAGATTTCCAAACATGAAAGATTCCATCGTTTTATCAAATATCCTCCGAGAAATGTTCCACCTCCACCGGCAGGAACAGTTACGAATCCTGTAAAGTAAAATAAAAAATATGTTTATAAATTATATAAAAACATAATAAAATAATATAGATAATTAAAAATCGAAAATATAAAAAACATATTTCATAACCAAAACCCATGAATTTTATAGAAAAAAATTTTATCCTCAAAATGTAAAAATTTTCAGAGAGATTTTTAAACGATATATTTACCCATAAGCAGTGCGGCAGTGCTGACATTAACGCTAAATTGATTTTCTATTAGTTTAGGGAGAAAAGACGCAAATCCAGCTATAAGAAAGCCTTCACTGGCTCCTGCCAAATTTAACATGAAAAATGCGGGATTCCTCAATAAATCTTGCAATGCCCGTGTCAGATCATGAATTTTTGAAAAAGCCTCGCTGGCATTTATTGAATTCTTTGACGTCTCATGAGCTTCGGAAATTTTATCTTTTGATAATTCTTCAGAACCTATATTAAAAAATCATTCGTTTTTAGTAAATTTTTCATTTTTATTTCCAAAATTACGAAGAAAATTATTTTTTGAATATGTTATATAAAAAAAAATACTAATATTATTTTAAAATTTTATTTAAAAAAATGTAAACAACAAATTCTTAAATAAAAAATACTTTTATAAAATAATATTAAAATTTTGAAATAATTTTTTTTTTTTAATAATAATTATTCATATTCATACCAGGTAAAACTGCCGGGAAGGCTAAAAGTGGAATCGCTATTACAAAGCAGACGATTGCGCAAGCTAAAAATCCAATCCACCATGCTCCAACCCATACATTACTGTATGGAGTCAATCCGATTCTATAAACAGTAATAATATATTTAATAACTATTTTGACACATATTTAATATAATTTTTTTTTAAATATAAACTGTTATTTTTCTTAGTTGCAATTTATAAAGTAAGTATGATAAATTTAAAGAAAAGTAAAAAAAAAAATGAAAATTTTTATGATTACAAAGTTGATGATTAAGTATGTGAAAACAGTAAATATAAGTTTAAAGCAATTAAAAAATGTTATTTAAAATTAATTTCACTTATAAAATATTAACTCCCTTAAAACACTTAAGGTCATTTGATTCTCAACCAAAAATTTCAGTATTATACCAGAGTTAACTACTGGCGCAGTACTGGTTCAGTATTAGCTGCCGAGGCTGGTCAGTCTCTACTAAACCAGTACTGGTATTTTCATTGTATCAGTACTGTTGCAGTACCATCCTCCCAGTACTGGCAAACCAGTACTGAGCCAATATTGAGCCAGAACTGGCTCAAATAGATTTTCTTTTTGATTAATACTAGTTTACAAAAAGTTCTTGAGTGAACCTGATGAATCTTTTTGTTTAAATATTTTGTTTATATAAATTTTTTCACTTTGATTTTATTTTTGAAAATTAAAAGGTATTTTATTTTGCTTTTTTGTGGGTAAAATTATTTAAACAAAAAGTTTCCTGAGACTAATTCCAAAACATTTTGCAAGTTTTTTTTATTGTTTTCAGATATGCAATAAACCAAAAAAATTTTTAAATGATCAAACTAAAAATAAATAAAAATTTTTATAAAAAAAATTAATAATTTAAAAAAAAAATTTTTTTTTAATTTTCTTGACAACACTTGTTAAAAATTAAAAAAACAACGTTTATTTTCTTAAAAAAGTTTTTCAAAAATTTATTTTGATGCAAAATTAAAGTGAATAATAAAATAATTAAATAGCTAATTGTATAATTATATAAATTATAATTATTTTATAAACATTTTTATTTTTACTCAACTGTTTTTATATATTATAAAAACTTTGGTTTTATAATAAACATATTTTTATATTTATTTTTTGATTTTTTAAAATAATAATTTGCAATATATATTATACTTAATAAAGAATAAAAATTCTTGGTGTTTTCGATTTTATATATATAATAAAATATTAATTAGTTAGTTGACTAATTCATTTAATATTTAATTTGTGTTGGGTTACTAAAAATTTCACACACTTTTTCCTAAAAAAAGTATTACCTGGAGCAGAGATTTCACTATTGCAGTGAAACTTATCTCTGTTACAGTTAAAACTTTTTTTTCGTGTACAATAAATTACAAAACTACCAGTACTCAGCCAGTACTGAACCAGTAGTGGTTACTAGTACTGGTGCCAACTCTGGCAGCCAATACTGGTAAAATGTTATCATCCCAAAGTTACGCCAATACTGGGTGCCAGTACTGCGCCATTAGTAAATTTTTGATTGGGAATTGTTGTAGTTTGGCACATGTAAATTTTTTTCTCCGCAGGTTTTTTCTCAAAATATTTTACATAAATTTTGAGTTAAAATTTTGCGGAGAATTCAAAAAATTTATTTTTAAAAAATTGCATATTTGATTCAAATTCAATATGTAGGCAATAAAGTTATAGTCATTTCCCTAAATATGCAATTTTTTAAGAATAATTTTTAAAAGGACACATGTGATTGTTGTGATTTTACTATGTAAATATTCTTCACAGGTTTTTTTTTTTGCAAAATACTTGATAAATTGAATTAAAATTTTGTGGAGAACTCAAAAATAGTATAAGGATTCGTTATGTGCCAGAATAATATGTTTTCAAAAAAATTAATTCGCATATTTTTTTAAAATGGCTAAAATCGTATTGCCGTCAAATTGAATTTTCCTCAAATATATGCAATTTTTTTTAAAATATTAATACTCTGGCACAAAACAGCGATTTCTTGTTCTATTTTTGAGTTCTCCAGAAAATTTTAGCTCAATCTATCAAATATTTTGCAAGAAAATCTGCGGAAAATATTTACATGTGAAATCACAACAATCACATGATCTTAATATTAACTTAATTTACGAACTGAAGGGAAGGGGAAGATAAAAAGAATAGAAATATTGTGAAGCTCTATAAGGGTGTCAAAACTCAGTATGGGCTCTAAACTTTTTCCCCGTGGGACGTCAAATATTAGGGTTCTCGACTACACCGCCATGAATCTCTCTCCCTTTTATAATATATATAAATATGTTTCATAATGATATACGAACGAGGGTAAAAATTTTAAATATATATGCTTAATTTTTTTTCCATATTGCACAAACGTGTTCTTTTGCGACTTTTGTTCGCATGAGAAGGAAAATTCAAACATTTTATATGCAATTGCTTTTAAAGTAACAAGATATATATATATATATTTATAGAAAAAAAGAAGAAAGGAAATAAATGTAAAGAATTATATTCTCAAGGTAGAAAAAAATTCAAAAGGGAGATAATTACTTACGACTTTCTTTTATCACAATTTTATTTAAAAAAAGTTACGTATCAAAATTAATATTCTTAAAATCTTTAAAATATCATTAAAGATTTAAATAAAATTTTTTTTAACGTAAAAGATCGTTTTAGATGGTAATAGAAAAAATAGAAAAAAAGGAAAAATATTACTCACGTGGAAACATCAACGATTAAAAAATCAGTATAAAGTTTTAATAGTTCACCACCTATAACGTAACCTAAAGCTGGTCCAATCACAGCCATTGTATAATAAATACCTGTATACATTTAAATAGTAGAAATTTTTATTCAAATATTTATTAGTTTTTAATTTTTATTTTCTTAAATTATTAAAATTTATATTGAAATAAAAAAAAAGTTTTTCTTTATAAGGAATAAATATTGAAGAAAAATAATTTTATGAAGTAGGTGAAATTTGCATCCGTAACTTTTTTTTTTACCTAAATAAACGGAAGACATTTTTTTTGAGACATTTTCATCCAAATATGTGACACCAAGTGTAAAAAATGGAACTGCACCTGCACCATGTAAGAGTTGTGCAACAAAAAAAATTAATAAGTACACACCACTAGAAGGTTCCAACTCTAAATCTTCTTGTGATTCATTGCAGGAAACCTGTTTAAAAATATTTTTCACATATTTTTCATTTCAATTTTTTTTCTGTAACCTAAAAACTTATTTGTAATTTAAAAAAGATAATAATCTAGTTTATAATGCAGTGAAATTTTTTTTTTTTAATTTACTTCAAATTTCTATAGCGTTGCCAAAACAATGAAAATTAATTAATTAAATGTCTATTAAAAAGCAGATTTAAAATTCTCTTTTTAGTATAATTTACTTATTACCGAATGAGAATTGTTTACTCTATGGCACGTGTTTGTTATTTGATGTCCTCCTCGATAAGGACCAGCAAAATAGTGAGGAGAAGCAAAAAGTAAAGCTCCTAAACCTAAGACTAGGACACCCACTCCTATGTATCTATGAAATAAAAAAATTAAATGCAAGTGAAATAAAAAAAAAGAATTTAAATATAAAACTCAACGAACCTAGGTTTTGATGATATTGTTCGCCCTCCTAAATAACTAATTGGAATTAATAAAAAAAAACTAGCAATATCATAGCCTCCAGCGATTAGACCAGTTTGAGATGAACTCAGACCAAATCTCCTTTCGATTGTTGTAATTACAACATTTATTAATCCATTGACCACCAATCCTAAAATTAGCACAAATTAAATTTCCTAAAATTTTAATTTTTGAAATAATTATATTAAACATAATATAATAACCGCTGAGATTACAGTGAATCAGATAGAATTTAAAAACAAACCATCCACCATATTGGATCCGCCATTTTGAATTTTCGAAAACTGAGTTCGTATTTAACAAAATGTAAAAATCCAAATTTTTATTTTAAATGATTTTATAGATTGAATATATGCAACAAAAAAATGTTTTATTTATTATTTATTTAAATAAATTTTATTTTTGCTAAAAATCAACTTCTTGCAAAGAGCACTATACAGTTTTTTTTATAATTTTTAAATTAAGAGTGCCTATATAACACTGAAAAAAAATTTATTTTGATTCAAATAATCCGTTACTTGACTATTATCAAATAAATATATTTATTCGTATCAAATAATTATTATTATTTGAGATAATATTTGTTTCAAATACAGAAATAATTGGTTCAAGTACACTTTATTTAATATAAATAAAATTTATTTGGTTCAAGTAAATATCTATTTGATAATAGTCAAGTAACCGATTATTTGAATTAAATATAAATTTTTTTTCAGTGAATATATTAAAGAATACGGTTTAAATAATCCATTGTTTTTTGAAAAATTCTCAATTAATTATATTTTGCTATACCTTGAATTGCTCCAGCCCAGCATAACCAAAAAAGTGCCCATTTTGCAGTTCGATATTTTTGTAAATAATACGGTCGAAACCATAACCAGCCACATTTTAATTTATGTTTTTTAAAATCTAAATCGTGATCCTCCACATTAGACTTGATCTCCAGCTCCTTTGGTCCATCCACGAAATGATCCGGTAAGACGGATAAGTCAGAAACACCAGACTATAAATTTTAAAAACATAAATAAAACAATAATTTTCTTTTCTATAATACAATAATATATGACATAATACAAAAAAAAATTATATTTTAAATTTAAGAATGTAATTTTAATTAAATGAATAATTATTCTATATATTTCAAAATAAAGAAACTTACATCAAATGTAAAATTATCTCGCATTTCTTTTATCATAACAATATAATTAACTTGAAAATTATATCAGCGGAAAATTTGTTTCAAAAACATGTTCATTATTTCTTTTTCAAAAATATATCATTTTTTTTTAAAAACAATCTTTAATTTTTGTTTCAACAAAAATTCATCTTCACATTCCACAAAATCACAATTGTTTTTCAAAAATACACGTATTTTTTATTTATTTTTCCATTTTACAGGTAAAAAAATTTTAATTAAAAAAATACTTTCTGTTATTATAAAAATTGTAAATTAATTTAATTAATAATCGATTTTAATTATTATTAAGACAAAAATATTAGTTAAGGGGAGAGTCGACAACAGTGGATCATTTTACTTTTCTAGAAAATTATGTTAAAAAAACTACCAAAATCTAATAAATAAATTTTACGTATACTTACTGATTTATTTTATGACTTTGGTAAAAAAAATTTTAATTCATTTTCCAGAAAATTAAAATGATCTATAATGTTGTCCACTCTCTCCTATACATATTTACAAAAAAAAATGAAATACTTTTTTCTATGAAATTTATTAATTTTAAACAATTTTTTTTAAGTTTTTATAACATACACATATTATGTATTAAAAAAATGGAATAATAATTTAGAAATTTTTTTTCAATTCAATATCACTAAATTGTATTAAGTATATATATAATGGATTGAAAAAATGAAATTTCACGAACCGCTCACGAGTGTGAGTCACATGATACTGTGGGGTCTGAGAACTGAGAGACTACCCTTAACTGAATTTTTTTTTCTTTCTCTCTTTCATTCTCTCAATTTTCATTATTTTCTTTCATCCTTTATAGAATCACGAGGTGTGACTTTTACGATATATCATATTTTTCATTCATAATAGAGGACAATATGTCATATATTTAGCAGTCTCAAAAGATATATAAAAATAAAAATTTTAAGTAGATACAAAAAATAAATTATTTTTCTGATAACTTATTTAGGTATATAACTATATTTGCATTTACTAAGAAGTTATAAGGTAACATTAACTTTTTTAAATATAATTCTCCTGAATTTATAATTTATATACTCTATAGTTTAAGGGTTCCTGATTACGAATCTGAAATTAATTTATTCTATATGCGCAAAAAGAAAGTGGACAAATCTATAAATGTTTTTTTTTCTTTTTATTTGAACATTGTGTGAATTTAAAATTACCATCATTGTCATAAATGCAATTTCTCATGTAACCTCAGGACCACCTACTGTTTCTTTTTCAAACAGAATCACGTGACCCTTTTCAAAGCGGGAAGAACTGAATTGATACTGAGTAAACGGAAACCATGAATCTTTATTAAATCTATTATGAGAAATAAATCTACTATAGGATGGTCGCGTGGCACATACAAGCAAAGAGTACTTTTACTTTCATATATATCACCGTGCGACACGATTTTTGACCCACAAAAAAATCCAACATTTTCGGAAACTAGGACCCAAAAAAAATACCCGTATCTGGCCGTTTTGCTAGATCAAGTTATTTGTGGTTTTTAGGGAAGAAAAGTGACAAGAAATCTTTTAAAAATTATTAATATTTTATAAAACTTGGTATCTGGGGGTTTTCGGTGTCGATGATTATTAATCTGATGTCAGATTTTTAAAATTCAAAATGGCCGATCCAATATGTCGATCAAATTTTTTAAAAGTTATTAATTCTGACTCGGAGTGATCGATATCATCATTTTTATTATTTAATACTGCCGAGTGATAAATTCAAAATAATATTATTAATTTTTTATTTTATAACCGCCATTTTGAATTTTGAAAATTTAACATTGAATTCGACATCAGTGACCCCAAAAACCTCTAAATACCAAATTTCATAAAAAATTAATAACTTCTTAAATTTTTTACCGCCATATTGGATCCGCTATTTTGAATTTTGAAAATCTGACATCAGATTAATAACACAGCCCCACAAAAATAAAAAGTGTCGTGCGCGGCAGACCAGACTAGTCATTTCCCATGTATTTTGACGCGCTGAACACGAATCCGAAGTCCGTTTTGCTCCATCACGTCAGGATTTTTTTCTAACCTCCAAAAACCTGTCGGATTTTGAGAGGTAGGCTATTTTTTTTAAAAAATTGATGGATTTACTTCAAAATTGGTATCTAGGGGTTTTTTGGGTCGCTGATGACGAATTTGAAGTTAGATTTTCAAAATTCAAAATGGCGGCTCCAATATGGCGGACAAATTTTGTAAAAATTGATGGATTTACTTCAAACTTGGTATCTAGGGGTTTTTTGGGTCGCTGATTACGAATCTAAAGTTAGATTTTCAAAATTTAAAATGGCGGCTCCAATATGGCGGACGAATTTTGTAAAAATTGATGGATTTACTTCAAACTTGGTATCTAGGGGTTTTTTGGGTCGCTGATTACGAATCTGAAGTTAGATTTTCAAAACTAGAAATGGAAATTCTTATATACATAAGTAAGGTATTCACGTCTTTTTATGATAGCGCACACTTTTGTCCTCAAAGGATCTGTGTAATGGTTTTCTTTTCAAATTGGTGCCTCCAGGTACAATATCCCTTTTCAGCATCCAACAGTAGTTGGCCATCATATTTACATCCCATCTTCCTTGATAACGACGCTCAAAATCTTTCAGATCTTGATGGAATCGTTCTCCTTGTTCTTCACTGTAATCTCTCAAATTTTCAGGGAATTGATCCCGATGCGAGTCTAAGTAATGCAACTTTATGCTCATTAAGCATCCTAACTTACCAAAGTTTTTAATCATATCACTAACTATTTGCTCCCAATTTTCACTCTTGTGATTACTCAGAAAATTTTCGACAACTGCTTTGAAACTAAGCCATGCGGCTTTCTCCTTTTTATTCATCTTGGTGATAAATTGCTCATCTTTTAACAATTTGCGAATACAAGGTCCGTCGAAAACCCCTTCTTTTAGTTTCGCATCAGAGATTTCTGGAAACTTTTGTTCCAGGTATTTGAAACAGTTTCCTTTTTTATCTAAGGCTTTGACAAACTGTTTAATTGCTCCTAGTTTCGTGTGTAAGGGCGGAATTATCACCTTTGAAGGGTCGATATCGTCCGCCATATTGGAGCCGCCATTTTAAATTTTGAAAATCTAACTTTAGATTCGTAATCAGCGACCCAAAAAACCCCTAGATACCAAGTTTGAAGTAAATCCATCAATTTTTACAAAATTCGTCCGCCATATTGGAGCCGCCATTTTGAATTTTGAAAATCTAACTTCAAATTCTTCATCAGCGACCCAAAAAACCCCTAGATACCAATTTTGAAGTAAATCCATCAATTTTTTAAAAAAATAGCCTACCACTCAAAATCCGACAGGTTTTTGGAGGTTAGAAAAAAATCCTGACGTGATAGAGCAAAACGGACTTCGGATTCGTGTTCAGCGCGTCAAAATACATGGGAAATGACTAGTCTGGTCTGCCGCGCACGACACTTTTTTTGTGGGGCTGTGTAATCATCAACCCCGAAAACTTTCAGATACAAAGTTTTATAAAATATTTATAATTGTTAAAAGATATCAAGTCACTTTTCATTTAGGGGTTGTTTTCAACCCTAAATCCACAAACAACTTGATCTACGCAAGTAGCACGGAATATTGCTTGAATGTCATGGTGATATCAACTCTCTAAATTTGAATCAGCGATAAGTATACCACTGGTACCAATCAGCGGATATACGCTGAAAAATCAGTGAAATTCCACTAATTTATCAGTGCATATAAGCTGATTGGAATCAGTGGTATACTTATAGCTGAGAATCAGCGAGATTCCGCTGATTCAAATTTAGAGAGAAGAGGGAATATTCCTGTGACATTCAGGCGATATCATAATGTCCGCTTCATGGGGACAATTTATAAAATTCTAAAAACAAACATTTATATTTTTTTTATTTATTTTTTTACTTAAATATTCAAAACAAACAATATTTTAGAATTTTATAAATTACACGAATATTCTCTTAATATCACACGGAGATCTCCTCAATATCACACGAATTTCACGGGAATATTCCCTCAGTATCATACGAATGTCACAGGAATATCACCGTGAAATGTCCCCGTGATGCGGACATTATGATATCGCCTGAATGTAGCAAAACGGCCAGACACGGGTATTTTTTTGGGTCCTACACTCTAAATCTGAATCAGTGAAAATTTCACTGAATTGAAATCAGTGGCTCACTGGTAAATTAAAGAAAACTGAGCCACTGATTTCAATTCAGTGAAATTTTCACTGATTCAGATTTAGAGTGTAATTTCCGAAAATGTTGGATTTTTTTGTGGTTCAAAAAAAAGTTGAATTTTGTCGGACGGTGATTTATATATCATGTACTTTTTCTTTAAATAAATAAATCAGAAATTCCGCATCTATGTTGTTAAATAAGTGTAGGGTCAGCAAACGGAATTATCTACTAAGTTAACAAATAATTATAAATAATCATATGAATTTTTAGTTTTTACTCTCTTAATATGAATCAGTGAAATTTAATTGCGATTCAAATTAAGAGAGTAGGTATGTGACAAAATATTGAAAGAGTGTCTTCTTTGGTTTTCAATTTTTTATGTAGGTAATAAAAAAATGTCTTCTACTGCTAATTAACGGACAAAAAATGGGATACTAATTAGAACCTCTTGAAGGTAATCTAAGATTAAAATTTTTGTGGCGTATTTATTTTTAAGGAGGAGAACCGGTGAAATTTCAACTCATCAAAATTAATGTTGTTAAGGGGTGTCAATTTTTTTTCTGGCCTTAATTGGGATCTAAAATTATTGTGAATTATCAAAATTAAAAAAAAAATTTTTTTACCATTTTAGAAATTTTATTTTTTGAAAAAATTGATTTTTTTTTATATTTATTTATTTTTTTTATATTATAAAGAAAATATTAACATCTACGTATATATACATAAACGTGCTCGGGGATCGTTTAAAAGTTCTTTGACTTTCATTCTCACTTGAGATGAAGAGAAAACTGCACAATACCAATACAGCACATAATTTTCTATTGTGAAAGCAAATCTCGCACGTGGTCTAAGCTGCTGTTGAGGGTGCTTGTCACACACACCGGAAACTATTTTAGATTTACATAATAAATTCAGAAGGGATAATAATTTTTTATAAAATTTTTAAATAAACTCTACACATAGTCCGCTCAAGGGGGACTTTCAATTTTATTTTCAGTCCATATATGTACCTTATTATTTATAAGCGAATTTTTATTAATACAATTAGCACATTAATATAATAAATTTTAAAATTATGTTTTAGACAAAAATTGAGGGTACACTGAAAAAATGTTGGTGCAGTAGCAGCCCCAAACAAAAAATTTCTATATTTAATTAACTTCATATTTAATATTTTCCATGAGTTTTTATATGAATGAAGTTAACTGATTATATAAATTTTTTGTTTGGGGCTGCTGCTGCATCAACATTTTTTCAACCCATATGCAATAGTGCATTTGGCGCTTGGACTGTCTGTCCCAACCGCAATATCTACTTCGAGTTGCGTGGAGTCTAGTCTAGTCTCTTCTTTGCAACTCGAAGTAGATATTGCGGTTGAAACAGACAGTCCAAGCACCTAATGGAGGTTCTACAATAGGTGCAAAAGGCAAGTGCAAGTTTAAGTGCAAATTTTTTTTAGTTCAAACTATAGAAAAAAAATTTAAACTTGGACTTGCGCTTTGCCTTTTGCATATATTGTAGAACCTCCATGAGTACAGTCGCATGTAGCAGATTAGCAGAATAGTTTTCACCCAATTAGACGATTGAGAAAATCCCTGCAATCGCCTGATTGGCTGAAATTCATTCTGTTAATCTGCTCCACTATGTGACTGAACCCTAAATCCACTATTGCCTGCACCCCGTTAATTCTAGATCTTATTAAAATACTCATTTTACGACTTGTGTATTTTGAAGAAAGCTCGTTAAAAATTTTTAAAATAAATATATTTTTTCTGTTGATGAGTTATTAATTTAAAATCCTAAAAAAATTTCGAAGCTTTAATATTTAATAAACCCAAGTAGCACGGAATATTGCTTGAATGTCAAGGTGATATCAAGCGAGAATATTCTTGTGACATTCAGGCGATATCATAACGTCCGCTTCATGGAGACATTCCACGGTGATATCCCTGTAACATTCACGTGATTTTCGTATGATACCGAGGGGAATATGCCCGTGAAATTCATGTAATATTGAGCTGTGATATTGAGCGGAATATTCCTCTGATATTGAGGGAATATCCCTGCACAGAAAAAACCTTGTCTCATTTTTGATGCAAATCAAAATGAGCCAATGCTAAACGACATAGACAGTGGCGCCACCAACCTGGTTCATTTTTGTTGCACATCAAAATGAGCCGCCTACACGGCTCATTCTGAGTTCAGTTTTTTTCTGTGTGTAATATTGAGAGAATATTCCTGTTATTTATAAAATTCTAAAATGTTGTTTGTTTTGATTGTTTTGAATATTTAAATAAAAAAATAAATAAATGGAAAAAAATAGAAAAAATTTTTTTTTTAGAATTTTTTAAATTATCTCATCAATATCACTGAAATATTTCCTCAATATCACAGGAATATTCCTCTCAATATCACAGGGATATCCCCTCAATATTACATGAATTTCACGGGAATATTCCCTCGGTATCACACGAATATCACGCGAATGTCACAGGAATATCACCGTGGAATGTCCCCATGAAGCGGACATTATGATATCGCCTGAATGTCACAGGAATATTCCCACTTGATATCACCGTGACATTCAACCAATATTCCGTGCTACTTGGGAAGTTAAAAATTTTATTTAAAAATTAAAATATATTAATAAAGAATAAAAATGAATTCAAAATATAAAACACAACTTACCGAATTAATTCTACTAGCCTCATTTTCATAACATGGATTGTTAGTGCCTTGCATTATTAACTGTAAAAAATGATTTTATTTTCAGTTACAATGTTCTATAATCTTTTAAAAAGTATTAATATTTTATAAAACTTTGTATCTGGGGGTTTTCGGGGTCGCTGATTATTAATATGATGTCAGATTTTCGAAATTCAAAATGGTGGATCCAATATGGCTATCAAAAAAATCCGCCATTTTGAATTTTGAAAATCTGACATCAGATTAATAACCAGCGACCCGGAAAACCCCCAGATACTAAGTTTTATAAAATATTAATAATTTTTAAAAGATATCTTGTCACTTTTCATTTAGGGGTTGTTTTCACCCCTAAAAATCACAAAGGAACTTGAGCTAGCAAAACGGCCAGATACGGGTATTTTTTTGGTCCTAGCTTCCGAAAATGTTTGATTTTTTGTGTGTGTATATAATATAATAATTAATTAATTAAACCATGGAAGATAATTAGTTACCAGTACTGATTATTTTAAGGATTTCCCTGTGGAGCCTCTAGTTGGGTTGTGAGAGAGGAGCGGAAGAGGGGAAAAAATTCAGTAATCACGACCTGCTTTTCACAGGACACTTCTTTCGAACAGTGAACAGCTTGAAGTACGGTTTGTTTTTAAATCATTATATTATTAAGTATTGTAGTAAACGGTGTTCGTGTGATTATCCTCAAGATTACGAGGTAGGTCTCATTGTATTGATCAATTATCCAGTTTTTACTATAAGGCATGCGATACGAACCAGACAATTTGTTAATTACACACAAAAAAATCTTTACCTAGATCAGCGATATGTTTCACAAAAACAACAAAAGTTTTCGCAATTCTAAAAAAATATATCGCTGTTCCAGAGAAACTTATCGCTGTTCCAGGTGAAGATTTTTTTGCGTGTAGTATATGAAAATTTTTGTGATCGTGCTTTAATTTATTTCTTTTTAGGCATCGAATTAATCCCACAATAATTTATAATACCCTACGTGGTACGACCAAAGCCATGAAAGAAAAAAAATTAAAATTCGCCTGTTTAAAAATTTATTTCTGAAATTAAAAGTAATTTTACTCCTGATATAACGAATCACAAATTAAAATACATAGGTATATTGTGTCATGTTGGTATTTCCTATATATTGTTGTCAATCTTGATAACGCTTTTCATCGGTGAGTATAATAAACAATCACCGTTGTCAATAAACAGAAGCTAATTCGAACTTGATTCTCTCTGTCCTGTTGTTATTTCATAACAAATGTAATATCGATTTTGTTGAAGGAATAATATCATTTATTTTATTTACTAACCCAAAAACGGGAAAAATTTCTATACACAGAGAAAAATATTATAACTTTCTATAGCAGAACTATTTTAGGTAGGAACCGTACAAATACAGTGCTTAGTCGTACTGAAAACTGACGACAGAGTGCGTGCGAAATACACGCCGGTTGAACAAAAAAAATGGGAAAAATTTATAAAGTCATTTTTTAAACATAATAATTAAACAGAAAAAAATTTTAATACATTATTTTTATGTTTAAAGATGTTTTTCACTCAGAAAACGAAAGGAAGGTGACATAAAAATAAACTAAAATGACTTTAATTCATGGAATAATAAATTTTCTCCATTCTAGATCTGTGAACATCGTCCAGCAATCGCCCATTAAAATGGCGGAAAGCCAAGGGAAGACCGCCATACCTCAACAAATGTTTCACTTCTTCCAAATCTTAATGAAAAAATTGACAATAGCCAATCTTCACGCCGATGCTAATAAAAAGGCCGCGGAACAACTTGGTCGGTTGAATCACATTCTGAACGAAAAAGTTAATCGACTTCAACGAGTAGTTGATCAACAAAAGGAATTAATAAATTTCCTTCAGGACTCATCTAACACTCAAAATTCGGTATCCCCACAGTTTAAAACATTTAAAACAATCGCCACCCAAACCTCAATGCCCGTACAGTTCACAACAAAATCCACTCAAACATCGTCTATTGAAGAATCAACAGACCGCCCACCTTCCGTTATAAACACGAAAACTATCCCTAAGACTCGCTACCAAGATATTTGCAACATCCTTGAAAATCCTACACCAGCCAAAACCACTACACCATCTACATCGCAAGAACCCCCTACCCCATTAAAAAGGAAACGCGCCTGTGATTCTCCAATTCTAAAGGGAAATTTTGTTTATCCCAATCGGTCCCGACAACTTTCTGAATGTAATAAGTCTCCCCCTTCCGAACCTGCTACTTCCACCCACCGACAAGATCCAAGCCCCGATTACTCCCGCTACGATTATCCCCATTGTACCGAAAATCCTGAATATCCGAGCTACACCTACTCTCCATCACCTGTTCCAATTCCCTCTCTTTTAAAAATTAGCGTCAAAGTCCCCGTGGATGCAGACCCAAAAACTATTAATTGGCTCAGACAAAGGAAAGGATGTTGGAATTGTCAGAGTAGAAAACATAAATTTAAAAATTGTCCTCGTCAATAACGTCTGTTCTGTCACTATTGTGGAAATCCTGACACATCCAGTGAGACATGCCAAAATTGCAAAATAATTCAACGGTAGTATATCAATTGTAAGTGATTGTGAGTCGATTCCCATCCACAATTTATTCCCTATTTGTCGCATGTAAAAATTTGTCTTAGAATACTAGATGAAGTCTAATATATAGAGTGCGGCAATGTCATATTACCTAGAAACATTAATTATTCAATCTAATAATTCTAAAAGCAAATTGAATTATTGATGCGAATGCTTTTCATTCCTACACAGCACGATATCTTCCTGACAGTTTCCTGAATAATCAAATGGAAGCTCAAAAGAAAACTTCTCGCGAATCTTCAAATTATCATGGGAAACTCCAACGGAATCTCTAAGTAGGCATCACCAGAATCTCGAGGGAAGCTTCCACCGAAAACTACCCAGATAGCACATTAGCATGCAGCAAGCATGCCGCGCAATATTGCCAACCTTGCACGGCAAACTTGCGCAAGCTTCAAATGTCCCACCTGACCGAAAGCTTGCATGGTAAGCTTACCGAAAGATTGTAGTGTAATGTTACTGCAAGCTTACTGAGTAATCTTGCGATAATCTTATTGTGCAATCTTGCAGTAACCTTACACTGCAATCTTTCGGTAAGTTTACCATGCAAGCTTTCGGTGAGGTGGGACATTAGAAGCTTGCCGCAAGGTTACGTGCTATCTGTGTAGAGGGTAAGGTTCCCTAAACAATTCATTAAAATGTTATTTAAAATTTTTTAAGATTAAAATTTTTCTTTTAATTTCTTTGAGGTTTACATTTTGAGTTTCCTCGAAGCTTCTATTTGAGTATCACCGATCTTCCCTTGGAAGCTTCCAGGAACATGTCATGTTGTGTGGGTTTATTCAAGCTTATCCCCCCAAAATAATTTTTTACTACCCGGTAAGAAGGCTTGTATTAAAAAGTATTAGAAAACTTCATTGCACAATCATATCAACTTAAGAATTAAATCGACAGAATTTTTGGCTCGTTTTGTGAAAACTTCCGAATGCAGTTCTTTAAATTGTTTTATATTTATTATTTATAGTATAATTTTATAGTTCACAACTATGGAAAATAATACCAAAATGATATTTTTATGTTATCTAAATTGGTTTTTTCTTTAAAAAAAAATTATTGTTAAAGAACTTATTTAGCAAATTATTTCTACATTTTTTAATTTTGAAACATTACAGACTTTAAATAAAACAAGTATTTTACAATGACGAAATTTATCTTAAAACATAGGTTTTTTTATTTGTAAACTTTCTTTCGTGTCCTTTAGTACTTAATTTTAAATAAAAGCTTTCTTTTCGGGTATTTTAAATATATTTTCATCATGAAATTTTTAAATCTCAAGGGGGGGGGCGATTGACCCATTCACTTTTACGTAAAATTGTCAATGGAATAAAGAAAGTTACTCTCTAAATCTGAATTAGTAAAAATGTTTACTAATTTAAATTAGTGACTCACTTTTTGCTTTAGAATTAGTTAAATTTTACTAATTGTTAGTAAAATTTTACTAATTATTAGTAACTTTTACTAACAATTAGTAAAATTTAACTAATTCTAAAGCAAAAAGTGAGTCACTAATTTTAATTAGTAAACATTTTTACTAATTCAGATTTAGAGAGTATGTGCCCGTTGTTTCTTTTTTTTAATGTACCCGAATTATTGAGTTATGAATTTTCAGAATTTTGGTTTTTTCAATGTATACCTATTTTCAATCGCATATAACTATAAAAGTATTGAATTCAGTAATTTTATGGCCAAAAGAAGAAAAGTTTCTGTTCTTCTTCGATTTTTAAATAATGTGAACAAAAAAAATTTTCTTGATAATGTTTATTGGAAAAATATCAATTTTTTTAAAATTTGGGCAATTAAAATTTTTTATTACACAATTTTATTAACAATAAGAATAGTTTGAAAAATGTTTTAGAGTGGCAGGATGAACATTTTTGTTTAAATAATTTGTTAAAAAGTATTATGTATTTTTGAAAACATAATGTATTTTCATTATTAATTCTAAATGCGATATAAAAAAATGTTTAAATTTTTAAATTCAAAAACAATTAATTTGTTTATATTTTTTTATAAATTTTCCAAACTTTCAGAATTATGACATTAAAAATAGGTATTCATTGATTAAACCAAAATTTTGAAAATTCGTAACTCGAAAATTCGGGCACTTTTAGAAAGAAATAAATAAAATACGTATACATATACCTTTTTTCTGTAATGAATGAAAAAAAATATATTTAACCGAATTTAACAAGTTGACTTAAATCTGACTTGTAATCGCCTATATTATGTTTTTTGAGATTTTTGATAAATCATACATACATACCTAATAATTATTCTACTTCGTGCCGTTATATTATTATTCTGTTATGCGATTATGTATGTTATACCATTATCCTTGAAACAAGAAATTTAATGTTACGTAATTACTTTTTTAAATCTTTATATCAACAGTAACAGTAAATCAATTAATGAGAAAAATACAATATTACGAAATAAATTCAATCTTTGTTATTGAAAGTTGTATTAAAAATAAAATAAATAAACTATAATATTACATTTATAATTAAATAGTAAAAAGAATACATAATATTTTGCAATAATTTTATTTAAAATGTCTATATGTATAATCATAAATTATCCAAAAACAGTTTCCATTAATAATAATTCATATAAATATTTTTCCTTTTTAACAATATGTCTATTTTTTTTCCTTAACTCTTTGAGGACCTGTACTGTTTCCAGGAAACATGAACAATTTTTAAATAACTCATATACATAACATTATTGTTTTTTTAAAACTATATAAGGAAACAATTTTTTTTTATTCCAAACTTTATGTTTCAGTTAAAAAGAATTTAATAAATTTTTTTATAAAAAACTTGATTAAAAATCATGGTTTTAAAAAAACAATTTGCTCGCCAAATAAGAGTTAAAATAGAAAGTATTGTTTAAAATATTCATGTTTAGTTAAATCGAATAATTATTTAGCAAAATGTTAATTATATACCTTTTCAGAGAAAAAAACCAAGCATACATAATATCCTGTAATATCCTGTAAGTAATTTATGTATCACTTTAAACAAATGAATTCACATGTTTAAGAAATATTTTTTGAATTTTCCTTGCTTTTAATTTTGACATAATTTCTTAAATAACTTTTAAAAATATTGAGTTTTGATGCATTTTTTATATTTTTTACTACTAATTGAATCTATCACATGGCACTATATTTTTACACTAAATATATTTTTCTACTACAACAATTTTATTACTTTTACTGAACTTTTAAATTCAATTTTTAAATATATGTATAGATATAATAAAAAGAAGTTTAAGTTTATGCTCAGTGATCAGATGAAGAACGCGATAAAACTGACTTTACTCTCTCTTTACGTCTGTTTTTAATAATCGTTGCTTTTGAATGTGAAGAATAGAGTGGGGTTTTACAATTTTCCTATTAACGCATTTTCAATATCAATATGGAATTATATACTACTATGCAATTTTATTTAAACATTCGATGCATGATTAAAAACGGTTTTCCTTATTTTCATTATAATTAAATGAATTCTCGTATCTTATTATTATTATCTTAAATATATATAATTTTTTTCCTCTAATATATCATTTAGAATAATGATGCATACATTCAGCTGCATTCTTGCCGTCACGTTGGTCCGATCAATTGGACCCCGGTCTGGCACATAGCTGACCATAACACAAGCATTTTTTATTTATAATTCAGTTGAAAATTTGAATAAACTATAGTTACCTATCAGATAATATTTTCAAAATATTAGCCATTTCATTTTTTTGTCTATTACCAAAAAACAGTTTTCCTAATCATTTGAATTCCCGAGAATTCAAATAAAAAAGAAAATAAAAATCAAATAAAAGACATTTCTTATAAAATTGAATTCTTTTCTGTTCCTATCAGTGACTAAAATTTTAGCTGGGTTTTGTGAAAATTTTTGAATATACCCTAGCGGATTGTGAAGAATAAAAGGGGTACGAATAGTAATAATACTTTAATTCCTTTTAATGCAATCCACTTTATTACTTTTTTTATTATTTAAAGCATAATTTCACACTTTAGAACTTTGGAAAATATTAAAATGATAATTTTATGTTGCCTAAATTGTTCTTCTATTAAAAAAATTGTTGTTGAGTTACCTACTTTTACAAAAAATTTTCTTAATTTTTTTATTTTTGAGCTTTACAGTCTTTAACTAAAACAAGTAATTTGCAATGACAAGATTCATTATAAAACATGGATTTTTCATTATATACTTTTTAAATAATCTATAGCAGTTATAACAAAATTTGATTGGGGTCCAAAAATGCCAAAAAAAAATTGCCAATCCAAAATTGCCAAGAAAAATATCCAAAACTTAAAAGTTCCAAAGTATATTTTTTCCAAAATACAAAATTTCCAAAGGACACAAATTTCCAAAGTAAAAAATTTCCAAAATTAAAAAAAATTTCCAAAAGTGAAAAATTTCCAAAGTTCTTAAAAAATTGTTATTAAAAGTAAATGATAGCCGATGGCTTTCAAGTATCCTAAAATGTTATCTTTTTGAAGAAAAGTTTCATAACTGTTGACGATATTAAAAATTCGGTCTTCCATCATCTGCCTTTTTTTATCCCGGGATTTTTTAATTATTTGTCCAATCGAAAGCTGTCTTAACATTGTGTCTGTGTCTCCTTGTTCATTCTGCAGTTCACGAAAAAATGCGTACAAACTCGGATGATCTCGCCCTGTTACTACTCGGAAGCGATTATGCCAACCTTCTGAGGCATTATTCGTTCGTGAAATATTTTGAAGAACCGCATCATATTGATTCCAAATTTTGGGAGGGTAGCGTACATTCACTGCCCTTCTTCTCCCTCGAGCTGCTTTACCGCGAACATATGTAACCTTCAAAATGCAATTATAAGTAAGTATTAAATAAATAGAATAAAATTAATTATTAAATTATTTTTTAATATTTTTTACCTCAAAATAATCAGCTACGTGGTCAAAATCTTCCGGTATATCATCCACAAGAATATCAAAGAATTCAGAAACTCTATTTGGCGGAACGAATGTCAAAGCACACATCATCTGCGTTGCATGTTTGATGCTGCGATCATTTTCGTCGTTGTATTGTTGTTGCAATCCTTCATTCTGTACTCTTCGGAAGATGTTTTGGCACAAGTGAAACAAACAACAACGAACAATTTTTCCAAAATTGTCTTCAGCAGCATTGACAATGGCAAGTTCGAAATCTGACATTATAATTTGCGGCAGAATAAAATGAATTTTATTTTTTTGAATTAATTCTTGCGTAATTTGGAAAACTTTTGAGTACGCTGTCTGCTCTTTGCTTTCAAGAAGAGCATATACAAAGGGAAGAGCAAAAGTTTCTTGGATGCCTTTGTTCATTTGAACCACTTATCCCATAATGACAAATAATTGAAAAAAAAATTACCGGAGATGTCTTGAAAGTACCATCTACGTACCATATTGGAGATTTTGCTAGAGTTTTCAAATTTTCCTGAGTACAAAATATTAGAATTCGGCCACAACCTAAATTATAATCCTCATCTTCATACGAATCATATTTTAAAAAAGTGTCTCCAGCAACAGTTTTTCTATATTTTTCTGGAATTTCACGCAAATCATCCATATCTTGAGGGTTGGACGGCATGTCTTTTAACCGTTCTCGCTGCACGCATTTTGGCGATCTGGCAGTTCTGCCAAAACTGCTGATGGCACCTCATGTAAACGAGATCGCAAGACTTGAGCCGGTGGTATTTCCGGATGTTCAGTGGCATCATTATTGACATCGGCAATAACCCTCAAGGCAGTAACTTTTTCGCGATTCGGAGCATGAGTGTGGTCCTCAGGTTTACACCCTTTCCGTATTGTTACAGTGTCCCCAACAGTAACTGTTATAGCTCGAGCTCCACATTCAGATGTATTCTGACATCTCCAATATTTAACGACGGCTTTTCCATCGGAGTGTTTGTAATATAAATTCAGGGAAACAAAATGAAAGGTCTGCACAATTAACTAACAGTAGCACAGTGACATATTATTCGGACCAAATTAATCTAAAACAGCTACAATTACTGATTGCAGAAAACAGTATGGTTACACAAGACGAACTGACGGACGATTAAGCAGGCAAGTAACTGGGACATTCTAAAAGGGAACACTTACTGGGGGAACTAAAATCACGGGAAGACAAGCAAACAGGTATAGTACCAGATAAGGAGGAAAACTACCAAACGGTAAAATTCAACCCCACTAACACTGATTACACTGACGAACAAATATTACTTGGGGGTTTTTAGGGTCGCTGATTACGAATTAAATGTCAGATTTTTGAATCTGATATCACATTCGTAATTAGCGATTTTAAAACCCCCTGAGTAACAATTTTCAGTGCCATGAGTACTTCGCAATTTATTTTTCTTTTTTAAAGGGATTTTAGTTCATGCAATGTAAAACGCAAATGGCTGTATCTCAGAGAAAAAAAATTGGATCAGATCGAGCCAAGAAAATTTTGAAAGGGGAAATATAATACTTTCTTTTGAAATTTGGACGAATGATTAAACAAAATTTTTGTCGATTTTATAGAGTATCAAATATTGCCAAAAACGGCATTTTTTACACTTTTAGGTTAGAATATCTCAAAACGCTGACGTGATAGAGCAATTTGCTTGTCATTTTTGGATTTAGCGTGATAAATTACATCGGAAATGACTATTCCGGTTTCTGGGTCTAAAATTTGTAGGCCTGTGTTACTTTTACAGTTCTCCTCATACGTCAAACCGACGCGCGTTGTCTCTCCACACTTCTTCTTTCTATCCCCCACAATCAACCTTCCCCTCTCACATCCCTCACTCATCATTATCACTCTTTTCACACACTTCAAATATATTTTTATAACAATTCGTTTAAAAATGGATAGACTTTGTTTAAGCTCTAATAGGCTCTGAACGGATACAGTTGACTGGGTTAGGTTTAATAAGACAATTTCTGGAAAGTTATCGGATATTGATAGGGAGAATGAGGACCCCTTGGAGAAATATGAAAACATAACCTCCATGATAGTCAATAGTCTGAGTAGCTCTGGAGCATATATTCCAAGTACCAAAAAAGAAACATCGAGAGTAAACCCCACTTGGTAGACGGATATATGCGAGGAAGCTATTAAAAAAACAGGCACGGATATCCTACATAAGGCACTAGCAAAGGTAACATATGGAGCAAACCCAGAAACATTGCTCATGGTCTATAAGGGATGGAGAAGGGCGATTATCGAGTGGGCGGCGGTAATGTTTGCAGGGGCGAGTGGGTCGGTCCTGGGAGTGTTGGATAAAATTCAGTTCATAAAATTCATCCTTTTTGCTCAATAAAAATATTCTCAGGATCGCGAGCTGGACTGATAATCCGATCATTTCAAGATTACGGGGATTGATTGAAAAGCTCGAGTCCACAAAAAACCCGCCGAAATATATAAAAAGATAATCTATGATTTAATCAATAAATCCAATAGGAAAAATCATAGATAGTGAATGGAACAGGATGATCTTAGACCTAGATCAATTATGTGATATAGAAACTGGATACGAACTCAGATCGGCCCAGAACCTAGAAAATAAATTACAGGAGCATATTCGAGGAAACTATCCGGAGTATGACCTAATCTTCACGGATGGATCATACTCAGAAGTCAGAGACAGAGTGAGCGCAAGTTTTTATATTCCCTCTAGAAATGTCAGGCAGAGTACGAGGTTAATCGGCTGTTCGACAGCTCTAGTAGTTGAGACAAATGCAATTTTTAGGGCACTAAAATTTTTGGAAACGACTTGAGAATTCAGACTCGAGTCCTGTAATATTTGAAATAGTAGAGTTGATTTCGAAATTAAAGCGAAGTGGTTGGTATGTCAGATTCCTCTGGGTTCCTTCACACTCGCAAATTGCGGGAAATGTAGAAGCTAATAGACTTGCAAGAATGGCATTGAGTTTTGAAGTCGGAATTAAAGTTAAAATATTTAAAGAAGATATAAAAAGAATGTTAGATAGAGATTACAAATCGGCGATCGACACTCAATGGCCATTCTTTGAAGAAATTAAAACAAGACAAAAATACTTTGACTACGTTACGACAAAAACAGAAAGACCTTGGTTCTCTGTGTACGACTTGTCGAGGGGAGCAATAAACCTGATAACAAGACTGAGGACGGGTCACGTTTGTGTTGGTGAACATTTTATGAGAATGAATTGGAATTTTTCCTCAGAATGTAAATGTGGTTTCGAAAAAAGTTTAATAGCTCATTATATTAATGAATGTGAATTGTTTTCTGAAAACAGAAAGGAATTTACTAATTTCGATATGAAAAAATCCAAAACAATCAATGGTACCAATTGATTTTTAATCCAAATATGGAAACAGTGCATGAGATAGATTATGCAACGTGGTCTCATCCTCTACATCAAATGTAGTAACGCAAGTTGCTCGATCCGATCCACAGATTTTAAAGTAAGCGCCAAAAGTTTACATCCCTTTGTAACCAGTGGGCGCTCCTCTTGCTGCACCGTCATTACGCTTTTCTGTGCGATCCGGTCAACACACGTCGAGAAAAGAATAGTAAATTTTAAATAAATTAAATAAAAGTGAAGACATGGGTAAGCATACCCATTCAATCGACAAAAGAAAAACGAAAAGATCACGAGAACTCTTCTATTTGGGTCTAACTTCGCAGAAAAACTGAAAGCGGCAGAAAGATCTGGTAAAGATCTCACGAAACCAAGCACGTCGCGTCCACCGAGAACAACCGGCGACTCTAAAAAACATCAAGGTTATTAAGATAACCATTTAAACTTCAGGAGACCCTTCACGAAGAACTACAAGCCGTACCAGAGGAAGGGGCAAAAATCCCAGAAATTTCACCAAACGAGAAGGAAACCACGCCAATAAGCGAGGTGAGTACAACTTCAGGTAGATTAAAACTGTTTTACAATAATTGGTTAAAATTAACAAGTGACACATTTATCTAACAATGCGTCATAGGTTATAAAATCTCCTTAATAAAGCAGCCCTGGCAAGAGCAACCTCCAAAGGAAGTCCACTTCTAGAAAGAGGAAGAGACCGATTGAGAAATCGCAATTGACTTATTAATTAAAAAAGGGGTAATTTCTAGGTGCAAACCAAATAAACAGTTTATTTCTACCTTTTTTCTAGCGGCAAAATCAAATGGAGAAAAAAGATTTATTTTCAATCTCAAGAAATTAAATAAATTTCTTGACCCACCACGTTTTAAAATTGAGGACAAGAAAACAGTCTCCAGAATGCTCTTTAAAAATACACTTCTGTCAACCTTAGACTTGTCTGACGCATTTAATACAATTCCAATAGCAGAGTCAGACCGAAAATATCTTAGGTTTTCGTTTAAAGGGAAATTGTACGAGTTTCTTTGCGTTCCTTTCGCCTTATGTACAGCCCCCTATATTTTTACAAAAATTATGAAAGCCGTAGCAGAAAATCTTAGGTCGCAGTCCCTACTTTCAATAATTTATCTAGATGATTTTTTACTAATCGGTAAATCGAAAAATAATGTTCGGAAAACATAGAAACAACATCTCAATTATTAGAAAGTTTAGGATTCATTATAAATAAAGAAAAATCCTTCACTACCCCTTCAACAAAAATAAAATACTTCGGATTTATTTGGAACACTGAAAAAATGTCGGTCGAACTTACCGAAGAGGAAAAGCATTCTATTTCTCAACACACGGAATCTTTTCAATGTAAAAAACATTGTAAAATTAGACACTTAGCAAAATTCGTAGGGACACTTGTCGCAGCATGTCCCGCAGTAAAATATGGTACACTCTATACGAAGAGTCTCGAAAGAGAAAAATACCTAGCCCTCATAAGAGAAAACGGGAATTTTGATAAACAAATGCCCTTGTCAGCGTCACTGTTGCCTAACATTGAATGGTGGTCGAAAAACATCCAATCCGCGAGTAAAGCCATCAAAACATCAAATTTCAAACTTGAAATTTTTACAGACGCCTCATTATCAAGTTGGGGGCAGTTTCAAACGGAAACAAATTACACGGTTGGTGGGACGATAAACAAAGTAAATTCCATATCAATCAACTAGAGCTTCTCGCGGCTTTTTGCGGATTGAAATGTTTCTCGAGAATTTTCAAACCAAGCTCGATTCTTTTGAGAATCGACAATGCAACCGCAATTTCCTACATAAATAGAATGGGTAGCATCCAATACCCAAAACTAACCAATTTATGTAAGGAAATCTGGAAATGGTGCGAACAAAGGGACTTTATATTTTCGCTTCGTACATCTCATCTCGCGAAAATTCATTAGCAGACAGAGAATCGCGTACTCTGCCAAAAGAAACAGAATGGGAACTAGCACCATGGGCTTTCGGAAAAATAAAAAACAGATTCGGTAGTTTTTAAATAGATCTTTTCGCGTCTAAATCAAACACGAAATGTAAAAAATTTGTGTCCTGGAAACAAGATCCAGATTCATTCGAGATTGATGCTTTCACTATCCAATGGAGTAGTTACAAGTTTTACGCGTTCCCACCATTTTAACTAGTCTTCAGAACTTTACAAAAAATTATTACGGATAAAGCGGAAGGGGTTGTATTAGTTCCTAATTGGCCTACCCAGTCATGGTTCCCTTTATTCAAGTCACTGTTAGTGGACAAACCAATTTAATTGGAACCAAGCAATGATCTTCTTATGTGTCCTTTCAGAGAGAAACATCCATTGGCAGAGAAGCTTTCAATGGTAGCAGGAAAGCTATCAGGGAAGCTTTTCTTAAACAAGGAATCTCGGAGTCCTCGGCAACAATAATGCTTCAGTCTCTATCTGAAGCAACATATCAACAATATGAAAAACCATTGAGGCTCTGGTGGAAGTTCTGTGGAGAGAAAAATATATCGACTTTTAACGCATCACCCCAGGAAGCAATTGAGTTTCTAACATCCATCGCAGAATCTTCAAATTCGTACAGGACCATAAATACCTACCGCTCAGCAATTTCACTAGTCTTAAATTGCAATTTAGGAAATAATCCTATTATGAAGAGGTTCTGCAAAGGAGTACCCAGATAGTTCAGCAAATTGCCACAATTTTACAGCAAGTTGGCAATGCCAAATTGCAAGTTTGCATTGCCAACTTGCTGCAAAAAATCAAGATCATCCAACGAGGAAGGATGAGTTCCATCTCTCTGTGGAACGCCAACGCCACAAGTCCTAAAGTTAGATCCATCCGCGACAAAGGATATAAATCTTTTGGAAATAATAAAGGTAATAAAGTTTATAATATTGGGGTGGAAGCCAAATCTTACAAGTGTTTTGTTGAGAATGTCTAGCCGAACATTGTTAAAAGCACCCTTTATGTCAATTGAGATGGCGAGAGTATGACGAGAAGCCGAGAAACTATTCAGAACATCGGTATAGAAAGAAGTCTTCTAGACTCCACTTCATGTTCATTCTACCCTGCACAAGTTTCTCAAATAGTTTGGAAAAGACTAAAGTGATGGCAATATGACGGAAACCTTTTCCACCAGGTTTGGGAATTGGGATGACTCTTGTATTCAACCATGAGTCCGGAAAGGAAGACAACTGGAACATACGGTTAAACAGAACCAGCAGAAATTCAAGGCCTATCGGCCCAAGTCCGCGTATCATGTCCCCAGAAATACCGTCCAATCCTGGCGAAGCTTTAGGCTTGCAGGGGGTAAGAGCCTTTTTAAATTCGTTGGATGTGAATGGAAGAATCCTGTTAGAACTGGATACTGGTGGAATATCCAGACTCGGGATAAACATCGGAGAAATATCCTCCCTAATCAGCTGGTCCCTGAATTTCTTTATTAGAGGGGATGTGGGATCAGAGGATAAATTGGTATTGACTGGCCGAGCGGGAAGACAAGGCCCGGAGTGTACGCCAGAGACTCGACATACCTCCCACGGGTGACATACCTTCGCAGTAGTTCCTAAAGGCCAGATGCTTCTGCTCCCTCAAGATTCTCTTAATCTCGTTGTCCCGTCTTTTAAATTCAGATCTATTTTCTGCCGATTGATTGGACTGATACCAGTTATAATTCTCCCTTCGACTTGCCAGAGTTGCATCGCACTGCTCATTCCACCAGAGAGGACGTGAAGCTGGTTTATATGAGCGTGGCTGGGGGACGTATGCCCCGCACTCCAGTAGACACGTCTTAAGATTGTCAACTAGAGAGTTATAAACGTAGACAGGAGAGTGCTCTTGGGCACAGGAAATAAGGTTCAGATTGGAGCCCAAAACATTAACATCACGAAATCTTGTAGGGGAAGAAGTGTTAGTGATGAGTAAGTCTCTGTCCAACACAAAAGTCAGCAGAGAATCCCCTCTGATATTCGAAGTATGATCATCCCAGCATGTATGATGTGCATTAAAGTCACCACAAAAAATGTGGTTGACATTCATGGGCAGCTTTTCGATAATCTCAGACCATGACTCCCGAGAGATATCACCACCGGGAGGGACATATGGACATGTAATCTGGGTGGTGCCGAACATTGTGCGGAGGGAGATAGAAGCAACATCAATTTGAAGATTTCTAGTATGATAGGTGAAAATATTTGTAAGACGGAAGGCTATCTCCCTCCGAATCAAGATCAGATCTCCGCCACCCCAGCCAGTCAAACGATCCTGTCTAATTGAGATAAATCCCGGTATTTCAAAGTTCGAAGAGGATGTGAGCCATGATTCCGTGATGCACACATCAGGGTCATGGGTTCATAAAAGAGCTTCCAACTGTGGTCTCTTCGATTGGATACTTCTGGCGTTCCAGAGAATTAAAAGAAATATTGTATATTTTGGTCTGTGTTCTTGCATGACAAATCATATGAGAAACCAAATTGAACTAAAGGAGGGCACAAAAATTAAAATATAAATCCAAAATACAGGTAAATCAATAAATAAAACAAAATGATTCACACGGAATATGTCAAGAGAAAATAAAGAAGAATAAACAAATAATCAATCAGTAAAACAAGCGATCAAAGATTTAAGCAGAGCAAGAACAAACAGAAAACAAATAAATAAACAAATAAATAAATAATTCAATATACAAATAAGAAATAAATAAATAAAGTGTGCAGGAAAATAATGAGAAAACTTTTTATGGGCAGTGTTTCAAAATCAAAATGTAATATTAGGTTAATTTGGTCTGCTTTCGGCATTCTCAGCCATCGTATCCTCAGTAGTTCGCTGATTATGACCAGTAGAAGTCAACGGCTCCTCTTAGACTACCTGGTATCCAGGTCAAGAGATGCCGTGATTCAATAGCCAGGCCTCAGCCTCCCCATAACCCACATTGAACTCCAATCTGTGTCTCATCACTGCAAGCTCATACTTAAAGTAAGGGCATTCCTTTGAAGCTGCAGTGTGATTGCCCATGCAGTTTGAGCACTGGAAAGATCTGTTATGATTGGGACAATTGTTTTTGACATGATGCTCTGAACAGAATTCGCAAGTGGAGTGGGTTGCTCTGCACTGAGTTGCGAAATGTCTGAAACGTTGACATTTAAAACAACGCTTAGGTGGTGTGACGCTAAGCGTAAGCTTATATAAGACTCTGGCGATGAGGATAAAGTTCGGAATTGTAACACCAGAAAATATAAATTCCATTATTCCAGAAACCTCGTTGAAGTCCTTTATTTTCCTTCGAATAGAGATTATTTTAGCTCGGAACTCCCCTTCAAGCTTTTCACTTATAGCAAGAGGGAACAGACCAAGATCAACATCATGAGCCAGCGCTTTACGACTGACCAATGACGTGGGGATAAAGGACCTATATTCGCTATTACCCAAGTGAGTGGAGTTCAGGAGAGAATTAGCTAGGGACCAACTCTTGGAAGTAATGCGCAGCTGATAAAGACTATTAGAGACGATGGTACGAAGAGGGTCACTGACGATCGACTTCAGATAATCCGCGAACGCAATACGGTTATATTTTCAGATTTTCTTATTTTGAGTGGATTCAACGAGAATGGTAAAGGGGGTAGGAGACTCCTCGGAAAATCTAGGGTCCTCTTTAAAATCCTCATTCATCCAGATAAGTTCGTAGGAAACGGAATTAGAGTTCTAGGCCGAGTTGGTGTTGGGTGACTCATCAGTAAGAGACTCAGGCCTAGAAGTAAGTATATCTGTTGAATCAGATTGAGAAGAGGACAGAGGTGGGATGGCAAGATCTGACGACGTTTCAATAGTAGGATCAAAAAGAATAGGGTTCGTTTGCTCAATTGGATCTGGAAGAGGATTGGAAGCAAGGGGTGACCTTGCCTCGACCCCATCCACCGGGGTAATATCACAGGTCTCCATCGGGATGTTGGAAATGGGGGAATGTTGAAGGTGTAATGAGGATGTAAAAGAATGAAGAGGATCCCCACTTAATCCGATATTGACTTTAGAACGCTTTTCGATGTTGAAAGCAGACCCCGGTTTGAGGTTAGAAATATCCGCAGCGATCTCTTATTTATATTCATGGATCTTCCAGTAGAACGAACCTTTATCATACAATGTGGACGGTGTGTGCTAGGAGAAGAACGCAAAGGTGATTTGCGTGGATTGATTGGAGACATGAGCGCACCTAAAAATAAAAAGATAAACAGAAACGCCGGCAAATATCAATTCCGGAAACGGTCTCGGCCTCAAATGCCAAGCAGGCTCAATAAATTGAATTATTTAAATTTATATTGAAAAGAAATAATCATACATATGTAATTCAGAAAACAAAAAATAAAATAAAACTTTTTTTCCTCTATGGGTAAGTGAAAGGATAGGAATCAATTTAACTGTAAAAGGTAGTGTTTTTGAAAAATAAAAATAAAATATAGTATGATGTATATAAGTATTGTGTCACAAGGTATGTGAGAGAAATTCACTAATTGTATTTACGGACCTCAAGAATTTGGTTTTATTTTATTTATAAGAAAAATTATTATTCAGAGATATATACTGTTTAGTCAGTTTACATTTAATAAATATAATCATAGTTATGAGAATAACAAATTTAATTTAATTTAATAGTTTCCCCACAGGGAAGAAGGGTATTGTGTGTAGGAAAATAAGGTTAAAATGTAAAATAAAGGACGGCAGTACCTGGAGTTCCAGACAATCTTGTAAATAAAATGTGACCTTGTATTTGAAATTTACAAATTTTACAAAAAAAATGTAAGGTTGTATTTCAAATTTCCACTGTTAAATAACTATGAATTTCCAGATGACAATTGCATACAAAACGCTTCTGTATAGACAGTTATTCCTGTTCCTTGAAATTGAGTTTTATGATTTAACTATCGCAGCCGGTTTAAATTCCATATAACGAATATAGATATATAAAATTCCAAAAATATGATGAATCAAGACCAATATAAATTCGCAATTGTCGGATTTAATAACTGTCCAAAATAAATAGTCTAAATAGTTGGACTCCTCGTTATATGTTATAACTTCTCACTAGTGTGAGGTGTATAACCTCACCAATAAAATGCTTGAGTACTATATGCGAGAACGGTCAAAACACCTATTATCGTTAGAAAACTTCAGTGTCAAGGTTCATACAAGTTTGTGACGATGTTTAAATGTTCACATGAAAAGAATATTTACACGAAACTTTGAGGAAATATTACACTATAAATATTCACGTGCAATGTTCAGTCAATGTTGTGTCAATATTCACCTATACTTATTATATTAGTAAATAAAATTTTTATAACTTTTATAACTAGGCGAAAGTGTAATTTCAATATTAACACAACATTGACTGAACATTGCACGTGAATATTTATGTGTAATATTTCCTCAAAGTTTCGTATGAATATTCTTTTCATGTGGACATTTAAACATCGACACAAACTTGTATGAACCTTGCCTAACCTCGCCATGTGAGGTTCTGTCAAGTTTCAGGGAATTTTGGGTGCTGTGTGGGGTGGGGGGTTTATTAATTTAACTTAATTAGTTAAGGTAGAAATAAGTAAAGTTAATTAAAATAAATAAACGAAATAATTAAAAAATTAATTTAATGGGGCAGGGTTATAATTAAAGATTCACAAATTGATTGAACATAATGTGTTAATTCATAGTAATTCAGGGAAAGAAAAGAAAAAAAAATAATAAATAAAAAAAAACAATGTTTTATATATATATAATTAATATAAATAATAATTTAAATTTAAGATAAATATGCAAAAATTACAAATGGCATAAGTAGTTATAATCAATTCACGGAAACTTAATTAATCCAAAATTTAAACTTAAAATTAAGAATGAAATTAAGTACATAAAGCTGCATACAAATGACAGAATAATAGAGGAATGGATAAATACAAAATAAGACAAGTATCTAGTATTTAAGCAATACATTTAGAAGTAATATACCGGGTTGATAATCAAATTTTCAAACACTGAATGGGGGGGAGCTGAGTGAAGGCGATACGTCCCTGATGAGTCCAACCTCCCCACCCTAAAGTCGGTTCTACAATGGGCACGTTTGTACGTGAACGTGTACGTACCGTGCTGACGATACCCACTTGCACAACATTGTGACGTCAGCACGTACACGTTCACGTTCGCTTACAAACGTGCCCATTGGAGAACCGACTTGAGAGAGAGGGGTACGAAGATGTACATCTATACCCCTCTCTCTCATTAGGCACACGTTCACGTCCACGTCCGACGCGCTTATTGTAGAACCAACTTAAAGCTTACAACATATGGGAACATTTGAGAAGTAAAATAATATACAAATCAGTAACAGGAAACAGTAAACATTTAGTAACAAGAATAGTATCAAGAATTGGCCTGAATTATTCGATTGTCTTGTTCTTGTTGTGTTGTGTTCGTTTAAGATTTGAATGAAAGAATATTAAATTTTCTTTCTCTGATATTATTTTTGTTAACTTAGAAATAACAAAAATGGCATATAATGAAGAATATGCCAAATTTTATAAATCAATTGATCCAAGTTTTTTTAACATGTTAGATGTTGAATCTGTATTTCATAAAACATTTCATCCAAACGCATGTCATGTTTGCAATTTTTTTGGCGAAAAAGTTAATTTAAAACGGTGTGGTGCTTGCGAAATGATATCGCTTATTGTTCTAAAGAACATCAGTTAAAGGATTGGTCAAGTCATAAAGAAATTTGTAAAGTCATACGTCAAATAAAGAAAGAATTGGAAGTGAATAATTTATATGAATCACTTAAAGTTTCAAATGCTTTTAATGGAGTAGAAGAAATGCTTTCCATTTTCTTAGGGAAATTCCCCACGGGATTAGAAACTACTTTTGGAAAGTCATTTAAAAAAATAAGTCAAATGAAAGGTCTTAAATTAATTGTAAGCATAAAAAATCATATATTTTTTTTCAAAAGGAATAATTTTTCTTGAATATAAATTTTTGTTTTTCTAGAAGGATTTATCAGATAGAGCCATGGAATTACTTGGAAGACCATTGAAATATTATGAATTACAAATGTTTTCTTCTCCACGAGTTTGTGCTGTTTGCTTCGAATGTAATCCTCATCTTCTTACAAATTGCAAAAAATGTCCTCAATCCAGTTTTTGTGAAATGCATATAAATGATCCAAGTCATGAAAATCAATGTTTTAAATTTATATCAACACTTTATTCGCCATGTGGAATTTATGAAACTGTTCCTCCATTGATATTGGATATAATAGACGAGATGAAATTACCTGTACAAACTGAATTTGAAAAATTACCGAATTCTATGACTAAATTTTTTGAGCGATATTTTTCAAAGGTTTCATTTCACTTATTTTCTATAGAAAAGAGAGTTGCATTTAATACCTATTTTTCAAGCAAGTATTCTTCTTCACTGACAATACTTTTTGCTATGGAGAAATTGAGTCTCAATTTGAATTCTATGACAATTCATGTTGTTGGCGCATCAACACATGAACAAATTTTTAACGATTGGGAAGCAATATTGCATTATTTGCCACAATTAAATAAACTTAAAATTGTTTTAATTGGACTTGAATTTATTCCGCCGGGTAGTGTTAAAATGCAAAAGCAATGTAAACTCTGCAAGAAAAATAAAAGACAATTCATTATTGAAACAATAATGATTGAATATCATAAATACTGCGATAGTGAAAATTTTGAAAAACCAGACATGATTGCATGCTTCAATCCAGGATTTTACGCTTATAAATCTTGGGAAAAATCTATAGAAATTTTTAATAAAGGACAATGTCCAGTGTTGATAACATCTTACAATGAAATGGAGGGAAATCAAGATAAAGAAATTGTTGATAAAAAATTTCCTTCTGCAAATTGTATTTTCAATGATTACAATCCGTTCGCAAGTTTTTATTTTAAAACATTGTATGTTGTTTGTGATTTTTCTGCTGACAATGAGTTTATATTTATTTACAAACATCTTGGCAATTTAAAAGTTTCTAAATGATTGATGGGTAAGAATATTAAAAAAAAACATATATATATATATGTTTATAATTGTAACAAATATTATTTACTTTATCAATAATTATTCATTTTTTACAGGGACGCAAATTCTAGAATTTCTCAAGTATTGTGTCCAGTGTACTTGAAAAGTGATTACTTTTAAAAAGTAAATTAAAATATGATGTATAATTTGGTGTTTATTTGTTTCTATTTGTTCGAATTATTCAGTCTTTGTTCGTCATATATCTATATTTGTTAAAAATGTTGAATGAACAATTTAATACTTTTAAATTTTATATTTAAAAACGATTTCTTTTAACCTAAAGAAAAAAATAAGGGAGTATTTTAATTTATTGATGAATATTTGAAAAGAATAACTTCTACTAAAAATAGTGTAAAAGTTGTAGATGGTATTTGTTGAAAAAAAATTTTAAATTCGACATTATCATAAAGGATTCATTCGTTAAGAATCCGTTATTAGAAAATATTTCATTGTATATTTTCTGTTTTCATTAATAATAATAATAATAATAATAATAATATGTAATACTTTAAAAAAAATATGTAAAATTTTTATCGAAATCTGCGATTTCAAGAAAATTTCTTTCTTATTATTTAATACATTTTGAATAAATATATTTCAATACTACAGAATTTTTGTTCTATTTTTACCAACATTAGTATTTAAGATTAATTTCCAAAAATAGTGCCTAACATTCTTAATAATTTATTTTTTATTTCATTTACTAATTAATAAATGTGACCTGGACAGTTAAAAGGGACCTTTTGTCCGAAAAAATTAATTTTTTATTGATTGGTGATTCTGATAGAAAAAAGTTTTCTCTATCAGAATCACCAATAAAAAAAATCGATTTTTTCGGACAAAAGGTCCCTTTTAACTGTCCAGGTCACAAATATTTAAACGTTTTCCTATAATTAACGTTACTTTTTTTTATTACATATTTGAAATATTCAAGAAAAAACAAATAATTTTCACATATTATTTTATTTTTAATCTTCAAGTAAAACAGAGAAAAACGCGTTTCAAAAGTGGCAAGATTTAAAAAAATCATAACTTATAATTTTCATTAAATAAAAAAACACGTATGTCTTTATTTCCATATAGGATTCGAAAAAAATTTTGAATGAAAATTTCACGAAGAATGATATACGTATTATATTCTAATATTATTATAATATTAATTTTTTAAAAGTTAATTTAAATTTGTAAATTAAATTTACCGCCATTTTAAACAGCGACATCTACATGTTGTGGTACTACTGATTTTCGAAATAAATGAAATTCTTCAATTTTAATTTTTTAATAAATATTATTTTACTATTACATATTATATGAGAGAATTAAATTATAATATTACAAAAAAAGTAATTAACTATTTTCTAAAGTTATAATAATGATAAATTAAAATTTCATCAAATTTTCTTTCTATTCTGTTGGTATACGGAAATTGCGGAAAAAAATCACGAAGATACCCAAATCCAACCTCTTCGTCTTCGTTGTTCGTTATAGTATGATTGACGTGTTCATCAAATTATTATAATAAATTATTTAAATTTTCTATGTGTTTCTATTATTTTTTTTTTTTAAAGTGTTAATTTACAAAAGGGAAAATGGCCAAGTTTCCCGATGACTATAGGCCCAATCATTTGTGTATGCCCACAAATGTGAGAAAAACATTTCAATCAAGATTTTTTTATCCAAACATGTGTCACGTTTGTCATTGCCTCGAGTCGGAAACAATTAAATTAAAAAGATGTAATAATTGCAATATGATATCGTATTGCAGTAAAGAACATCAACAAGAACATTGGTATTTGCATAAAGAATTTTGTCGAGTTGTTGCAATGTTTTTAAAATTCAATGGAACAAACAATTTATTTGGATTTATGAAATCACTCAAGGATCCAGATGAACGTTTCAATGCAAAAGCAATGCTATTGAATATGTTGAGAAAACAAATGAATAGGGATCTTTATGATTTTGAAAAACAAATGATTTTATATCCAAGGATGTGTGAAATTTGCTTTGAAACAAATCCTGATTTACTTGTTAATTGTCAATTTTGTCCACAAGCAAGTTTTTGTACAATTCATAGTAATAATAAATCACGACACAATGAGATATGCTTTTTTTATGCAATTTGTTATACTTCGGATTTTTATCTTTTTTGCGACGATAGTTGTCGAATAATACCATCAATGAATTATGTACTCTTTCAAGAGGATGAAAATTTTATAATGCCCGAAAATATGTCAATATTTTTACAAGAATACATCACGGGAATTCCACTTATTTGGATGGATTTGACAAAATTTGATTATTGGATTTATGTTTGTTCGGATTTTTTTTCTAAACCTCTTACAATGCTTTATGCTTTACAACAATTGAACTTTAAAGTGAAGTCGACATTGACTATTCATATTATAGGTAAAATATTTTATTTTTATTTATTTATTTCATAAATTATATAAAAATTGATTAAAAATTTTTATTTTATTTTTTTTTATATTTTATACAGTATAAATCGATGTGGTTTAAATGAATTCATATATTTGCGAACTTTGTCAACAAAAACAGATAGATAGTAATAAGATATAAATATGTTTTCAAAAGACTATTTTGAAAGTTTCATTGTTTACAATTAAAATCTATTAAGTTTAGGCTAATGAACAGCTATGTCTCGCGATATACAAAATAAATTGAAAATACCAATTTAAATTTAATAAATTACTGAATTTTATTTTGAAAACAATTTAAGTTATTAAAATTATTTTTATTTAAAATCAATATTAAAATTTTATTAATAAAAGGAGAGAAATTTTTTAAATAATCGAAATAATTTGTGTGAATTCTTTTATTAAAATATTCCTAAATCCTCTTTATTCAACAGGTTTGGCATCGTCAAAGGAATACGAATTTCTCTCCATGGAAACTATTCTACATTTATTGACGCAACTAAAGGCTCTCAATATTATTCTAATCAGTCCAAGTTTGATTGAGCGAATTGAAGAAACAAGTCAACAAGTGAACGTATGCAATCGATGTGTCGAAAAGAAAAAGTGTTTTTCAATGACTGGTTATAAAATGCCCTATTCGTCTTATGTTAAAAGCAAATCTTTCAAAACTCCTGATATAATTATTTGCTATGATCTAGGAGATCTCAAATGCCAATTGTGGGATCAATCCCTCATGGAAATGAAAGAAATTTCTGCTCCATTTCTCGTGACAAATAATACACTACCGAGGGCATTGAATTATCAAAAAAGAATGGATGATCTTTTCAATTATCTTACAAGTGATGTGCACATTCAAAAAAATCCTTTCTCATCAACGTGGCCCTATAGAAATGAAATTGATAATTTGTTGAATTTACAAAACAACTATTTTTCAGTGTACACTTTACACAACATTGACATAGACGATCAGGCAAAAAATAAGAAGATGAAGCAGGTGCAAAAAAATCAATCTGATGAAAATATTCACAAAGAAGAAAATGAAACACAAAAATCTTCAAATGAACCAAACACGAGGGAAGAATTTCCAAGTACATCAAATTCAAATCAAGATGTCGAAAATTGTGATTCAGAACAATTGAAGAAAAAAAGGAAAAAGAAAAAAAAGAATAAAAAAATCAATCAAAGTCCTGATGTTTCAAGACCGGCATCGTCGAATAATAATTATGTGGCGCCTGAAATTCCAAACGAGACACCATCGAAAATTGACGAATCTCCGCCAAATGAACAAACGGAAATTGTCGATTTAACTTTTCAATTATCTGCGACGAGTATTCAGGAAAATAAAGAAGACATTGTTGAAGCAAAAACTGATCAAGTTAAAAAGAAAAAATCCAAAAAGAAGAAATCAAAATCTGTTCAGGAATCTAATGTAGAAAATAAACTCGAAGAAGCTAAAGTTGAAAATAAAATTGAAGAAAGGGATATTAAAAGAAAGAAAAAGAAGAAATCAAAAAAACAAGCATCCACCTCCAAAAATATTGAATCAGATGATGCAGATGATAGTAGTTTGAAGATAAAAATTGCTCATTCTGATTGCGTTAATGAAGATTCATTGCTAAAAATGGAATTATTGGAGGCAAATAAAGCCGGTTCTTCAACCACTGAAGGAAATAGGTCACAATATCTTTTTGGACCAGCACCATGTGAAAAAACTCTCGAACAATTAGTGGAAGATAATAAAAGACTTTTTGTAAATGTCGAACAAATTGCTGAAGAATATAAAATGCTCAAAATCACTGGTAAACAAACAGCAACTTCCATGTTACAAGAAATGGAATGTCTTCGTATGAGTTTAGAAAATATTGAAGAAAAAATAATGACCATATTTCCTGGTGAATTTGATTAAAATAAAATACAATCTTCTTTTTTGTAAATTGACGAATTTTATTTTTAAAAAAAAATTATTAATATTTATTTATTCGAGTTTCTCACTTTTGACGTACAATTTCAGTTTTCATTAACATTTTTTATTCTATTCTTAGAATTTCAGAAAAATTTGTACTATTAAACTTTTATCATTTTTGAGACGTTTTGTTGTGTTAAATATACGATATTTTAATGTATTTAAAGCTATATTGTAGAAAAAAAAATGAAATCAGTCACTTCACAACAAAGATTTATGAGGAATAAAATACAAATATATAGAATATTAGGAGAAAAGTTTAAATAAAGAAAATTTTTTTATTTTATACAAACAAAACGTGTATTTTTAAAAAAAAATGTAAATACAAGAAACATTTGGTTAATGTATATGTAAACTTTGTTAACCATTTATTGTATAATATTGTTTTTAACAATAAAAATGAAATTTAATTTTAATTATTTGTTTTTTTTTTTAATTATTTGACACAAATTTATTTTAAATAACAAAGCAACTTATATATCATATATGAATATATAATTATTTAACATTCAAGTAGTACTTGATAGTAAATTTCAATAATATATAATTAATTATTTGTTTTTCGTCAAGTTTTCTAATATTTTTCCAACCTTTTCAAAAGGTATTTCCTTATTCAACTTTACTCTATCACATATTCCTATTTTAAATAGACTTATCCAATTGGGCACAATTTTACATAATAATCGAACATGTTTTTCCAGTTCAGGAATTAATAGTTCTTTAGTAATAGAAAATTTTATCTTTTCTACCAATGTACTTAAGGTTAACACATTTTTTCGTTCACTTAAAAAAATATTTCGAATCATTTTAGCTGTAGCAGGTAGCTTAACATAATAATCTTGATTTTCTTCATCCTAAAAATAGATTAATTATTAGATATATATATATATATTTATTTATTATTTTTTAATACTAATTCATTTCAAATCAGGCAGACTGAATTTTTTTCGGTTCTGAAAATTTATATCATGTACGAAATTTTGTTTTTTAATAATTTTCAGACGGCACGTATTTTTTTATTTGGCTAAAATTTTTTTTTTAAAGTTATAACAATTTTAATTTTTTAAGTCGGTAAAGTCATTTATCCTAAAATTAAGAAAAAAAATCTTTCAATTGTCATATTTTTTAGACTAATTGCAATATTTGATTTTTTCCTTTTTAGGTTTGAAAGAGCTTTCACTCTTCTTCAAAAATCCGGTAAGAAAATTAAAAAATATTGAAAAATAACAAAATGGAGGTCATTTTACTAAAAAACTTTAAATTTAAATTACCCTACCTTTTTTTAGCTCAAATTTTTATGGTAAATTTTCATCATATTAAAGAATGTCCCAATGTTGGTTGAAAAATTAAATTAAAATCGTTAAAACTTTACAAAAAAATTTTTTTAGCCAATTAAAAAAATACGTTTTGTCTAAAAATAATGAAAAAACAAAATTTTGTACATGATATAAATTTTTAGAACCGAAAAAATTCAGCCTGACTAATTTAAAATTAATTCGGTCTTTAAATAAATTTGAATAGTAAAATTTAAAAGAAAAATTTTAAAATTAATAATGTTAAAATTCAATAAATAATAGTAACACAATAAATTACAATTTAAAAAATTAAAAAACATTTTTCAATTTGAAGAAATTTGTCATTATTTATATAATGAAAGAATTTTAATTTTGAACATACTTGTTTGGAAACATTTTTTGAAGCCTCTTCTATTGGCATCTGAGAATTCGAATCAGTTTTTAAGCATTTCATTACCTTTTCTGAAATAAAATAATTTATTTAAATAATTCGGAATATAATTTAAATTTAATATTAATTGTACAAATTTTAAAAAAATTTATTATATCGATAATGATATAAAAATTGAAACTGTGTTTGAAAAAATTTCATTTACTTTACAATATTATAAACAGAAAATTGATTAAAAAAAAAAAAACTTACCCAAAACTTGTTTAGGTGAAACTATTTTAGTTGTTTTAAAAACTGCCAAGTCAGAAACTTCAATTTCTTGACATTTTTCAAAATCAAAATTAGGATGCCAACAATTAATTTTTACTTTTCGAATCACTGACCTCGATTTGCTAGTTTCTTTTAAAAATATTTCATGTTCACGTTTAACTCTTTCTGTAATAGAAGCATTTAGCCATATTTTTAAATACATTTTTACATTAATCAATTCTTTAGAATTTAAAATGTTAATAATAAATTGAAAAATTTATTTTGAAATCAATTTTAGATAAATACCTAAAAGTGCTGTGTAGAATTTTTTCTTTCTTACAGAAAGTATCTCTTTGCTTTCTTCATGAATATTAGATTCACTATTGAATGACGGTTCTAATACAATTTCGTAAACTACTTTATTTGGATCTGAAAATTGCAATCTTTTTCGTTTAAACGAAAATGCTTCGGGAAGTAGTGAATGGATTTTTCCTAAATCATCTAAAGTAACAGTTTTTTTTGACATATTTTTAAGAGCAGGTTGTAATTTCTTAAATGTTATAATCACGCCTCGTTTGTAAAGCATCATTGACACCTGTTACAAAAAAAATTATGTTAAAATTAAAATATATTTTTAAAATTAAATTTAAAAAAAAAGATCTTACCTCATCAATGCATGAAAAAACTTTCAGAAGAAATTTATAATTCTCCGGTAACGGTAAATTAGTTTTTAACATATCTCCAATTTCATCTTCTTTCTGTAATCTGAGAATTTAGAAAAAAAAAATTAATCCATTGACATTAAATTGAATTATAAAAATATTATATAATAATTAATATTAATAATAAATTATAATTGATATTACCTTTTAGGAATAAGAGTTTGAATATTCGTTTCTAATTTTGAAATTTTAATATTCTTTGTTTGTTGTGAATCAATTTTTGTTGTTTTAACATCATCACTAGATGTTTCATTTGGTTTTTTTTCTAAAATTAATTTTTCCTTAATTAGTGGTTTTTCTTTTACTTCTTTTTTAGTAGGCGAATCAATTTTTTCTACAGTTGTTGATATCGTTCTTTGTGTGTTAAATGTTGACGAATCTTTTATTACTTTAACATTAGTATATTTTGATTTTGTTTCCTTTTTTAAAACTGAAATTAATAAATTTGAAGCATTCAAAGTTGCATTATTTTCTTTTCTTGGATTGACATTTTTAGTCAATGCTACAACTTTTCTTGGATTTTTAATCGATTTTTCATTGTCCTTTAAATCATCTAGTGATCGTTTTCTTTTTCTTTGATTAAAATATTCTGTTATACGTGGTTGTAATTGTAACATTTTCTCTTCCTTCTTGCGAGGTCGTGACATTTTTATGGTTGCAAAATTTTATTGCTTAAAAATAAAAAAAAAATGACATAATTATTACAAATGATTTATTTTATATTAATTTTTTATAAATAGAATAGGTCGCAATTTTATACTTTTTTTAAAATCATACGTAGGTATTTAAAGCACATTAAAATTATATTAAATTTTTAAAATAAAGTTTGAAATAAAATAAACTGAAACTGTATTTATATTAATTTTTTAAATAATAAACATACGAATTTATAGGTTAGGAATTGAATACTATTAATAGATATTAAAAATATATTTTTTTAAACATAATTTTAATTTCATTTACCTTATAAATAATGATAGTTAATTTATTGTCGATTTATATTTTTAATTTATTATTATTAAAGAATAGAACACAAGAATTAAACAATGTAAACAAACGCCTGTTGCCTGACATTGACACGTGATTATTATACTTCTTTCCTATTGGTTACATAGCAGCAGACGACAATTGTGTTGGTATAATTTTTTTTATTTTTTATTATTTGTTTTACAATAATTATAATTAATCTTTCATTATAGAAATACTTAAACAAAGAAACTTAAATTACTCTAAATTAAATAGAAAATATTTCATGAAGCTTCCCGAAAGTCCATTTGCAAACAATTGCAAAAAATATTTAAATCTCCCACTTAAAAATGAAAATTTTTGAGTTTTTAATGTTGGTAAACCTTTTGTATACAAAAACTTTAATTGTCAACCCTAGTTGATTGTGATCAATTGTGATTTTATTATTTAATATCTTTTTTACTCTGACATAATTATGAAATTTTAAATAAAAAAACAAATTTTCATTTGCAATTGAAAAGAGATTTTTGTTAAAAAAAAAAAATATGTACAAACAGGAAGATCTTTGTAGAGTGTTGAAAATAAAAGACTCATCGACAGCCACGTGCGTTGAAAAATATGCATTTTCGTTCTTTTTTTCGTATGCAAACATTTGTCAAGTTTGTTTCTCTCATGAGAGAGATATACGATTAAAACGATGTACAAGATGTAAAATGGTGTTTTATTGTGGTAAAGAACATCAAAAAGAACATTGGTCAATTCATAAAGAATTTTGTCATGTTGCAACGAAATTATTGAAAAAAATTGGAGGATCAAATCTTTTTGAAAAAATGAAAACCAGCGAACAACAAATACGACTTGATTGGAAAAATTGTCTTGTTGATTTCTTTGAAAATGAGCTAAAACGAAAACTTATACCCTATGAGAAATCATTGATTTTCTTTCCAAAACTTTGTGCTGTTTGTTATGAGAGTGATGTAAAACAATTAATGTTTTGTTATAAATGTCCACACGCCAGTTTTTGTAAAAAACATTTAAATGATGAGACACATTTTGAAAATTGTCAATTATTTTCCCAAGGATTATTATTAAATGCAATGGGAATAACTTTTAAAGCTGCGCCTGTTCCAGGTAATTTTTTTTTTAATTTTAAAACATTTCTTCGATCTACGATAATTATAATTTAATTTTTAGGTGTCATTAAAAGTGTTCCGTATAATAGAAAAAAAGTTCATCTTCCACACGATATGCAAGATTTTCTCGATTACCATTGCAAATGCAAAAAATCAATTTTAAATGATTTTAAACGAAATGAGATACAAAATTATATGTCTGAACATTTAACAAGACCATTGACTGTTATTTATGCTTTAGAAAAAATTCGTCATCCCAATGAACAAATAATGACAATTCACGTGATTGGTGCGAATAATTATGAGGAAGTGAGTCAATCATCGTGGGAAGTTTTATTTCATTGGTTACCAAATTTAATTTCATTGAAAATTGTTCTAATTGGTCCAGAATGCTCGAATGTGAATAATCAAATTCAACTTTGTAAAATTTGTGTTGGAAATTCGCGAAAATTATTTGTCGAATCACATGGATTACTTTATAATGATTATTGGATGAGTGATAGTTTCACAAAACCAAATGTCATTGTTGCTTTTAATGCAAGTCTCAAAATGTATAACACGTGGATTGAATCATTGCAATTGTTGGCAAAAGTAAATTGTCCATTTATTTTAACAACATACAGTAAAATAGAAATTGATTCCGATCATGAGATAATGCTTCAAATCTTTGGTCATGTGGCGCGTTACACATTTAGGGGAAAAAATCCATTTGCAAGTTTAAGGCCTTATCGTGATGTTGTCAATACAAATGTATTTTTTCGTAATACCGGAATAATGATATACACAAAATTGGGACAAAAAGCCATAAAAACAAATTTAACTGGATTACTTTTCAATAATGAGAATGTTGATTTGAAAAATGTTGTCGAAAAAAATACAAACCTCGCTGTACGTAAGTTTTTTTTTTCATCTAATAAATTAAATTTTTTTTTAAGTTTGAATTTACAAATAAAATAATACTAGAAGAAATTAACTAAAAAAAACTTGAAAATTAATAAAAAATGGAAACAAAAAATAATTTGATTTAAGAGGAGTCATCACCTTTATTTTGAGTTTTTTAAATTTTAATGATGGCAGAAAGTTATATTCTTTTTTTCTTACATCATTTGGATGCTGAAAAAGAATATTTAAAATTGAAAAGAAAATAGATTTTTTAAAATATTGATTTTTTTTAAGACTTTAATTTTTAAAATGGTCAAAAATTAAAATTTTATTTTTCTGACAATCTTGTATGTTTTTAGGAATCAAATAATGCAAGAAAAAAATATAACTTCCTGCGATAATTAAAATTTAAAGGATTCAAAATAAGGGTGGCGACTACTCTTAATATACTCTTAAATATGCTTCTTTGGAATTTATATTTTATGAAATTCTTTTTTTTTTGTTTCAGTCAAAAATATTTTGAGGCATTTCCAATTCAAAAAACTTGAGAAAAAGGAGGAGAAACAATGTCTAGAATTTTTTTATCATACGATAATTATCATATTGGTAATTTTTATTGTTCTGTTTTTTTGTCATTTCTATAGAGCCTTATTGTTATTAGAAGTTAAAAAAAAATTGATAGCGTTTAAAACGCAAACATTTTATTTTTAAATATTATTTAATTTAAATAATACAAGTTTGAAAATTACAAAAAAATTTAAATATTACGTAATATTTATAAAAAAAAAAGATGCAAATTTTAAACACGTGTCAAAGAAAATATGTAAGTGTTAAATAATTTTGCATGTATAAATGTGCATAAATATTTTCAAATTTAAATAAAATATATTTTTAAATTTAAAAAGATTTTCATTTCATTAATATTTAGATTTTGTATTTTTTTTTGTTCGCGAATTTACTAAAAAAAAAGTTTTTCTTTTTTTTCAATGATTCATAAAAATGTAATGTTATATTTTTTTATTAACATAAATTTTCATGTTTTTATTTTAATATTCAATAAAAAAAAATGTTTTTTTCTTTAAACTAAGTATCGAATAAATATAAATAATATGCGACTAATTATATTTTTCATTAGAAATTTTAAAAGTTTGTTTATACTTTTCAATATTGGAACTGTGTATATTGAATTTCAATTTGATAATGTATTTCCGAATAATAGTTATTGATACAATATAAATACAATTGATTTTGGAGGTCAGATGAATAATAATTCTCTCAACTATGAATAAGAAAGTTTTGTATTTTAGTTAATTAAAGAAATTTCATTTCTATCAGTTGTATATTTGCGTGATTTCAAGTAACATCAAATTTTCTCTCTTTTTTTATATATTCGCAAAAATGTTGTCTCTCGGTGATATGCGAACATCCTTGGGTTTGTCGGAGGAATCAGTGACAAATGAAATGGTACACAAGGAATTTTGCAATAATTTCTTTTACGCAAATGTCTGTCAATTTTGTATTCAATTGAGTAAAGAGAAAATTGTAAAAAGATGCTCAAATTGTGACTGTATTTTTTATTGTTCGCGAGATCATCAATTATCTCATCGTGAGGAACATAAGGATTTTTGTAATGCATTAAAATTTATTAAAACTAATTTGGATAAACAAGACATTTTTCAAAATATGCCAATGATTGATGCATCATTTAAAAATTATTTAATCGATCTGGCAGAAATACAATTGAATAGACCATTGAAAAATTGTGAGAAACAATCGTTTCTATTTCCACGTGTTTGTCTCATTTGTAACGAAAGTAATCCAAAATTGGTGAAATCATGTAAAAATTGTCCTCACGCTAATTTTTGTGTAAAACATTTAGACGATCTTGATCATCAGAGGGAATGTCGATTTTTTACATTTTGTTTTTATTTGGATCATTTTTCATTGTTATTCAAGACAATACCTTTTGATGATTTTATTAGTGTTTTTCCACGCAACACTAAATACACTCCACTATCAACAAATATGGGAATGTTTCTCGTCGATTATGTGAAACCATATCACAAGGATTTATATTTCGATGCTGTTGAAGTACAAATGCATCTTTCGTCAATTTTTTATAGAGTTGTTACTGTAATTTATGCAATACAAAGATTAAATCTCACGCGATGCACACAACTTCAAATTCATGTGATTTGTAAAAAACGAATGGACGAAATGAATCAAAATGAATGGGAAATTTTATTTCATTGGTTTCCAAAATTAAAATCAATAAAAATTGTTCTTATCGGTTGTCAAGGATTACCGAGACATGTGCCAACGAAATTATGCGATCTTTGTAAAGGAATTAAAAGAACATTAAAAGTTGAAGCTCACTATGTTTTATATAAAGATTATTATAATGAAACTTTAAAAGTTCCCGATATTATTGTTGCATTTGATGTTGGTTATATGACTTTTAGAACATGGATGGAATCATCGAGTATAATAACATACATGAATACGCCTATTGTTTTGACAGGAATGACACAAGCCGATTTATTAGCGGGTCTTCAGGATTGTGTCGAGGATCCAAATAAATTTTCACAAATTATCATCAATCCTTTTGGTAGTTTAAGACCCCAAAGAAGTAGTCGAAGTGTTGTTTATCCTAGTCATTATATTAGTATTTATGGTGATGATTCACCGAAAATTGCTGATATATTGACGAGTGATGATGTTTTTGATGAGAATAAAACCGCCAATGACAATAAAACAAAAGCAGAATTGATTGCCGAATTGAAAATAAAAAATTCACAATTGGAGCAAAAATTTGAAATTTTCACTTCGGAAATTCATAAATTAAAATATCGCAACGATCAACTATTAAATTTTCTTGGAGAGGTGCAAGAACTTAATAATAAATTTTTCAATCTGGAAGACAGATTTTACGAGGTAATTAAAAAATATTGCATATTTATTTAAATTATTAGATTTTAATTTTAATACAAATTTTTTTATTTTCCTTTTCAGACTTTCGAAACTAAATGAAAATCACATTAATTATTTTATAAATTGTACATAGGATTTAATAATACCCGAATTTGGTAACTGGATTTCAATAATTTTAAATATGACTGAATATTGTACAAAAGTAGATATTTTAAGTAGATTATTTTTTTTTAATTTTTGTCGAAACCTGTTTGAAGTGTAAATATCATTTTAATTGTACATAAGACTATCATTTTGTGAATGTATCAAAAACGTACACTTCTTTAGTGTAAATGGAAAAAAAATGTTATAGATCTGAATAGCTAATTAATTTGCAGTGTTATTATTCATTTCCTAAAATTTTCAAAACAAAAATATTTGTTAGGAAAATATGTACGTCCTTGAAAATTTCACTGAAACTTTGAAGTTATCCATTTTCTTTTCTTATTCAATCTTTTTCTTTTTTAAATTTATTTATAAAATAAAATTATGAATTAAAAAATTTTTTTTACCTTTAAAAACATTTTTAAATAACTGAGTGTTGCAATTTTTTACTTTTATTATTATTATTATTATTATTATTTAAATTCAAGTAAATTTTTATAAACGAATTTTAAATAAATTACGATTTGGTAAATGAACTAAAAAAAAAAAATAATATAACAATTTCCATGCAACGAATTTATTTATAAAATAACTAAATAATTAGTAGTATTACAAAATTAAAAAACAAATTAAACAGATGCTTTTTTTTAAATTGAACATTAATTTATAAAACAATACAAAAATAAAACATTTGTGCACAACAGATCTTATTTGTCAATTATGAAACTGATGATGATATTGAAAAAGTTTATAGTACAATATGGAAAATATTTTCAATATTCTCTCATTTCATAAATAGGATCTCTATCATAATACTTTAATAATAATTAAAGGCACTTAGCTTTATCACTGAATTTCAGGATAACTTTGCTTTTTGTAATTTTTTGTTAATCCTGAGAAAAAAAGTTTCCTTATTTAAAAATCATTGAGCTTTCACTGTCAGAACCTGCAACATATAAACTTTTATAAATTAAATAAATTTTACAACAAAATTTCAATGAGAAAGATATTTAATATTTATTTTTTGTATATATTTTATGTAGTTTTAATGAAAAAAAAAGGAGACCCACTTTCAAAAATTAAATTTTAATTATTTTATATCAAATAATTCATTAAAAAAAATGTAATGAAAAATAAAATTCACTTACAATTGTTTTTATTTATAATCGTAAATTGTCAGAATTTCGCTGCGTGCAAATATTTGTTCATCGTCACTGTTCCTTTCGCATTGATAGCTTGCAAATGGATTAAGTCCAAAATAAAAATGCTTCACTCCAGGTACAATACTCTTTATCATTTTATGATCTTGATCAGCTTCTATTTCCGTAAATGATGTCTGTATAAACGGACAATGTAAACCCACAACTAATTTTATCGCTTGATACCAAGTTGGATAAGCATGAAGTCCGGCATTGTAGGCAACAATAAAATTAGGTTTCACAAAAGATGACGATTTCATAAAATTCTGATAAAACTCTGTACTAAATTCAAAATCCATATGAACACCTTTTTTAATACAAGATTCACATAAAATATCTTTTCGAATTTTATTAGAACGTCCTTCAATTTGAGGTCCAATAAAAGTTATATTTAAATTAATCACTTCCGGCAACCAATGAAGTATTAATTCCCAAATTGGTTTTTCAATTTCATCATTTGTTGCACCAATAACGTGAATTGTTAAATTTGTTGAAATTGAAAATTTTAATTTTTCCAAAGCATACAATATTGTTAACGGTGGACAAAGTGCATCGGACAAATAAATTTCCCAAATATTATTTGGTATTATCGTTTCTTGTTTGGAATTTCGTTTTACTTTAATACACGAATTGTTTGACAAAAAATCCTCCATAGAATTTGGAAGACATGTGCCAGATTTTTGTGAATACAATGTCACTGTTTTAAATTGTTTAACTTCCATTTGAAAAAAAACAGAAAGATGTGGATCCGATACATTCATTTCACAAGCACGTTTAAAGAGATGACAAATTTTTAAATGTGACGAATCATTTTTGTGTTTTTTGCAAAAACTAACTTGTGGACAATTAAAACAACTTGTCAATAAAGATTGATTATTTTCATAACAAACTGAACATATTCTTGGATACAAAATCATTTCCATTTCATAGAGAAATGGCGGTCGATTTAATTTATTAACTAATTGTCCAAATATCAATTTTTTTTGCATAACCCGTTGCCTTAATAATCGAAATTTCATATCATTTGAAGCATTCACTGGATCTTGTAATTCCTTTAAACTGTTAAACATTTCTGGTCCATTATATTCTTTGAGAATTTTACAAAAATCTTTATGCATTTTCCAATCTTTCACTTGATGTTCTCTTCCACAGTAGGTCATTAGTTGACAACTTGAACATCTTTTTAATGGATTTTCTTTATTGTCGAGTCGATGGCAAACGTGACATTTATTTGGATAAAAACATTTAAAGAAACTATCCTTATCACCACTGAAAGCTTCGGCTTGGGCTTGATTCATAAACTCATTAAGATTGAAATTAAACATTTTCTCTTTTCGTTAAAAACTGAAAAAAAAGATCAAGACCCTATTTATTAAAAAAGAATAACAATTTACAAAAAATTAAATAAATAAAATAAAATTATTTGAGTGTATGTATTTTACCTTGTGCAACAGATAACAAAACGCGTGACTATACTGAATAAAACACGTGCAAAACAGCTGACTGAACAAATTCAGTGTTGCCAATCTTCAGCTGTAGATTTTGGTACTAAATTCAAAAATTTCAAACACTTAAATTAAAATAAAATAAAATGTTTATTTATATTAAATATTTGAAATAAATTAATACTCTTTTTTTATTTATAGTTTAATTTCAAAATATTAATAAGTAATGCAGAAAATAAAAATTTCGTTTATTGAAAATAAAGTTGGTAGCCCTGAATTACCGGTAAAAGATTGTCCCTCTGTTGATTTCAAGGAGAATTATATAAGTAAACAAATCAACAAATCTTCAAACGTAAAACTTTTCTTTATCACACATAATAAAAACATAAATTAAGACTAAAAATATTTATCATTACGAATAAAAATAAAAATCATGAACTGGTGTCCGGGAATTAATTTTCTATTCAAAACATATGATTTAACAACACGTGATAAATTGCAAACTGAATTTTCCCAACATTATTTTTATCCAAACATTTGTCATGTGTGCAATTGTCATGACAATGAAGTGCCTCTTAAAAAATGTGGTAATTGCAAAATGATTTACTATTGCAGTCAAGATCATCAAAGATTACATTGGCCCTTGCATAAAGAATTTTGTAAACATGTTACAACCTTGAAACGTGTTTCTGATGAAAAAAATATTGAAACCAAAATGAATTTGATACTTTCATTGGAAAATAATATGAAGAAAAAATTAGAACCATACGAAAATGAAATGATTGAATATCAAAAATTTTGTGATATTTGTCACGAGAACGATAATAATTTACAATTAATAGCTTGTTCTCAATGTCCACATGCAAATTTCTGTCAAAATCATCAAAATAATGACGAACATAAAGAATTTTGCTCTCTCTATACAATGTGTTATCTTCAAGATTATTATTCTATAGTTTTTCGTGAAATGCCAATTCCAAGAATGATGGAATTCACGCCACGTGATAATACGGAAATTGAAAATTGTTTACCAAATTCCATGCAGGATTATATGGATATTTATTTTAAATCACAAGAAAAATCGAAATTTTATTTTCCATCGATGGATGTAAAAGTATATGTTTCACAACATTTTACAAGACCATTGACACTAATTTATGCTATGAGGGAAATTGAAATTGTCAATAAATTGCAATCAAATGAATTTATAATTCATGTATTGGGCGCGAGTAATCGTGAAGAAAAATCATTTATCGAGTGGGAAATTTTATTTCATTGGTTACCTCAACAAATAATGAAAATTAAAGTTATTCTTGTTGGACCTGAACTTACGAATGATGGTCCATTTTCCGACGGTAAGTTTACATTTTTTTTTTCTTTTACTTTTTACAAAGTAAAACTTTCTTTTATTTTATATTGTTTGTTATAGGAAAAGTATTGGATCTTTGTGCAAATTGTTTTTCCAAAGGCAAATCATTGGAATTACAAACTCAGAATATTTTATATAAAAATTATTGTGAGAGTGAAAATTTTGTGAAACCTGACATTTTAATTGGTTTTAATCTTGGAATAATAGCTTATGATTCCTGGGAAGATTCAATATTAAAAGCTTTGAAATTAAAATGTCCATTCATTGTAACGGCATTTTCGGAACGTGATGCAAAGGACGATCAAGGCTTAATGCAAAGAAAATTCAATGCCAGTGCAACAATAGTAAAAAATCCCTTTGCAAGTTTAAGACCAAAAAGAAGTGTAATTGGCGAGAGAGTATTTTATGAAAATCAATTCTTAATGATTTTCATCGACGTAGATGTTAATTGTCTCCTTCCTGTGGAAAATCAGGAAAAAATAGTTAATAATTCAGATCTTCAAAATTTTAATAAAAAAATTGAAATTAAAAATCCAATTGATTGAAAAAAAAGATTAAAATGACATTAAATTATTTTTTTTTTTATTAAAATCGACATTTTTCATTTTAAAGAATTTCTTATTAGTATCATCAAAAAAAAAAGAATGATTTTTGTTATCATTACAATATTTTATAAGTTGATTTAAATTGTGATTTTCACAAAAACTGCGTTATAAATTTTTCGATACTTTATAAAAGTAAAAAAATTTTTTTTTTTAAGTATATAACTTTCTTTTGTTATAAATCTTATTATTTTTCTTTCAAATGTGAAAGATATTTTTTTTTTTTTTTAAAATTTGTTTCCATTCGAACAAAAAAATGTTTTTTTTTCAAAAATTGAATGTAATCATTATTTTATGTAATTTGCAAAAAATAAAGAGTATTTTGGAAAAATTGTATTACTAAAAACTGCTTACTTAAATTTATTTTAGGGAATAAAATATTCTTTCAATTTTGTTGTAAATAATAAAAAAAAATGTATTTTTAAAATAAATGGAATATTTTTATTGTTTTTTTTTTTGAAGAACCGTATCAATTTCTCTTCAAATTATTTTCTAAATTTAATTATCTCGAAAATTTTAATTATCCATAAATTATTTCGTAAACTTCACTCAATTTAAAAAAATGAAAAATTTAAATGTTGGTCACACTGATTTAACAGTTGGTTTGCCTGCTAAAACAATAATCATCTATCTTCATTCTATTTTGATTTTATTTCTTCAAACCGCATTATGTATATTGCGACAAATTCTGTTTTTTTTGCATAATTAAAAAAAATGTATAAAAGTGAAGACTTCAGAAATATTTTCCTCTCTTTGGGAGAAGAAGTCGAAGAATGTTCCAAAGTGTTATTTTCTCAAATGCATTTTTACGCGAATCTTTGTCCTGTGTGCTTTAATCATAATCGTGAAACACGTTTGAAAATTTGTTCCGGTTGTAAAATGATTTCATATTGTGGCAAAGAACATCAAATACAAGATTGGCCGAGACACAAAGAATTTTGTAAAATTATTTCTAATCAATTGAAAATTAGTAAAACTTCCAATATTTTTGACGCTGCTAATCTCATGGAGGAAATTAACAGTAATAGTAGTTCATTGGATAATGACAATGGATACAATAAATCATTGATGGAAAAAAAAAATTGTGTTTTAGAATTTGTGGCAAATAAAATTAAACGAGTGATGTGTGCATCTGAGATAGAAATGATTTTATTTCCAAAGCATTGTGAAACTTGTGAAACAACTGATCCTATTGCCTTGACAAGTTGTCCAAATTGTCCACATGCAAATTTTTGTATTGATCATAAAAAAGATTCTAAGCATCAAAAAAATTGTCATCTCTATACACTTTGTTGTTTAACAAATGCTTTTGTTATAATGAATATATTTATCGGAAAATTTGAATATCCAAAATTTAAATTATTCAATGGAAATGTTGATAATTTTCCAAAATCATTGGAGGAATTCATTAATTCTCATTGTTCATTAACAATTTATGATAATTTCAAAGGAAATTTGATTTTGAAAAATATTTATTCAGAATATTTGACATATTCAATGACAATAAGTTATGCATTGAGAAAATTGAAATGTCCATTTAATTCAAAAATTGAGATTCATTTGATTATTAAACATTTGGTTGAAATAAAACATCTATTTTTGGAATTAATTTTACATTGGCTGCCACACGTTTTGTGTTTGAAAATTGTATGTTTCGTTCATGAAATAAATGTACCAGAATTATTTTTACCAATTTGTCAATTATGCGTTGAAAATAAGAAAAAATTAATTTTAGAATTTTGTGGATTAAAATATCGTGATTATATAAAAACTGATCAATTTATTAAACCGAATATTGTCATTGGATTTGAATTTGATGAGAAATTTTTACACGATATCGCTGATGTTGTTCCAATTTTAAAAAATTTGAAATGTCCATTTCTTATGACAGCTGTATGTGAAACAGATGGTTTTGAAAATTTGAAAATATTAAGACAATTTATTCAAGTAAACGATTTATGTCTTGAGAGAAATCCTTTTTCAAGTTCAAAATATTATAGACTTGCTGATTATTTAAATGGAGTTTCTGCCACCAATATGTTTATAATTTATGAGAAAATGGATGAAAAACAAATTATTGAAGATTATTCAATTTCATTTAAACCTCAATTTTCATTTCAAATTGTTAATTCAGATGATAATGATAATGATAATCTAATTGATAAGAATTTATTTAACAAAAAGAAAGCTGACATCATTTTGGAAATAATGAAGAAAACATTTAGAAAATTACCACAAAAATTCAAAAACAATTGTCGTGAAGAAATTGAAAAAATTTCAATGAATTTTAGAAACATTGAATATAAAAGGTACAATTGATATTATTTTTATAATTTTGAGTAATAATTTATTTTCATTTTTATAAATTACAATTCTTTAACATAATTTAAAGTGAAACTAGAAAAAATATAAAATTCTATAAACTTTTCGTTTGTATGTTGAAAAAAATGTATAATGAGATTATTAAAATATTTAATTTACCATTTAAATATATTTCGCATACTTTGAAAATCCTTAAATAACATAAATTTTTCTTATTTATTATTTTAAGGAATTATAATTATTTTTAATTTAATTATTAGCAACATGATTCGATAAAGAGAATGTAAAAAATGTATTTCGAAAATTTCCTTTTTTAAATAAGAGAAATAAGTTGAAATTTTTCATGTTGGTACCGAACTTATGATTGATAGGTTAGTTGGCAATTCTGCATGTTACTATCTTCATTAACAAGTATATATTCTATTCATTGTTGTCATTTCTTCTCCAAGTTTGATTTTAATTTCGTTCTTTCCAATAATTAAAAATGTATAACAGTGAAGATATTCGAAATATTTTTCTCACTATGGGCCCAGAAACTTTAGAAATAATGCAAGCCCATTTTTCCGAATTTAATTTTTACGCGAACATTTGCCCTGTGTGCCTTAAACATGATCGAGAAACACGTTTGAAGATTTGTTCCGGTTGTAAAATGATTTCATATTGTGGCAAAGAACATCAAACACAAAATTGGTCAAAACATAAAGAAATCTGTAAAATAATATCTAATCAATTGAAAATGAGTAAAACTTCAAATATATTTGACGCAGTTTCTCCCCTTAAAAGTAATACTTCTGATAATGGAATCATAACATTGAAAGAAAAAAAAAATTATGTTCTTCAATTTGTTATCGATAAATTTAAACATGATTTAAATCCATTTGAGATACAAATGATTTTATTTCCAAAACATTGTGAAACTTGTGGAATAACTGATCCCATTGCTTTGACAAGTTGTCCTAATTGTCCGCATGCAAATTTTTGCAATGAACACAAAAATGATTCTGAACATATTAAAGTTTGTACAATGTATACAAATTGTTGTTTAATGGATGCTTATCAAATTTTGATAAAACTAAATAAAACATTAAGAGAAGATTTTGCTGTTAATATATTCAATGGAAATGTTGAAAACTTTCCAAAATCAATGACAGAATTTATGGATTTGCATTGTACATTTAAGATTTTTGATCTTAAAACATTGTTCTTTCAAAATTTATTTTATTCTGATTATTTGACAAATTCAATGACATTATGTTACATATTGAAAAAGTTAAATTTACCAATTGAAAATTCCGAGATTCATATTCATTTTATTGTTGAAAATTTAGAAGACATCAGTAAACATCACTATTGGGAATTAATTATACATTGGCTGTCACATATTATCAATTTGAAAATTGTATTTTTCATTTCTGGAATAAAAATTGCAAATTTCCCATTAGAAATTTGCGAAATATGTAAACAAAATGAAAAATCAATAGTTTTGGAATTTTGTGAATTAAATTATAAAGATTATTTAAAAACTGATCAGTTTATTAAACCGGCTATTGTAGTTGGTTTAAATTTTGATAAAAGTTTTTTAAAAAATATTGGTCATCTTTTTTTTAATTTAAAAAAAATAAATTGTCCCTTTATTATAACGGCACTATGTTTAATGGATGGTTGTACAAATTTGGAAATGTTAAGAGAATTATTTAAAATTAATGGCTTATTTCTTGAACGAAATCCGTTTTCAAGCTCAAGATATATTAGACAAATTAATGAATTAAATGGTGTTGCTGTAAGCAATAAATATATAATTTATCTGAAAGAAGTGAATCAAGAAAAAGTTAAAGATATTTCAGTTCCAATCAATGAGGGGTTTTCAATTCAAAATGTTGATTATGATAAATTAATTGAAGAAAATTTGAATCTAAAAAAGAAAGCTGAAATCCTTTTGGAAAAAAAGAAAATGCTAGAACGTGTTATACAAGAATTTAAAATTGATTGTCAACAAGAAATGAAAAAACTTTGGACAAATTTCCAGAGAATTGAAAATAAAATTAAAGAGGTATAAATAATAATTATTTTTTAAACAAAAATGATAAATATTTGTTTGCAAGGCTTTTAGTCATTTATTTTCATTGTTCAACAAATTTTCATATTTATATTTTTTTTATGTTTAAATTTCTTTAGATTCAATTATTAATAATGATTTTTATTTTGATTTGTATAAAATTTAAAGGAAAAGTATTTTCTAAAAATTATTGATAAATTGCCTTTTGATAATATTTGAGAAATTTGTGTTTTATTATTCATATTTTATTAATTTTAATATATTTGCTATTTAATTATTTTGCATTTATATTTGAACATTTAATTTGCATTTTGCTTTATTTTTATTTTATTGTTTTATTTATTAAAAATTTTTTAAATTGCAAATTTCATGTCAATTGAATTTTGATAGATTCTTTTATTTATTTTTCCAATATATTCTCGAGATTATTTTTCCCACCTTTACTAGAATAAAGTATCATTATTTTTCTACTGCTAACTCTAAATGTAAACACAGTTTAGAAATTTGTCATTATAAACGTTTAATTCTCCATTGTATCTTTTCTATCGCGTACAAACAGGTAATAATCTAATAATTTTTCAATTTTATATGAAAATTTTACTTTCAATTATTACTACGTTTTGTTAGTTAATTTGATTTAATCGTCAATTGTTAAAAAAAAAGTTAACATTTTTTTTTAATACTAAAAGCTTTTTTTAAAAAAGTGAAAATTCCAAGAGAAAATAAATTTGATTTCAGATTAATATCCACTGCAATGAATAGACTTAAGGATATCCATTTAATTCTCGGACTGTGGGGACCGGAAATAAAATCCGAATTATTAAAATATATTATTCAAGATTGTTTTTATCCAAACGTATGTGGCTATTGTTTTAAGCAACACGAGCAAACTGATTTAAAATTGTGGGTTACTTGTGAATCGTGTAAAATAGTTTCTTATTGTTCGGAAAATCATATGTTAAAACATAAAAATGTTCATCAAGATTTTGATCGTATTTTATTAGATGTCTTGTCGATGTCACCGACTAAAGTGAATTATTTCTATGAACTGATGAATATTGTTAATTCACCAACACAGAGACCTCTTATTTTAATGAGTTTCATCGATGAAATGTCAGAGAGATTAATTGAATCAAGAGGACTTTATAAAGCCGAAGAGGAGATGTTGAAATTTTTACCACATTGCGAGGCATGTACAGAGGTCAATCCAGAAAAAATGATAAAATGTCACGATTGTTTAGCAAATTTTTGTATAAATCATCACAATGATATTGAAGCAACAACACGACACGCGGAATTTTGTTCTGATTATCTTCAATCATTTATTTTGGAAGCTTACAATCTTGCATTTGATGATGTCGATTTATTGGCAATTATCATTCAATCCACTAGTCTTCAGAAGGAGAAATTTGTTTATCCAAATTCAATATATGAATTTCTCGAAACACAAATTGATTTTTATCGTCTATTTGAAACACTCGAACATCCCGATCATCATCAAATATCGTCAGACTTTAAATTAGAGGATAATATTTCTGATTTAAGAGCTTTTGTCTCGGAATATTTGACAAAACCACTTTCTTTAATTTATGCCATTAAAATGTTGGAAATTATTCCTCACGAAGAGACGATAATTCATGTTATTGGCTCAACAGGTGAGGAAATAAAAAATTTAAATCAATGGGAATTTCTTTTGCAATGGTTTCCCGATTTGAAAAAATTAACAATTGTTTTTGTTGGAAAAGAATTGACAATTCATACAAATAATTCAAATGCTTCATTAAATGAGAATTATTCAGAGGAATTATTTGATGAAAATAATATTGTTGAGGAGACATCAATCACATATGCTTCATATGGACATCAATTACATTTTCAATTTTCATCAAGCCTTTATAAACACTATTATGAGAATTCGAATAATTTTCAAGAGCCAAATTTTGTTATTGCTTATAATCCTGGTTTAAGTGTTTACAGTGAATGGAAAGAGTCACTTTTAGTTTTGAAAAATTTTCAAAGTCCTTTTATTTTTACCTCTTATTATAAAGAAGATGCTCTATTGGATCATGATATGATGAAAAAAGTCATGGGTGAAGAAATAAATTATCATTTATTTATAAATAATCCCTATAAAAGTTTGCGACCACTTCGATTTTATGGAAATTCTTATCCATTGGTTTACAAAAATAATTTCATCACCATTTATAAAAGTTGTATTCCAGAATAAAAAGAGAGAAGAGCAACGAAACTTGTAGAATAGTTTCAATTTATTAATAAAAAACAAAAAACAAAAGGTAATTAAATTTTATTTGATTTATCTTTATTTTTCTTTAAAAATAGTTTTAAATATTTTTAATTTAATAAATAAATAAATTTGCAAATTAATTTAGAAATTTTTTGTTTCAGATTACTATTTTTAATTTAAAAAAAAATAAAATAGGACTTATTAGTGTTCGTAAGAAATAAAAAAAGGGGTATCCTAATTTGAAAAATAATTTCAATTTGAAAAAGGCGAAAAATGAAAATGTTTTATTAAAATATTCATCGTACTTTGAAATGTATATGAATATTGCAATATTTATCTGATTTATATGTAATTTCTCAATTGCTTTGTTTAAAATTATCTTCACTTATTAATGTTAATTTTATCTCTGATGTTCTCTATTTTCTATAATAAAAAGAATTTCATTAAAACTTTTTTTTTCATTTAAAATTTAACTATTTATGTAAAATGGAAAATTCATTTAACTTTGGATTTTTATGTTATAAATTTAATTAAATATTCAATTTGTATGTATTAATTATTTTGAGAAAATTTAAATAAAACTATTAATCGCCGGGAAGTGATTTACATACATAAAACGTAACGAACTGTAACTGAATGTAAAAATTTTATAGGTTATGTGAATTGTTTTGATTTTTGTGTGTGCACCGCACACGACAGTATCCGCACAAAACGGAGTTTTTTAAAATTAATTTATTAAAATGTTTTTAATCTATATTGTTTTTATGTAATTATTTGATTTTGTTCTAGTTTTTTAAAAATTTTATCGTAATCTACAAATTTATTTTAAAGGTAACGTATACATGGTTTCAATATATAAATATCTCCATAAGTGTCACTTTTAAAAGATAGAGATTTACCAATTTAAGATAATTTAACAATTCACTGCTTTTCTTGATCAATTTAGTTGCACTTAGACCCCAGAGAGATAACAATATCATATAAATGTATAGACATTGTGTGTTATAAAATATTTATTAAATTATTTCGATCTATATACATGTATATCGATTATTTAAAATTCTTGATGTTTTTTGCTTAATATTATATTAAATGATAAATAGTATTTTTTTCAACAGTATCGCAAGCCACAGTATTTTATTATAAATAATTAAGCTATTAATATAGAAAGAATTATGTCACAATCGAGAATTATAATTATTGGAGCTGGAGCAGCTGGAATAGCAGCAGCTTGTCGATTAATTGAAAAAGGTTTTCAAAATGTAACAATTCTTGAAGCAAAAAATCGCATAGGTGGTAGAATTCATACCATTAATTTTGGTAAGTTTTTTTTTCTTTTAAAGTATTTTTTAATGCATTCGATGATTATTTTAATCGTAGATGAATGTATTTTTAAAATTAAAACATTTATCTTCTAATTGATATAAAATTGTATAACAGTTTTAATTTTAAAAATAATAATTAAATGATTAATTTTTCAGGTGATCACGTAATCGATTTAGGCGCACAATGGGTACATGGTGAAAATATTGTTTTTGATCTAGCGAATCCTCACAATTTATTGGAGTCTGATTATGTTAGAGATTATGAAAAAAATTTATTTGCTGACGCTCATGGGAATATAATTTCTCCAAATGAAAGTGGAAATGCAATTGCAATTTATTTCAAATTATGCGAATGGGATGAAATTGATCTCAAGGAATGGAATGGTTCTTATGGAGAATTTTTTAAAGAAAAGTGAGTAAACAATTAACAATTTGTATCAATAACAAAAGTATAATAATTTTTATTATCAAACTTAACTCGTTTATAAAATACAATGATTATTTACAAAAAAGAAAAAGAATTGAAAAACAATATAATTGTTTAAAATTTCTTTAAAAGAATTCGTTCAGCAAATGTTTTTAAATCAGTTTCTTTAAACCATGCTTGTAAAGTAGGATGTAAATCGCATTTGATGATATTTTGTGTTTCACTATCTGGAAGAATGCATCTAAAAATTGTGCATAATTTTATTATTTTCATGACAATCACATCTAATATGTAATATATTAATTTCTTTTCTATAAAAGATTCTTTTACTCTTACCTGACTCTACTATTACAACAATCTTGATTTATGTACTCGTACTTCAATAACGAATACATATATTTTAAATATTTTGTATCCAGGGTACTATTTTCTTGATTATATAAATTAGTCGGGCTGTTTATTTGTTGAATGTAATCTTTTGTTAATATTGGAACAATATAATTCACCTGAAAAAGTTAAATAAATTTCTAATGAATTGTTAATTTTCTCACAATATAATTTTAAAATCATTCATTATTAATGATTAATTAATTAATTTTTAATTGCAATTTGCAATGGCAAACCTGTTTGAAACAATCGTCTACGAATTCTACTCCTCTACTGTAAACATATTTCTCTTGTTCCTTAAGAATTAAAACACCGATTTTCGGTTCCATTGATCTGAACATTTTTGTAATATTAAGCGCAGACTGTTCTCCATCTTTGGCAAAAGTTAACATTACAACACTTCCATAAATTGTTTTATTCTAAATAAAAAGTCAAAATAAAAAAGTCGTGAATTTTTTTTTAATGTCTAACAAAGAAAAAGTTTTAAGAAACTTTTTTTTTTTGCATATTGTAACTTACGTTTTTTGACCTCGTTAAATCTTGCGTTTTATTTAGGGCAATTGAAGATTTATTTTTAATTTCATTTGGATGTAAACTAATTTTTATCATTGGACTTAAAACTAATGGCGCCCTTGGTATCATTTTTGGTCGTAGAATTTCTAAATTGTGATCTATAAATTTGTCAATAATTAATTATTTTTATTTTCCTTATAAAAAATATTTATTAATTATTAATAAAAACGTATAATAATAAAATATAGTACCTGTACTTTTATCAGAAATTAATTTTCCAACAAAATCAGTAATCAAATTTTTTATTCGATTTATAATATCCATACGTTCTAATTTTGCCAAAGCTGTCAAAATTTTGTCGAGTGTAGCTTCTGGAGATTGTACATATGCTAATAAAACATAATATGTTGGATCCTCCAGTCCCTTGAAATCGTGATCTATACACTAAAAAATTTTTTTTTTTCTTACATAAGAAAAGAAAATATTATTTTTAAATAATTGTTTAATTTTTTTTCTAATCTTGATTGAAAAAAATTGAAATTTTAAATTCTTACTCGTATTTGTTCTTGTAATAGACCCAAATGTGCGGCAAAATCTTGCCAATCGGCATAAATTTTACCCGAAGCTGTTGAACTCAATAATAAACAAAGTTTCTGTAAAATAGCTTTTCCTTCGTTTTCGAAAATAAAGGAGGCGTGAATTTGTGATGAAAGTTTTTGAAAATGCAATAAAAATGTACCTAAATTCGGTGGACCAACAATTTCATTGCGTAATTTTTCCAGTTCAGGATCTAATTTCCTGAAATTGTTTAAGTAATAAATATTTCATTTTTGAGAAACATTTAGGAAAATAAATTATTATTAGGTATTATATGTAAATAGTTCTTTTTTTTACCTGGGCGAAAACATTTTTAACTTTTTTCAAAGCACTGACAATCACGTAAATAATAATTTTAATTAATTTTTACGAGAAAGTATTTCGAGCAATTTTGATTTATTATCATTATTTTTTTTTACTTATTACTGAAAACATATATGAGAAGTGAACAATATTTTGTCGGAGACGTGTCATGTTTATAAATTAAAAATTGTTATTTTTAAAAACTTTAGAAATCATTGTTTTGCTGTTTTTTTTTGTTATTTTATATTTTCACATTAAAAATTATATTTATTTTCTTATTGAGTAAATTATATTTTTATATAAATTGACAAAAAACTTGTTTAATACCATCAACTTTCCTCTAAATCCCCACTACTGATTTTTTTCCCCAAGGCCGATGACTCAAGTTTTATCTCAACATTAATATATAGTTATACATATAGAAGCTCGCGGTAAATTTTAAAAACTTTTGTTATAACAATTTTTTAAAAACGATTTTTATGCCCTATTTTAAATAAAATATTTTTTGATATAAAATTAAAAAACTTTCTTTTTGAGAAAAATTTCGAAAAGCCTAATAAATTTTTTACTGTTAAAGAAATTGATAAATTTAATAAAAAAACCATGTTTTTAAATTGAAAAATTGATCTTAATAAATTAAATTTATTTTTTTAAATTAAGTATTCATTTTTCGATAAGTACATGAATTTGACACAAATAAAAATAATTTTAAGAGATAACTTATAGCTTTTTACTTGAATTGAATAATTTTTTCGTTTCTAATTTTATTTTTTCATAGATTTTACAAAGAATTTCAAGAAAATCGTTTTACAAGTAATGAAAGAGCACAACAATTTTTGGAATGGATGGAAAAATACGATAATCATATGCAATGCAGTGATTCATTAATCCAAGTTTCTGCAAAAAGATTACGAGAATATGAAACATGCGATGGAAGTCCATCGATGAATTGGAAAACAAAAGGTTTCAAAACAGTATTAGATTTATTAATGGTAAGTAATAAATTTTTAAATTAATTTATTTAATTATAAACAAAATAAATCAATATAATATCATGTTTATTTTACTTATAGAAAAGTTATCCTTCTGAAGAAAATAAATTGCCTATTATGAGTAAAATAATTTTTAATAAAGAAGTCTCAAATATCAATTATACTTCAAATAATGAAATTGTAATTTCAATTAGAGATGGAACAAAATTTGAAGCTTCTCATGTGATATTTACACCATCGTTGGGCGTTTTAAAAAATGAATATAAAACATTGTTCAATCCTTCTTTACCTGAAGCAAAGAGAAATGCCATTGAAGTACGATATTTAATCAATTATTTCTTTATTTTAAGGGTGCAAAATTTGTTATTTCTTAGTTTCAAATGTTATATAAAATGTTTTTAGGGATTTAGCTTTGGAGCCGTAAATAAATTCTTTCTTGAATTTTCTCATCGTTGGTGGCCTGAAGAAACGAGTGGTTTATCATTTCTTTGGTCCGATGAAAATAAACGAGAATTTTTAACAACCTGGGGACAAGTAAGTATCAAGGAGACAAAAAGATAATTAATTATATAGTCAAATTGAATTTTAAGTAAATTGATAAATATGAATTATTAGAATTAAAAAAAAAAAATTAACAACTATTTTTTTATTTAGTAAACAATGATTAAAATTTATAAATTTTAATGTTTTTAATAAAATTACTATTAATTAAACCAATTTAATTTTACAGTTTTTTAAAATTAAAATTTAATAATGTTTCAGGAAATGTCTTGGTTGTGTGATATTTTTATATTTTTTGTAGTTGAAAATCATAAAAGTGTTCTGTGCGGCTGGACATTTGGTGAGGCAGCTAGATTGACTGAAAAACTAACAGATGTTGATATTTCTAATGGATTGCACATTTTGTTGAAAACATTTTATGGAAAAACTTACGATATACCAAAGGCTGTGAATTTTACTCGGTAAAATGTTAAATGTACTATTATTAATGAATATTAATTGTTGATAAAAATTTCAGATTTAAAATTAAAAGATTCTTTTAAATCTTCTTTTTTTCCTTTAAAATGCAATGATATTGAAACAGAAACATGAAATTTATTTATATATTGTAATTTTTAAAGTTTATTTATAAATTTTTAATATTGTATTTTTTGATATATGTAGCTCAACATGGTTTACGGATAAACATATTCGTGGTGGTTATTCATTTCGAAGTATGAAAACAGAGCAAATGGGAATAAATTCTGAAGATTTGTCGGACCCAATAACAACAGATTCATATAAACCTGTAAGTGTTTTAGAAAAATAATTATTCATTATAATTTAAGCCTTTTGAATTACGATCACATTAAAAAATGTAATATTGTAGAAGAATAATTTTATGTTTTTAAATAACAGATTTTATGATGGTTAGTTAAAAAAAAAACTAATTTTTCAACGTAAAAAAATATTTTTAAACTCTATGAGACACGGAAAAATAATTTAATTAAAATCAACACAAAAAATATTGATAAGAATTTTCCGTTTTGTCCGATATAAATTTAAATATACATATATATTTATTACTATTTATTCTACTAGATAATTTTGTTTGCTGGAGAAGCAACACATCAGCGATTTTTTTCAACTGTCCATGGAGCAATTGAAACAGGATTTCGTGAAGCTGATCGTCTAATAGAATATTTTAGGTAATTATTATTATTGAATTTGAAAAGCTAACTATTAAAAAAAATTCTAACAAAAGCATGGCTTTTTTGAAAATTTTTCGATAGAGAATTTACATTTATCTTTAATTAACAAATCTAATCACTTAAGCATGAGCAGAATGTTTATATGTATTTTCACCTTTCCTAACATTCTTAATCGTTTTACTTTTAATTTAATATTTATTAATTAGTTATTAATATTGATTATTCTAATTACTTATAATTTTTATTTATTTGTGTTTTTGTTTCCTCAAAACTCGTTAACGTTGTATTGAAGTGAATTTATATATTTTTCGATAATTTCTTTTTCTTTTAATGGGGATTGAAATAAAAGATCCCTCTCCCTTCCGATTCTAGTTTAAATTGACTTTAATTTTAGGGTATTTAAAAGTTTGAACATTATTAAAAATTGAACGAATACTAATTTAAAAAAATATCAATGTATTATTTAAATTAATTATTCAATCCCAAATTTTCTCATTTAGTGCAAATGAAAATTCTCTATTTTCCTTTTTTGCTATTTTCTTTTTTTTAAGTAATTTTTACAAAAATTTTAATGTGCACTTTTTTTCTATTATTGATATAAAACTACTTTTTGTCAGGACACTAAAATCTCGCCTCTAATCATCCAAGGACATCTTTTTGACTAAAATGGAATTTGCAGATAAAGTTGACGCTTGTTTTATATTAAACAACAGTTAAAAAATTAACACATTTTATCGATTTTTCAGTTTATAAAATGAGACGAAAATTAAATTAAATAAATTAAGGTGAAGGGAGGAATATTTTAAATCATAAATTTGTTTTCCTAATTTTTCTTTTCTGTTTAAAAAAAATGAGATGAGTATTTGCATTTTGTTTGTTTTTTTTTCATCAATCATTTCTATTTTACACGCTTGTTTTTGCATTTATGTGCACAAAATATCATTTTTCATTTATGCAACATTTCTTAGTTTGAATGATTGGAAAAAATTATTTTGTTAAATTTTTCGAGATATTTAGTCTCACAAAAAAAAAATCGAAAACGAAAGAAATTTTTTAATGAAGAAACTTGATAGAATACGTGACGATTCGAGGCTAAGAAGGCAAATATTTGAGTCACAAGAATCGTCGGAAACGACAGAATTGGTCATCATTGGTGCAGGAATTTCAGGGTTAGCTGCGGCAATGACTTTAGAAATGGAGGGATTTGACAATTATATTTTATTCGAAGGTAATTTAATTTTTTCAATTTTTATTACTAATTTATTTTTTTGGAGAGAAATTAATTTTTAAATACCAAAAATTTTAGCAATGGATAGAGTTGGAGGTAGAATACATACCACTTATTGGAACGATGATGCAATTGAATATGGAGCTCAATTTTTGCATGGCGATAAAAGTAAACTTGGACAATATTGTCATCAATTAAATCTTCTATCTGATGATCATTCAGGTGAAGCCGAAGGTATTTACATTAGGGACGATGGACTCGAAATTGAATCTCATCTTGTGATAAAAGTCGATGATTTTGTACGATATACACTTGAGGAATGTGAGAAATTTGCATATGACAATCAAATTCTACAACCAGAGATTCATGAAAGTATCGGTAAAATTTTACGAACACGATTTAACAAATATTTAAAAGCCACTAATGACACTGAGGAAAATAAAAGTATTATGAAAGAATTATTTGATTGGAATATCAAATTTTTAAATATTGATAATTCTTGTTTGTCCGTTGATGAATTATCCGTTAAAGGATGGGGAAATTTTCAGGTATTTATTTATGTATTTTTAATTTTCTTTTTCTATTCATATTTTTATTTTTTTTTTGTTTGTTTGTTTCAAGTTTGTTGGAGGTCAAGAGCATTCAATTTTCAAATCTAATTATAGTTCTATAACAAAAATAATTGCCGATAATTTAAATAAAAATAATTTAAGACTTGAGAGTCCAGTGGAAAAAGTTGAATGGAGAGATAAATTGACGAAGGAAGAAAATTTAAAATCAATTCTTATTACTTTAAATGATAATAAAAAAATTTATGCCAATTGTGTGATTATAACATGTCCACTTGGATTTCTAAAGGAAAATTATAAAAAAATGTTTCATCCACCATTGCCAAATTATTTATGTCGTGGTATTGAGAGTCTTGGTTTTGGATTGATTAATAAAATTTTTCTCGAATTTAATGAAATTTGGTGGAAAATTGGAACGAGGGGATTTCAATTTATTTGGCAACGAGAAAATCAGAATTTACATTTAAATGATAAATTACCCATGTGGACAAGGGATTTAACTGGATTTGATATTATAAAAGAGAAAAAAAATGGAATTTTTCTTGGATGGATCGGTGGACGTGGTGCTTATATTATTGAAACATTGAGCGAGCAACAAATCGCCGAAGATTGTTTAAAATTGCTCAAATATTTTTTAAAAAATAATAATATACCTTTTCCAAGAAGATGTTTGAGAACTCGTTGGTATGATAATAAATTTGTAAGAGGTGCCTACAGTCATATCACAACTAAATGTGATAAAAATAGAATTTCATGTGGTACTTTAAGTGAACCTGTTTGGGGTTCGATTTCAGATAATCATGAAATCAAGGTAATGAATGTATAAAATATTTAATTAAATTATTGAAAATTAAAGTATAAAAATTGAAAACAAAAAGTTTAAATAATATTAATTAAAATAGATTGAATATTATTATTTTGCAGCGTGTGCCAATAATAATGTTAGCGGGCGAGGGAACACATGAGCATTTTTATTCCACGACTCACGGAGCATATGATACCGGAGTAAAACAGGCAAAAATATTTTTAAAACATCATCAAAGCAAATAATTCTGTGATTAGCAAATTTTTAGACACAAATGTTGTTTTACGCAACTAAAATTAATTGGAACATTGAATAAAGAGAATTCTAAAGTAAGTAGTAATTAACTAATTATGTGAAATTTTTATAGAGAGAATTTTAAAGTATTATATATGGATGTGAAGTATTAATAATTTTAATAGTTTAATAATTCTAGAAAAAATAGTGACGTTCTCAATTTTCCTAGTCAACTATTCTGATTAGCTGATTTACATTTTTTAATATTCCACATAATAATTTATAGTGCACAATTTGTATTTGAATATAATTAATTTTTTTATGAATATGACTTCTAATTTGTCGCTAAATTAGAATAAAGTTTAATAAGTCTGTTCGCTTCTCTATAACCAGTTTGAATTGCCCCATGAACAGTGCCAAATTGATGTTGACTTGTTGCTTCACCGGCAAATAAAATCATCTATAGAAAATCAAAATTCTACTTAAGAAAGACGAAACTTAAAAAATTACGAAAAAAAAAAATCAAATACTTACTAATTTTGTTTCATCAATTGGTTCTGCTAAGGTTTCTGCCCAAGCATTTTCAGCGTCAGATTTTATACTTCTGAAACTGTATGTTCCCTTAAAATTATTGTTACTATTCCATTTGGTTCTGAAATGTTAAAAATTTCCCCTTTTTTTTAATCTTTATATTTTTTAAATAATTTTTTAAAATTATCATTTTACCGAATCATTCCTGTGGGTTTAGTGATATTATATTTTTTCCCAAGAAATCTTTGTAAAACTTCAGTGCAATGATTTTTAACTTGTTCGTCATTTAGCTTTTCCATTTCTCGACTATAGTTTCCCGATATCCATCCTTCGAGTAATCGAGGTTTATGTTCAACTATTTCAAAACCAATTAAGCCGAGAAGCCAATTTTTCTCCGGCTATAATAATAGAAAAAATTATTTTTAAATAATTTTTATTGACGAATGAATAGAAAATATTTTCACTTGAAAAACTCACTTCATTTGTGAATATTTCTAAATCTTCGTTTTTCCAAAGAAAATCAAAAAATACCGTTTCCTTAGACCACCATGGTTCTTCAAAGGAGAGAAAAATTTTTCCTACATTTCCAAATCCAAGTGACTAAAATTATAAAAAAATCTTTTTTAAAATATGAATTCAGTAATTTTACTCAGGTACTAAGCGAAAACCTCAAAAATAGAAATGAATTCAATTGAATCTTCAATTTGTTAATTTTCTTTCGATTAAAAAATGCAATGGTGATTATTTATTTGAGATAATTTTTTTTTATTTGTAACAAACCTCAATGGTGTTTTGTTTCTGTTTTGGTAAAGCCGGTTTAAACAACAAATGATGTTTATCTTTTAATACTCCTATGGAACATGTAACAATAACATGATCAGCAGAGTACATCTCTCCGTTTGATGTTTTAATTATAATTTTTTCTTTTTCTGCGTCCGAGTAATCAATTAAGGTAACTTCAGTATTTAGTATTGTATTATTCATAACTGGTAATTCTTCTTTTAGTTTCGGGTAATGTTTCTAAAAATAATCAAAATTATTAATACATATGATTAAAATTTACCTGAGTATAATACTCGAAAAATTGCATAATTTGTTATTTTTCCCCAAATTTTCAAATTTAATTTAATAATTTGTAGCTAAAATTATAAATAATTATTTTATTTGCAAAAATTCGAATTGAAAATTCCTCGACATTTTATAGTCACAATAATCAAAAAGATTAGATGGCTAGTTTAGAATATCGATTTAAAATAAAATTTTATTACTATTAATAGCTCAAGGATTGTGCCATATCCACGATCTTTCCAATTAATTAAATTATCTCCAGTACTTTTGTGATATTCCGAAATACTTGTCATTGAAATATCCAACCATGTATCTGACGATTGCCAAACACTTTGCATCATATCAAGCAATTGAAATAATCCCTTTTCATTTTCTTTAAAATTTGAATGTGCATTAAAATATTTTCTAAATCTGAAAGATAATAATTTCAAAAAACTCTTTTTCTAAAATTTAAATTATACAATGTAAATCAAAATTTAAATTATTTAATATTCAGTTAATAGTTAATACATATTTAAATTATTTAATTTTACAATTAGAGTGTGAAAATAAATAATTTACTCATTAGTAAAAAATTCCCCAGTTGAAACTCTTGTGTGTCCCATAGAATAATCTGATAATTTTTCCTCAGTTTTATGATAAAAATCATAAAAATCATTCATCATCGTTTCATCAAGTTGTTCCCCGGAAGAATCAAACATGCTACTCGAATAATTTTTTAAAATACTTCTTTCTAAAAATCCAAGTGACCATGCCATTTCGAATACAATATTTTCTCCATGTACCCATTGCGCTCCAAGGTCAACAAAATAGTCATCTAATTAAAAGCGTATTTTATTGTATTAAATTTTATCAAATTAAATTTATGAATACCCGAATGATAAAAAAAAGTACATTCGTTACAATTTTTTTTTTTTCAATTATTGATTTCTGATTGAAATTAAAGATTAAAATTTTTTTAATTATTAGACTCAAATAAATAAGCGAATTCATATAAGAATATAAAATTCTTCTTACCAAATTGTGTTGTATATACTCGTCCACCAATTCGATTTTCCGCTTCGAGAATTTTGATATTTTGAAAACCATTTTGAAAAAGTCTCGATGCAGCCGCTAAACCTGATGATCCTGCACCAATAATAATTACACTTGGTGAAATTTCTTCTGTATTTACTTTCAAAATTATCGTCAATATAATTACGAATGATTTATTTAAAAAATCCCCTTCGAATATCATTTCTCATTGGATAATCCTGAATTAAATAATAATTTCAAAAGATATTACCCTCGTGACAGTTATTATGAAACTAATAGATAATTCTACCTTGATCTAATTATTTAAACATGAGATTCGATAATTATTTTTCCATGCATATAATTGAAATATTGATAATTTAATAAAAAAAAAATTCCTCATAGTTTTTAATTAATTTTTTTTATTATATTGTATTATGGAAAGAGTCTGTCTTTATTAGCTTCTTAATTATTATTTTTTCATAGAATTGACGCAATTACGCAAAGCGTTTGAATTGTAAACACATTATCATTGTAATATGAAATATGCTGTTCTGTATAAAATAATTTTAATAGATTTTTTTTCAAAAAATATTTGCAACATCAGATCATTTGGTAATTATTATTTAAAAGAGACAAAAATTCAATAATTGTTATCATTTTAATTTATACATGTAATTTTTAAATTCTTTCCCTAAAAAAAAGATAAATTATTTCAAAATTTTATCCTCAATTTTTTGCTAAATTTTGATGTTTAATAATTCTATCCGCTTCTCGAAAACCAGTTTCAATTGCTCCTTGAACAGTGCTAAAACGATGTGGATTTGTAGCTTCACCGGCGAATAGAATCTTCTAAAAAATTAAAATTTTTAAAAAATAATATTTTTGTCAGCTGAAAATTACATAGTTACTTAATAATTTTTCAAATTCTTACTAAGTTTGTTTCATCAATTGGATTGGCTAATGTTTGTGCCCAAACATTTTCGGCATCAGATTTCATACTTCTAAAGCTATAGGTTCCCTTAAAATGATTATTACTACTCCACTTGGTTCTGAAAATTAATTTTTGATCATAATTATTAAGTTTCAATCATTTTTTTTTCAAAATTAAAAAAATAATTTTTAATACCTAATTATTGCACTAGGTGTAGTAATGTTGTATATTTTTCCAAGAAATCTTTGTAAAACTTCAATACAATGTTTTAAGACTTGTTCATCCGAAAGTTTCTCCATTTCTCGAGTATAATCATTTCCGGATAACCATCCTTCGAGTAATTTTGATTTATGTTCCACTATTCCAAATCCAACTAAGCCCAGGAGCCATTTTTTCTCTGGCTAAAAAAAAATCATTAATATTTTCAAATACATGAATAAAGAATTTCCAATATAAATTAAAATTTCTATTTGACGAAATTTGTCGAGAAGAATATTTTTTCGAAATTCTTCTAAATTGAATGTACGTTTGTAAAATTTGTAAAAAAAAATCTCACATTATTTTTTATTTCTTCAAAATCCTCGTTCTTCCAAAGAAAATTAATCCATGTAAATCCTGATTTTTCATTAGACCACCAAGGATCTTCGAAATAGAGAAAAATCTTTCCGACAATTCCAAAACCAAGTGCCTACATAAAAAAAAAATTTTTAAATCAATTTTTTTAATTTACTATTTGACAATAATTTTTATTTATTATTAATAAACCTCAATTGTTTTTTGCTTCTCTTCAGATAAATGAGGTTGAAAGAGAGATTTGTGTTCATCTTTTAAAACCCCCAAGGAACAAGTGTAAATTACATGATCTGCCAAATATAAATCACCATTTGCAGTTTTTACTTTAACTTTTCCATTTGGATCCGAATAATTAATTGAAGTAACTTCTGCATTTAAAATTGTATTATTTAAAACAGGTAATTCTTCCTCAGGATTTGGAAAACGTTTCTGAAAATAAAAAAGAAATTTTATTTTTTTGATTCAAAACAAAAAAACATAAAAATATACAATAAATTAAAAACAAGTTTGGATTTAAAGTTTTCAAAAATTAGAAAATCATTAAAATTATTACTATGAGTATATCCAACATAGTTCCATATCCACGTTCTTTCCAATTTATCAAATGATCTCCAGGATTGTCATGATATTCTAATGAACTTGTTATTGAAACATCCCACCAAGTTTCTGCACCGTCTCCAGCCATTGTCATCATATCTAATAAATGATAAAATCCCTTTTCATTTTCTTTCAAATGTAAATGGGCGTCAAAATATTTGTTGAATCTGAAAAATCATTTTTTCTTAATATCTGCATCATTGTTTTGGAAAAAAGGTTTTTTTTTTTAAAATTAAATCCTAGTGCAATTTAATGTTGGATAAAAGTGAAAATTCTAATTAAATTCCTCTTTTATAGAACAATAATTTGTGATTATTCATTTCAGTATTTTAATTATAAAACTTAGGAATTTATTTTGATTGATAATTACTCGTTTGTATAATATTCGCCTACTGAAACATTTGTGTGTTCTTTAGCATAATCTGATAATGCTTCTTCTACTTCGTAGTGAAAATCATGAAAGTCATTAATAACAGCTTGATCTAATTTTTTTCCTGAAGAATCGAATATGCTATCTCGACGACTTGTTATATTACTTCTTTCTAATATTCCAAGTGTCCATACCATTTCGAATACAACGTTTTCTTTTTCTCCATGAACCCATTGAGCACCCAAGTCGACGAGATAATCTTCTAGTTAAATAAATTAAATCATTAAATGCAAGAATTACATAAGCTAAATTATATAATTATAATGACTGATTTAACTTTTTAAATGAAGCGAATTTCGTTAGATAATAATTTACCCAGTGAGCATGCAAAAAACTGCTACTGGATAATGAAAATTTTTAAAAGGTTCGGTTTTTTCTTCAAAATCTAATATAGTTTCTATTAAGAGACAAAAATTAAATTAATAATAAGTAATTTAATTTATAAATTAATTTATATAATTAATTAATTATTAAATTCTTCTTACTGAATTGTGTTGTATATACACGACCACCAATTCGATTTTCTGCTTCAAGAATTTTGATATTTTGAAAACCATTTTGAAAAAGTTTCGATGCAGCTGCAATTCCTGAAGGACCAGCGCCAACAATAATTACACTCGGCGAATTATTTCCATTTACATTTAAATAAATAATTGACAATAATAAATATACAAACAATTTCTTTTCGACTTTCATAATTTCTCAAATAATTGTAGATTGAATAAAATTCTCGAAATAATGTTTCTCTCGTAATTGTTTTACTCGTACTAATATAGATTAATCCATTTTTGATCTAATACTTTGAGGTCAGGTTCGACAGTGCTAATATTTTTTATTATTAGAAACAAGAATATGATTATGTAAAATTATATTATACTCATGAGAGTTAAAAATCTCTTATTTATAAAAGAGAACCTTATTCTTTTGAATCACTTGTTTTTCGATTACGAAAATTACAATTATATTTATTATAAATTGTTTCTAAATATTTTTTTTTATTTTTCATGATTTACAAAATTTTATGAAACATTTAAAATGATGGGATTTATTGAATATTATTTTTGTACGCCTTGAAAAATAATTAGAAGACTGATAATTGTTATACGATTTTTTTTAATAATTTATGCAATAATAGATTAAATTATCTGCTGATAATTATTAACAAAGAGAATAATGTTGATGTTGTTATTAAAATACTGTTAGGTTAGAATTTTCATAAATTTGATTTAATTCAATGTGAAAAAAATTTTCTATCAAAAAATTACTGAGATATTTGTAAATATTTTAACTTTTTAGATTGCGATATTGTGCCATAATTCGCTCTGCTTCTCGCCAACCTGTTTCAATAGCGCCATGAACTGTACTATAGTGATGGGGACTCGTGGCCTCACCGGCAAATAAAACGACCTATAAATTTAATTTCAATTAGGAACATGCAAAATGGAAACTAAAAAAAAAGCTAAAATGCAAAATTTGACAATTCTCAAATTAAAAACTCTTACTGGTTTTCCTTCTCCAACTGGTTCTGATAATTTTGTTGGATTCACAACATCAGGATCGCTCATCACTTTTCTGTAGCTATAAGTTCCTTTGAAATGTTTATTTCCAGACCACATGGATCTAAAAAGTTAAAAATTCTTCAGAAATTAAATTCTCTTTCATTAGCTTATAAAAGATGGAAAATTTAATTTCGCTTTTTTTTAATTAAAATTTCTGCTTTAAATTCAAATATGGTTGAAATTTTAAATTACCTCATCATTTCAGTGGGTTCAGTCATATTGTGTGTCTTTCCGAAAAATCTTTGCAAAACTTCAACAACATGATTTTTGACTTGTTCATCAGTGAGTTTTTCCATATCCCGAGAATATTTTCCCGATACCCAAGCTTGGAGGAAATTTGGTTTATTCTCAACTGCATTAATTCCTATAAATCCCAGTAGCCAATTTTTTTCAACCTGAAAAAGTTTCTATTTATTTTTTTTTCCTTGGAAAAGTTTTCTTCTTACAATAAAATAATTTACATCTTTTTCGAGCATTTCTAAATCTTTGTCCATCCAAAAAAGACCGTATCCTATCTCCATATCTTTCTTCCACCATGGTACTTCATAGAAGAGAAAAATCTTTGCTACAGTCCCGTAACCCATACCCTAAAATAATTTATCAAAAATAATTTTTGGATTTTGTTTTCAATTTCAGTTTACTTTTTAATAAACAAACCTCAATGGCTTTTTGTTTATCTTCTGGTAAAACGGGTTTGAAGAAGGATTTATGTTCGTCTTTTAAAACACCCACGGAACATGTGACGATGACATGATCTCCAGTGTGTGTATCTCCATTTGTAGTTTTTACTGTAACTTTTCCATTTGGATCCGAATAATCAATTGAGGAAACTTCAGCGTTTAACACTGTATTATTCATAACTGGTAATTCTTCTTCCGGTTTTGGTAAACGTTTCTGAAAGAAAACATTATTTCAAAATTTCTCTTCTTGCTAAATTGCATAACGTCGAAATAAAATAGTTTTTTCACGAAATCTTCAAAATTTTCTGTTTTTTTTTTTTTTTTTTTTTTTTAATTAAATCAATGTAGAAATTTAAAAAAAAATTTGATCGATTTCCTTATAAAGCAAATTATACCATTAGTATATCGAGAATAGTTTTATATCCATATGTTTTCCAATTAACAAAAAATTCTCCAGGACAATTGTGAAAATCTTTGATAGTTGCTGTTGAAACATCATTCCATGAATCTGCAGCATAAATAACCTCCACAATCACTTCTTGTTGATGTGTGAATCCTTTTTTATTTTCCTTCCATACTGGATGCGCTTCAATGTATTTATCAATTCTGCATAGAAATTAAAAATTATCAACAAAAAAATTATAGTTTAATAATTTTCTGATTTTTTTGATCTTAATATTTTTTAATGTCAACGTTCTTAAAATATTTAAAAAATTTTTTTTAAATATATGGCATATTTTTTTGCTTATATTTTAAATTTTTCTCAATGTGAAAAAAAAATTTTTTCAAAAAAAAAACAATTTTTTTTTGTATCCGAGTGGTACTTTTTTATAATATCGAAGAAATTTTATCATTTTATTTAATTCTAATAATTATATATTAAATATTAATTTAAGATAAATTTAATGACAATACTCATTTTGCATATAATCGCCTAAAGGTGAATTCTTGTTGTTTTCGGCGTACTCTAACAATGTTTCCTGCATTTTTTCAGTAAATTGATTTACTTCATTGATGTCATTCTGATCTACTATATTGCCCACAGAATCCATTACTTTCTTATGCATATTTACAATCCACTCTTGTCCATCGTTTATTGTTCCATGTGACGATTCCTGCTCCATTACTTTTTCATGTGTATTTATTTTTTCCTGCATTTTTTCTTCTCTCTTGTCTACAACTCCATGTGGCGCTGCCAATTCATAAGCAACATTTCCTTCTACCCCATGAATCCATTGTGCACCCAATTCAATTAATTGATCACCTTATGGAAAAAAATTAATTAATTGCAGTACAAAATTGAATAACATTGCCCGTATATATATGTAAATAAATAAATAAACATTTGTTTTTTTATGAAAAATCTTACCCATTTTTGCAGTGTGAATTCGACCTCCAATTCTGTCTTCAGCTTCGAGAATTTTGACATTTTTAAAGCCATTTTCCATAAGTTTCGATGCAGCGGCAATTCCTGATACACCAGCTCCAACAACAATTACGCTTGGTTGATTGTCATCGGCGTTTGATGTTAAAATAATTGACAATAAAAAGAGTAAAAAAATACTAAGAAATTTCTTTTTGAACAGCATTTTTACTTTTTAAAAAATATTTCAAAAATGATGTTTTTCAGACAACGATTTAAATTATATTAACCGATTATAAGCTGATTTATTATTATTATTATTATTATTAAAGGTCGCTTTTGATAATCTAAAACTTTTTTTTTTTAATATTCCGAATGAGAATTTATTGTGCGCGATAAAGACAATTACGTAGTTAGCTGAATACTTTTAAGCATTGGTAGATAAAAAGAGGGTTAAAATAGGATCAAGGTGAAATCACTATAATTTTATATAGCAGCAACGAAACTTTATTGGCGTTTAGCTCCTACTTCTCGTACCAATTTCTTTTTTTTCGATTATGAAACTTGAACTCGTTTTTGAAAAAAATTTTTTTTTTAATAATTGACAAAATTTTATAAAACATTTTAAATCATAGGATTTGCTATGAATTTTCATTCTACTGGAATGAATTAATTCTCCCAATTAAAAGACAATTAAAATTTGTAAGGCATAAAAAGTTTTTTGTTAGTCGTATTTTCAAATGATAATAATTTTAAAGAAACAGACAATGATATTGAAATTGATATTTATAGTATTACAATTTTAATTTATTTTGACTTAATTTTTTGTGAAAATAATTTTTCAAAAACAAATCATTGAGATATTTGTAAATTTTTTAACTTTTTACATTTGGATGTTGTGCCATAATTCGCTCTGCTTCTCGCCAACCACTTTCAATTGCACCATGTACTGCACTATAGTGATGAGGACTCGTGGCCTCACCGGCGAATAAAATGACCTTTAAATTTAATATTGTTTATAGAAAATCACAAATAAAATGGTAAATTAAAAATATATAGCTTTTTCTAAAACTTACTGGTTTTCCCTCACCAACTGGTTCTGACAATTTTGTAGGATTGACAACTTCTGGATCGCTCTTTACACTCCTGTAGCTGACAATTCCCTTAAAGTGTTTATTGCTATCCCATTTAGTTCTAAAAAATAAAATATTTTTTTTAGTAATTCAATTTTTGAGATACCGAATTTTTTATTGTGTAAAATTTTAAATTATTTTTTTTAGATTTCAAAAAAAATTTTTTGCTTTAAATTCAAATTACACATTAAAAATTTAAATTACCTCATCATTTCAGTGGGTTCAGTCATATTGTGTGTCTTTCCAAAAAATTTTTGCAAAACTTCAACAACATGATTCTTGACTTGTTCATCAGTGAGTTTTTCCATATCGCGAGAATATTTTCCCGCTACCCATGCATCAAGTAAATTTGGTTTATGTTCAACTGCATAAACTCCAACTAATCCCTGAAGCCATTTTTTTTCGTCCTGCAAAAAAATGTAATTTTTTGCTTTTCATGACGACAGAAAATTTTTGTTGCTTTTCTTCTCAGAATGTTTAATTATAAATGACTTACATCTTTTTCGAGCATTTCTAAATCTTTATCCAACCAAAAAAGACCAAATCCATTATTCATATCTTCATGCCACCATGGTACATCATAAGAAAGATAAATCTTTGCTGCATTTCCAAAACCTGTCCCCTAAAATAATTAATCGCAAATAATTTTTGAATTTTATATAATATTTTCTTGTATTGTTGAAAGAAAGATAAGGAGTGAAACATTTTCTTGTTATTAACGAAGTGAAAAGTTTGTAAAAACCCTGTAATGGGTATATAAAGAAATAAATTATTATTATTTAATATTTTCTTGAACAAAATAAATTAACTAATATATTGAAAAATAAATTATTAAATTTTTTTATTTTTTTCAGTAGGTATTATTAATATCGAAACGATTTTTCTAATTAATTACGCGTGTAATTTTTAATAAACAAACCTCAATGGCTTTTTGTTTATCTTCTGGTAAAACGGGTTTGAAGAGGGATTTATGTACGTCTTTTAAAACACCCACGGAACATGTGACGATGACATGATCTGCAGTGTGTGTGTCTCCATTTGTAGTTTTTACTGTAACTTTTCCATTAGGATCCGAATAATCAATTGAGGAGACTTCAGCATTTAACACTGTGTTACTCATAACTGGTAATTCTTCTTCTGGTTTCGGGAATCGTTTCTAAAGGAGACGAATTTATTTCAAATTTTTTTTTTTACCTACCAAATGTCGAAACGATTTTTCTCGAATTTTTAAAAAAATTTATTTTTTTAGTTTTAAACTGGAATTTTTTTAAAGTTTGATCAATTTTGTCATGAAAATAAAATGTTACCATTAGTATATCAAGAATAGTTTTATATCCATTTGTTTTCCAGTTAACAAAAAATGGTCCAGGACAGATATGAAAATCTTTGACAGTTACTGTTGAAACATCATTCCATGAGTCAGCAGAATATATTGACACCATAATCATGTCATGTAAATGTGTAAATCCTTTTTTATTTTCCTTCCATTTTGGATGCTCTTCAATGTATTTGTCAATTCTAAAAGAAATTAAATAAATAGTAAAATAATAATTAACTTTTATTTGTAATTAGAATAATTAACAATTTTTGAATATCAACATATTAAAATTTTACAGTTTACAAGAATAAGACAATTTTTTTTTGCCTTTATATTTTTTTTTATTTTTCTAAAGGGAATTTTTTTCCTTGAATTTGTTTAATGTAAATGTAATGACCATACTCATTTTGAAAATATTCTCCTAAGGGTTTATTTTTGTTCTTCTCGGCATATTCCACTAAATCGTTCTCTGCTTTCTGAGAAAATTCATTAACATCATCGACATCTTTTTGATTTACTGCATTGCCCGCAGAATCTATAACTCTTTCATGCATTTTGTCTACTCCTTCGTCTCCCTTGTCCACTACTCCATGTGGTGAGGCCAATTCATAAGCAACATTCCCTTCTACCCCATGAATCCATTGTGCGCCCAATTCAACTAATTTATCACCTTATGAAACAAAAAATTCAATAATTAGATTAATAAATTGAATAACATTTGTTTCTTTATGAAAAATCTTACCCATTTTTGCAGTGTGAATTCGACCTCCAATTCTGTCTTCAGCTTCGAGAATTTTGACATTTTTAAAGCCATTTTCCATAAGTTTCGATGCAGCGGCAATTCCTGATACACCAGCTCCAACAACAATTACGCTTGGTTGATCGTCATCGGCGTTTGCTGTTAAAATAATTGACAATAAAAAGAGTAAAAAAATACTAAGAAATTTCTTTTTGAACAGCATTTCTACTTTTTTAAAAAATCTTTTGAAAATGATCTTTCTCGGACGACGATTTCAATTATATTAACCGATTATTCTTAACTGATCTATTATTATAAAAGGTCGCATTCGATAATCTACTTCTTTTTTTTTTTAATTCCAAATGAGAATTTATTAGCGCGCGATGTAAACAATTACGTATTCATCTGAATGCAATTAAGCATAATTTCTATGGATAAATATAAATAAGAAGATCTTATTTACAATACAAGGTTTTATTTCTTATTAAATTTCTAGTAACATGCAAATTTATAGACTTTTTTTCGAAATTAATAACTGGAGATATAAATCAAAATTCATGTCTTGCGATAATAACTTCGAATTTTAAATTAGATTTTAATTAAAGAATCATTTGGATTAAAATATTGAGTTTTTTTTTTTGAAAATTTCTCCTAATTTTTTGCTATATTTGAATGCATTGCTAAAATTCTCTCAGCTTCCCTCCATCCAGTTTCGATTGCACCTTGAACAGTACCAAACAGATGTGGATTTGTTGCTTCGCCGGCAAATAAAATTTTCTAAACAAAATCAATATATTTGAATGAAAAAATAAAAACCAAAAAATTTTCAATAAAATTTTATAATAATTTTCTTCAATCTCTCACTGGATTTATTTCATCAATTGGTTCTGATAGTGATGAAGCCCAAATATTTTCAGCATCACTTTTCATACTTCTGAAGCTGTACGATCCCTTAAAATGATTATTACTATTCCATTTTGTTCTGTAAAATGATATTTGTCTTTATTAAGATATACTATAATTTGTTTTTTTTTTTATGGAAACTTAATCGATTCGATTTTTTTTTTGAAAAATTTTACTACCTTATCATTCCACTGGGTGTAGTAATGTTGTATGTTTTTCCAAGAAATCTTTGTAAAACTTCAATGCAATGATTCAAAATTTCTTCATCCGAAAGTTTTTCCATTTCTCGTGTATAATTTCCAGCTAACCATCCTTCGAGTAATTTTGGTTTATGTTCAACAAGATCAAATCCAACTAAGCCCAAAAGCCATTTTTTCTTTGGCTACAAAAAAAATATTTAAAAAAAAATTTTTAATTTCATAAAAATTCTATCTGAGAGAAAAATAAATTCTAAATATGTAAATAATAATTATAATAAACAATATAATAAATTCTAAATGAAGTTTTGACATAAGTTTTTGTTTATTTAAACAACTAAATTAATTAATATGAGGAAAATAATTAAAAAACTAAAAGTAAAAAATAAAATTTCTTATACAAATGTAACAGTAAAAAATTAATTTTCAATTTATATAGAAAAACTCACATCATTTTCTAACATTTCGAAATCTTTGTCATTCCAAATAAAATTTGCCCATGAAATTTTTGAAGAATCTTCGGACCACCAAGGTTCATCGAAATAGAGATAAATCTTACCTACAACACCAAAACCAAGTGCCTATAAAAAGAAATATTTTTAAATCAATTTTTTTAATTTACTATTTGACAATAATTTTTATTTATTATTAATAAACCTTAATTGTTTTTTGCTTCTCTTCAGATAAATGAGGTTGAAAGAGAGATTTGTGTTCATCTTTTAAAACCCCCAAGGAACAAGTGTAAATTACATGATCTGCCAAATATAAATCACCATTTGCAGTTTTTACTTTAACTTTTCCAATTGGATCCGAATAATTAATTGAAGTAACTTCTGCATTTAAAATTGTATTATTTAAAACAGGTAATTCTTCCTCAGGATTTGGAAAACGTTTCTGAAAACAAAAAAGAAATTTCATTTCTTTGTCTTTTTCACATAATTTTCATTTAAAAAAAATTTTTTTTCGAATAATAATTGTTTTTGCCTTTAACAGAAAAAGGAAAACAAAACAATTTAATTTGTTTGATTCAAAACAAACAAAAAAACATAAAAAAATATACAATAAATTAAAAACAAGTTTGGATTTAAAGTTTTCAAAAATTATAAAATCATTAAAATTATTACCATGAGTATATCCAACATAGTTCCATATCCACGTTCTTTCCAATTTATTAAGTGATCTCCTACATTGTCATGATATTCTGATGCACTTGTTGTCGATATGTCCCACCAACTATCGCCAGCGTCTCCAATAATTGTTACCATATTCATCAAATGAAGTAGTCCTTTCTCATTTTCTTTAAGATCTGAATGGGCCTTAAAATAATTATTAAATCTGAAAATATATATATTTATTTCAAATATTAATTGAAATTATCATTTTAAAAAATGTTGATAATATTACAAATTTAAAACTAAAAAATAGAAAAACTTTTGTAACTTTCTTAAAATTCGAATATTTTACTTTTATAATTACTCTTTTGTAAAATATTCCCCTTTTGATACATTTGCCTGGTCTTTAGCATATTCTGCCAATTTCTCATCAATTTGATAGTAAAAATCATTGAAATCATCAATAATTGCTTGATCCGCTATTTTGTTTCCGGAAGAATTGAAAAATCTGTGTTGACGACTTGTGAGATTACTTTTTTCAACTAATCCCAATGGCTGTACTATTTCGAGAGCAATATTTCCTTCTTCTCCATGAACCCATTGAGCACCCAAGTCGACAACATAATTTTCTTGTTAAACAAATTGTATTGATTATTTATTTAGTCTTAAATCGAAATATAAACAGCGTTACTATAAAAATTACGATTCTTGGAATTTAAAAAAAAAAGTAATTTTTGTAATCAATTTTAAATTATTCATAACGAAAATATAACGTGTAAACAATATTAAATTATTTTCTTACTAAATTGTGTTGTATAAATACGGCCTCCAATTTTATTTTCCGCTTCGAGAATTTTAATATTTTTAAAACCATTTTGAAAAAGTTTCGATGCAGCTGCAATTCCTGAAACTCCAGCACCGACAATAATTACACTTGGTGAAATTTCTTCTGTATTTACTTTCAAAATTATCGTCAATATTAACGAAATGTTAAACAATTTCTTTTTGAATATTGTCATTTTTTAAATAATCTTATAAATGTAGAATGTATAAAAATCACGAAATTATGTTTCTCTCATGACTGTTTGTATCGTACTGTGGTACATTACTCTGTTTTGTTCTATAATATTCTAAAGTCAAGTTCGATAAAGTTTATATATTTTTGATTATCAAGAACAAAAATTTATTGCTTATGATTATGTAAATTTATAACAAAGATTATTATTTATTTATAAACATATCGGCAGTGCATATTCGTACAAATTACTGAGAAAATACAAAAAATTTAAAAACTTAATATCTAAACGACTGCCATATTATTATTTAAATCAAATATCAAATTACGCAATTACAAATGTGCCGAAACGAAAATCGAAACACCAAAAAAATCTATATAATTAAGAAACTGATTTGCGCTCCCTACACAATTAAGAACACAAATAATAATAATAATAATTTTTTTTTAATATTCCCCTTTCAAAATTTTAATATGGACTTATCTGTATATTTGAATTAATTATTTGGTCTAATCGTAATTTTATCTTATTTATATATATTGTAATCTAATTCCATATGAACTTTATCTTTATTTTCCCTATTGTTATAATATTAAAATTTTCTTTTTATAAATAATTTATTGTTTTTATTAATATATAATTGACAAAATTGCATGAAACTTTTAAAACGAAAAGTTTATTTTTCTCAAAGTCGTATAATTTTTTGATTTTAAACAACGAATTAAAAAACTGATAAATTATTATAAGATTTTTGTTTTATTCATATGTGCGATAATAGATTAAAAGTATCTGGTGATCATTTTTAAGAAACAAAGAAAATAATGTTATTTATGTAATTTGAATTTTAATAAGTTTGATTTAATTCTCTGTAAAAAAAATTTCTATCAAGTAATCACTGAGATATTTTCAAAATCTTTTAATTTTAACTTTTTACAGTTGGATGTTGTGCCATAATTCGCTCTGCTTCTCGCCAACCTGTTTCAATAGCGCCATGAACTGAACTATAGTGATGGGGACTCGTGGCCTCACCGGCGAATAAAACGACCTATAAATTTAATTTCAATTATCAACATGCAAAATGGAAACTAAAAAAAAGCTAAAATGCAAAATTTGACAATTGTCAAATTAAAAACTCTTACTGGTTTTCCTTCTCCAACTGGTTCTGATAATTTTGTTGGATTCACAACATCAGGATCGCTCATCACTCTTCTGTAGCTATAAGTTCCTTTGAAATGTTTATTTCCAGACCACATGGATCTAAAAAGTTAAAAATTGTTTAGAAATTAAATTCTCTTCTTTGGAAATTGCTTTTTCATTAGCTTGTAAAAAATGGAAAATTTAAATTCGATTTTTTCAATTTTAATTAAAATTTCTGCTTTAAATTCAAATATCGTTGAAATTTTAAATTACCTCATCATTTCAGTGGGTTCAGTCATATTGTGTGTCTTTCCAAAAAATCTTTGCAAAACTTCAACAACTTGATTTTTGACTTGTTCATCAGTGAGTTTTTCCATATCGCGAGAATGTTTTCCCGATACCCAAGCTTCGAGTAAATTTGGTTGATGTTCAACTGCATAAACTCCAACTAATCCCTGAAGCCAATTCTTTTCACTCTGTAAAAAATATTTTAATTTTCCTTTTTCATGTGTGACTGTACAAAATAGAGAATATTTTCGTGTCGCTTATTTAAAAATTATTAATTAACAAAAAGGCTTACATCCTTCTCGACTTCTTCTAAATCTTTGTCCAGCCAAAGAAGACCGACTCCTTTTTGCATTTCATCATGCCACCATGGTGCATCATAAGAGAGATAAATCTTTGCTACATTTCCGAAACCCATGCCCTAAAATAAATGGTCACAAATAATTTCAGGATTTTTTGTTAAATTTTATTTAAACGTGTGTTTAATTTTTAATTAACCAAACCTCAATAGTTTTTTGTTTATCTTCTGGTAAAACGGGTTTGAAGAGGGATTTATGTACGTCTTTTAAAACACCCACGGAACATGTGACGATGACATGATCTGCAGTGTGTGTGTCTCCATTTGTAGTTTTTACTGTAACTTTTCCATTAGGATCCGAATAATCAATTGAGGAGACTTCAGCATTTAACACTGTGTTACTCATAACTGGTAATTCTTCCTCTGGTTTTGGGACACGTTTCTATAAAAAGAAAATTAATTTCAAAAAATCGTTGTTTTAGTCCTATGACAGCTTAATAAAATCAATTTTTCTCAAAATATTTAAAAATTTTAATTTACTGTTTTTTTTTTATCTCTTAAAATTGTATCACATTAAAAATACTTAATGATAGATGGATGTTGTCATGAAACAAACCATTAATATATCGAGAAGAGTTTTATATCCATTGGTTTTCCAATTAATAAAGAATGCTCCAGGACAATTGTGAAAATCTTTAACAGTTGCTGTTGAAACATCATCCCATGAATTCGCAGAATACATAGCCATCATTGTCATATCATGTAGATTCGCAAATCCTTTTTTATTCTCCTTCCACACTGGATGATCTTCAACATATTTGTCAATTCTAAAAGAAATAGAAAATATTAATATATAAATCACTTTTTTTTTATTAATACGATATCAACAATCATAAATGCAAAATTATCAATAAAAGATATATCAACTGATGAATATACTAAATTAGGATATTTTGTTCTTAAAAATTGTGTAGCAAATTTTTTTTTATATTTTTAAAAATTTAAATTATAATATTTTTGAATGGTAAAATATTTTATAACCATTAAAATCAATTTAGAAAAATTTTAATTTTCTCATTTTGTTTTTTTTTCATTTTTCTCATCACAATAAAAAAATTTTCATTAAGTGAGGAAATTTGTTAATTTCTTCGATATTGTATTAATTATGTTTAAGATTAATTCAATGGTATACTCTTGATTGAAAAATTCTCCTAAAGGTGAATTTTTATTGTTCTCAGCATATGCCACCATTTTTTCTTCCATTTTTTCAGAAAATTCATTAACATCATCGACATCTTTTTGATTTACTGCATTGCCCGCAGAATCTATAACTTTTTCATGCATTTTGTCTACTCCTTCGTCTCCCTTGTCCACTACTCCATGTGGTGAGGCCAATTCATAAGCAACATTCCCTTCTACCCCATGAATCCATTGTGCGCCCAATTCAACTAATTTATCACCTTATGAAACAAAAAATTCAATAATTAGATTAATAAATTGAATAACATTTGTTTTTTTTATGAAAAATCTTACCCATTTTTGCAGTGTGAATTCGACCTCCAATTCTGTCTTCAGCTTCGAGAATTTTGACATTTTTAAAGCCATTTTCCATAAGTTTCGATGCAGCGGCAATTCCTGATACACCAGCTCCAACAACAATTACGCTTGGTTGATCGTCATCGGCGTTTGCTGTTAAAATAATTGACAATAAAAAGAGTAAAAAAATACTAAGAAATTTCTTTTTGAACAGCATTTCTACTTTTTTAAAAAAATCTTTTGAAAATGATGTTTCTCGGACGACGATTTCAATTATATTAACCGATTATTCTTAACTGATCTATTATTATAAAAGGTCGCATTCGATAATCTACTTCTTTTTTTTTAAATTCCAAATGAGAATTTATTGTACACGACAAAAACAATTACGTACTCAACTCAATGCTTTTAAGCATAATAACACTTAATTACATTGAACTGAATGCGTAATTGTTTATAAAGTTTTCAATTTTTTCATTTAATGATAAAATACACTTACATTAATTTTCTGAAACATAATTTTGTTTTTAACCTTTTTTCCATCTTACATTTTCACAAGAAAGTTCAAGGCTAATGGAATTATCGTAATTTGATTTTTATTTTATTATACTTGATAACAAAATTATAAGACTGATAATTATTTCAACTTTTTTTCTGAATAAGTATGGAATAGATCAAAGTATCTTATGATAGGTCATGAAGCAATAGAAATTTATTCATTACCGTTTTCTATTGTTAAATTTCCCTATTTTAAGACAATACATTTTTTTTCAATTACCTTAAAATAAACAACATTTTCCGAATTCCGTTCGTTCCGAATGTTCGTTCTTATAGTTATTTTGTTATTGTTATTTCAATTTATGATTTGAAAAAAAATTTTTTTTTGTTGGTCATGCAAATAAATTTTTTAAATCTCATTTTTAAAATTTCAATGAAATATTTTTTGTAAGCCCTGTAAATTCAAATTATTTTGAAATTTTCAAAAATCGTTTGCAAATTTTTTATTTGCATGTATATTCCGCTAACATTTTTCAAAATCGAAAAAGTAGGGGAGAAAATCTAATTAACCCCTTAACTGCGATGACGAAGATTTGACGCACAAAATTGTCGTCATCAGCATTTAAGGGGTTAATTTTTCTTTTTTTTTTAAGAAGTTGATCATAAATCATAAATCACGTTTTAGAATCTTTATTTCTACTTCAATAATCCTTGACAGCATTTGAAGTGAAAGAGTTTATCGTTATTTTCTTCATTACTTTATAAGATAACAAATTATAAGATTGAACAAAATTTTAAATCTTCTATTTTATTATTAAGTAGAACAAAAGATCAAAGTATCTAGCGATAATTTACGAAGGGTAACTAGAGAAAATTTTTTATAATATTATTCATATTATTACAATTTTAATATAAGAAAATTTTCTAAGTATTTCCTACATTTGGATGTAGTTTTATAATTCTATCAGCTTCTCTATATCCAGCTTCAATTGCACCGTGAACAGCACTAAAGTGCTTGGAATTTGTTGCCTCCCCGGAAAATAAAATGACCTGAAAATTTAATTTTATTTTAAAAAATGCAAAAATATGTTTAAATAATTTGAAATTTTTCAGTACTTACTGGTTTTTCTTTTTCAATAGGCTCTCCCAATTTAGTATGATCGGAAGTTTTAGGATCCGTCTTTGGACTTCTGTAGCTATTGGTACCTCTGAAGTGTTTATTACTATGCCACATTGATCTAAAAATAATTGACAAATTTGCTGAATTCACTTTATTAAGATCTTTCCTAAAATTTATTCTTCAAAGTTAAAATTTTCTATTTAGAAATTAAATTTTCTTTTAGAAAACAAACTTTTCTTTAGCTATATCATCAACAAAATATCTTATTCGATAATTGAATTTTTTTTTCTTTTTTCTGTCACTTATGAGCAATTCCATGGGATTTGATCACAAGAATTTTTGATGATTGGAGCAATTTTATTGAAACCTTGTGAATATGTTCCTTTATTTGTTCAGAATGAAAGCCCACAAACAATTTTTCAAAATTTCTAAAATTTTTTGAGATATCTCTAATTAAAAATTTATGTCATTTTTTTAAAAAAAAACATGTAACTTTTTTTCTTGTTATCCAAATGAGATCAATTTTTTTTCAAATATCTCACAAAAAGATACTTTTTTAAGAAAAAAATAGTGTTAAAAATAATGTTAAATTCATTTTTTGAAAAAACTACCTCTTCGATTTCAAAAATTTTTTTTCTGCTTAATGCCTATGATGTTAAGAATAACTTCTCTAATTTTCATAATGGGACAGCAATAAATAGAAAAAAAAAATTTTTGAAATCGAAGAGGTAGTTTTTTCAAAAAATGAATTTAACATTTTTTTTTGCATTTTTAATACGGGCAAAAAATTTTTTTTTTCATGAACTATTTTTTTCTTAAAATAGTATCTTTTTGTGAGAAATTTGAAAAAAAATTGATCTCATTTGGATAACAGGAAAAAAAGTTACATGTTTTTTTTTAAAAAAATGACATAAATTTTTAATTAGAGATATCTCAAAAAATTTTGAAAATTTTGAAAAATTGTTTGTGGGCTTTCATTCTGAACAAATAAAGGAACATATTCACAAGGTTTCAATAAAATTGCTCCAATCAGCAAAAATTCTTGTGATCACATCCCATGGAATTGCTCTTATTCTAATTATAATTTCCAAACAAGTATTTTGAATTTTAGAAATTTTGAATTAAAAAATTTGATTAAAATTGTTACCAGTCGCGAAGAAATTAAAAAACCTTTTACCTCATCATTCCAGTGGGCTTAGTAACGTTGTATGTTTTTCCGAAAAATCTTTGCAAAACTTCAATACAATGATTTTTGACTTGCTCATCCGTTAACTTTTCCACATCTCGAGAATGTTTTCCTGTAACCCATCCGGAGAGTAATTTTGGTTTATGCTCAACTGGATAAAATCCAACTAATCCTTGTAACCAACTCCTCTCATTCTATGGACGAAATTTTAATTATTTTATATTCTAACTATACGTAAAGTAAATTATTGTAAATATTATTTTCCTAATATTACAATAATTTTAAATGATAATACTCACATCCTTTTCAAGAATTGCTAAATCTTGGTCCTTCCAAAGCAATGAATATTCACTATTCTTTCTGTCAGTTGGCCACCAAGGTTCATTAAAAGAGAGTAGAATCTTTGCCACATTTCCATAATCCATTCCCTAAAAAATTATTACAATAGAATAATTGTCCATCATATAAAAAAAAATTAAGAAACAAAAATAAAAAACAAAAGTTTTTCTTTTTTAATTCAATACGTTTTCATATCTCGGAATTTTTGACAAAAGAAATCGATTAATTATGATCAGATTATTTTTTAATAGTGAATTAATCATTTTTTAATAAACGAACCTCAATGGCTTTTTGTTTTTCTTCTGGCAAAGCGGGCTTGAAGAGAGATTTATGTATTTCTTTTAAAACACCCACTGAAAATGTGACAATTACATAATCTGCAAAATATTTCTCTTCATTCGATGTTTTTATCATAACTTTTCCATTTGGATTTGAATAATCAATTAAAGAAACTTCAGCATTTAATAAAGTGTTACTCATAATTGGTAATTCTTCTTCTGGATTTGGGTAACGTTTCATAATAATATCAAGAATAGTACTATATCCTCGTTCTCTCCAATTAATTAATAAGTCTCCAGGTGACGTTTCAAATTCCCTAAAACCCAATGTCGAAACATCATTCCAATTATCTGCAGAATGCATAAATGCTGTCATCATATCGTATAATTTTGTCAATCCTTTTTTATTATCCTTCCACTTTGGATGCGCTTCGATGTATTTATCTAGCCTACAAAAAAAAATTAATTGATCAACAAAATTGATTTATTTTTGTTAATAATTATTACTAGCAATCAAAATACAAAAATAAAAAATCAATAAATGAGAATAATTACCGTTAATTATTAACTATTATTAATTTTTTATTTATTATTCAAACTAAATTATTTATTATAATAATTGATAATTTGAGAAAGTAATTATGCATAGAATTAAATTCTAATTAAACAAAGGTGATGAATACTCATTCTCATAATGTACGCCAATGGAAGCATTTTCGTTGTTTCTAATATATTCATCCAATTTCCTTTCAACTTCTTTGTCAAATTGAATAAGATCATTTTTCTCTGATTTATCAACAATATTTCCCGAGGAATCAAATATTTCTTCATTATATTCCGATGACCATCCTCTACCTTTTTCCAATACTCCAAGAGGCCAAGCTAATTCGTAAACGATATTTCCCTCTTCTCCATTCACCCATTGACAACCAGTGTCCACTAAATAATCGTCTAATTAAAGAAAAAAAATTAATTATATTTAATTATTTATAAACAATTTTTTATTTTTAATTATTAAATTTTATTTTTTTTTTATTTTTAGAACAAAATTGTATCACAAAATTTTTTTTTCACTTCATTTTAGAATATTCCTTTTGTTGTGTAGTCAAATTTAACTAGGAAATGAATATAATTATGTAAATTAAAATTAAAGGAATAATTATAATTTTTTTCTAAAATTTGAAAAATTTTTAACTCACCGAATTTAGTAGTGTGAATTCGTCCACCAATTCGATTTTCAGCTTCGAGAATTTTGATATTTTGAAATCCATTTTGAAAAAGTTTTGTTGCAGCGGCTATACCCGAAGCACCTGCACCGAGAATAATTATACTTGGTTGATTATTTGTTTTGAAATTTTTCTTTATTAATACGCCTTTTTGAAATTCTTCCCGTTTTTTATTTTTTTCAAACATTTTTCAATGTCTTATCAATTTTGACAAATTTTTTTTTCGTGTGTGCACTTCTTTGCAGTTTATCTTAAACTACAAATTTCATTATTTTACGTTATTTCAAGTGCATAGATTATGTAATTATAATTTTTGAATTGATTACAATATATTGTAATTTTTTAAAGAAATATTTAGATGGATATTCAGTTGTGAAAAAATTAATGCACATTAATTCCTGGAATACATACGAATTTTTATTAGTAAATTTAATTACAAAATATAAAGTATCTGATAATTTTGAGCTATAATAGTTTGAATTATTTGTAATTTAAGATTTTTGAGAGTGGAAATTATGCAAATTTTTTTTTACCAAACACACTCTGATATTTGAAAATATTTTCTATATTTTACTAGTTAAATAAGTAAATATTTAATACGTTTTTTTAAATTTGCTATATTACGTGCATATTTAATTTCTGATTATTTAAAAAATTTTCCTAATTCTTTGCTAAATTTGGATGCATTTTAATAATTCGGTCAGCTTCTCTATGTCCAGTTTCAATTGCTCCGTGTACTGTGCTAAAGTGTTTAGGGTTCGTGGCTTCTCCAGCGAATAAAACAACCTGTAAATTAAATGTTTGTAAAGTTTTTATTTATTTTTTTTTAGTTTATTGAAAGTAATAAAAAATATTTGTTTATTACAACTTAATTAATTTTATTTATATATGTATAATATATGAAGTTGAAATTTTTTCGATTTTTTTTTAATTATTGTTTTCATTTGACAGAAATATTGCAATAGTGTCAATTTTCTAAATATGACATCAATAAATTTCTCTTAAAAGTAATATATGAATTTCATAAATGATAGCTTATCAATTTGAATGTAAAAGAATGGTCACTATTTTACTTTGCAAATTTTTAAAATTTAAATTTATTAAACTGTTTAATTTTTAGCTTAAATTTAAACCATTTACAATTTGCAACTACAATAATTCTCTTAAAAAACAGATTTTTTTAAAATTATATATGTTTAAAGAAATTTTTATTTTTTCAAAAATTATTGTAGGAAATGTTCTTCTTTAAAAGATCATTTATTTATGAACATAATATTGAAATAAATATATTTATAATTAATTTAATAGATTCAATTTTGTAAAAAAAATTTAATTTTATTATGAAGAATTATTAAATTATGAAAATTATTACCGGCTTAGTGGTGTCAATTGGTTCTGATAAAGTCAAAGACCAGGCATTTTCAGTATCTGATTCCAAACTTCTAAAGCTGTAGGTTCCTTGAAAGTTTTTATTACTATTCCACATGGTCCTACAAAAAAAGAAAGGAAAACAATTTTCAGAATAACTTTATTTTGTTAAATTTTATTAACCTACCGAATCATTCCAGTTGGAGTGGGAACTTGACGATGTTTCCCAACAAATCTATGAAGAATGTCGACTGTTTGATTAAACACCTGTTGTTCTGATAGTTTTTCCATTTCCCGTGAATAATTTCCCGATATCCATGCGAACAACAATCGAGGTTTGTGTTCGATGAAGAAAAATCCAACGATTCCCAACAGCCACTTTCTTTCCGGCTAAATGTATAATTTTTATTTAATTAATAAAATTTAACTTTTTTGATTACATAACTAATTTTTTTTATTATTGTTTGTTTAAATATTATTAATTTTTATATGTCTATTTTTTTATTAATATATTTATTCTAATTATAAAATTATTAATTAAGCTTACATCTTTTTCAAGTTCTTCGATGTCCTCTTTTTTCCAGAGAATATTAAATCCTCCATACGAAGTATCATTGTTCCACACAGGATTTTCGAAAGATAACAAAATTTTTGCTTCACTGCCATATCCAAGTCCCTGTGAAAAAGAAGAAATTATTTTTTTTTAAATAATTTCATTAAGATAAAATTAACTATTTAATACTTTTACATTTTGTTAATTAGAAAAAAGTTTTTTTTTTTTAGAAATTATTAATAAGAAAAAAAAGAAACCTTAATTGTTTTTTGTTTCTCCTCTGACAAAGGAGGTTGAAAAAGAGAGTTGTGTTTGTCTTTTAAAACACCCAAGGAACAGGTGAAGATTACATGATCGGCAGTGTATGCGTCTCCATTTGCAGTTTTTACTGTAACTTTTTCATTTGGATTTGAATAATCAATTGATGTAACTTCTGCATTTAAAATTGTATTGTTTAAAACAGGTAATTCTTCTTCAGGATTTGGAAAGCGTTTCTAAAATCATTAAAGAAAACGTATTTAAAAAAAAAAATAATAATGCAAATAATAATATTAATAATAAACTATTATAATGATAATAAAGTTGTTAAATAAAAAATTATTACATACCATTAAAATATCTAGAATTGTCCCATATCCACGATCTTTCCAATTTACCATATAATCTCCTGGACTGTCTTGATATTCAGAAATACTTGTTGTTGAAACATCCCACCATGTATCAGCGGCATCATTTCCCATTTCCATCATATTAAACAAATGTAAAATTCCCTCGGATTTATCACTCAACTCGGGATGATCTTTAAAATGTTTATTTAATCTACAAAAAAAAACTCCAATTTAATATAAGATAAAAAATACAATAATGAAAAATAAAATTAAAAAAATGTAATAAGAAAAGTATTTTTTAAACTTTCATTCAACCTAATAAAAAAAAAAATTATTCCGCAATATTTAAAAATAAATTAAAAACATATGTAAATACTCTGTGACGAAGAATTCGCCAATAGATCCATTGTTCTTTTCTGAATATTCCGATAATTGATCTTTTAATTTAAAGAATAAGCCTATAAGATCATCACTTAATGTTCGATTAATTAAATTTCCCGAGGAATCAATTATTAAATAATTTAAGGTGCTTAATAGTCCTCCTCTCTCAACAATTCCAAGAGGCCAAGCTAATTCAAATGCTACATTTCCTTCTTCACCATGAATCCATTGTCCACCAAGATCAACAGAATAATCATCTATTAAAAAAAAAAATTATTTCTTAACTAAAGAAAAATTAAGTGGAATTATGATAACAAAAATCTAATTAATAAACCATTTTTTTTTTATTTAATTAAAATTGAATAAATACATAATTCTGTAAGAAAAAAGTATTCTATAAAAACTTACCGAATTTAGTGGTGAAAACTCGTCCTCCAATTCTATTTTCAGCTTCGAGAATTTTCACATTTTTAAAACCATTTTGAAAAAGTTTAGATGCAGCTGCAATTCCGGATGCACCAGCACCAACAATAATTACATTTGGTTGATTTTCATTGCAATTCACTGTCAAAATATGTGACCAGAAAAATAATAACAAAATACTGAGAAATTTTGTTTTGAACATTCTCTAATTTTTATGTATTGTTATCCTAGAAAATGAAAGAAGATGAAATTACAGACAACTTAACATGTTAGCATAACACTGCGTGATCATCACGATCTAAATTCAGTAATATTTGAACATCATTTGATAATCTACTATTTTTAATGGCATCATTTAATGGCAAGGTCAACTCTTATATTCTAACGAGGGTTCAATACAAATGATATAACTGAACTTAAATATTATGCAACTAAATGATTTTGAAAATGAAAAATATACAGAATATAATTTACAAATGACAGAAAAAAATGTTTTCAAAACATTTCAATGTCATTTGTTTTAAATTTTTCGAATTATGACAACAAAGTATTTTAAATTCATTAAAACATAAATAAATAAATAAATAAATAAAAATTATTAAAATTAAACTATCATTAATTAAATATCAATATTGAAATTAGTTTATTAGCATTTTGTGAAAATTCACCCTAACAGCAGGAGATATTTCTTGAAATTTACAAAAAATTAAATTCAAAATTTTGAGTATAAAGAAAATGTTTTTAAATAATAAACATTTGTTACGATTAACTCAAACATTTATTTCAAAAGTAAAAATTATTTACAGCAAGGATAACAATCTAAGTTATCAAAATTTCGTTGAAATTGAATTAAAAAAAAAAAGAAATGCTGCAGTCGTATTTTTTTTTACATTGTGTAAATGCGGAGGTAAAAATTTCGTTTTGTATATAAAATTATTTTAAAAATCAGTCTTTAAAAAATTCCTAAAATTATATACCATTTGATTTTTTTTCTCTCTATCTCTCTTCCTCACATACCGGTTAATGTATGTACAATATGTGGATGAATTATTATTGAATTTCAATATGAGGAAGATCTTATATTCTAAGATCTATAAAAATTAATTTAATCATAATTCATATTTATCTTTGCTTAAATCGTCATCCAAATATTTTCTTTTTAATACGCAGTAAATTAGAATAAAAAAATCTATGACATATTAATAAAAATATACTATTTTCATTTTCGTCAAGGTATTATTTATCTGCGATAATCTCTTTTAGATGATAATGACGGAATTTGCAAAGATTTTTATAAAATAAAGAAAATTTGTCGATTTTTTTTTTAAAATAATCATTGTTCTCAGAAATTTTACTTTTTTATCAACATTTTTCAGTTTTATTCGTATGTTTATAAATTTTCTTTGTTTAATTGTAAAAATTAATAACTAATTATTATGTATACAATATGAAAGATGTTGAGAAAAATTCTTTGAAATGTAACAATAAATTTTTATTACTAAGTTTTTAAACGTTTTTTTTTTATAAAAAATAAATTCTTCCTGCAGACAGAAATAACAAATGGAAAATTAAATTGATTTTTTTTTAAATTTTTCCAAATTTCCAAATATTTTTATCAACCAAAAGAGATCCTTAAGAAAAATTTACGTTAAACATGTATTTAAGCAAGAACAGAAAAGTGACTTGCAGTACAACGAATAATAAAATGAGAATTTACAAAATTTACTGTACAACAATGCATGAAAAATATTCAGCGATATCGAACACCTAATATCGAATATAATTATGTATAATATTTATATATACACGTATTATTAAAAATATGTAAATAATTATGAAAAGCTCTCTTGTATTACAAATAGATTCATAATAGTACCTAAAAATAGAACCATTTATAATTATTTAATAATTATATAAAATCTGTTATTTCAAATTTATTAAGAAATTTTATTGATCTTTAATTAAATAAATTTCTTAAATAAGATAAACATTACAATTATAACATTTTTTTTATTGTTTAATAAGATTCTTAACCCTGGAGATTTTTTTTATTATTAAATATTTGGAAAATTCAAATTATTAATGGCTCTAATTCTTAAGTTTTTATATATATCAACTCGTTATCTTGTACATTCATAATCTTGCAATCAGAGTTAAGTAGACTTATAATTTTGGCACATTTACGGAAGGTACTTGATATTTATTTTATTTTCATATTTTTATATATAAAATAAAAAACAATTATTGCTTAACTTTTTTTTTAATATTTCCGGCCAAAATATAAATTTACTGATATTTAATTTAATAAATTGATGATCCAGATAATTTATTGATATTCAATTTTATCGTTAATCGCTAAACTTCTATATATATATATATATATTCTAAAGATTCAATAATTCATTATCTTCTGTTCATTACTTACGAGAGTTTCAAAGAATCCATTTTACATTAGACAAGTTGCTATTCTGAGCAAAATTAATAAATCCCCAATATTATTTATCAAAAAAAAAAAAAAAAAAAATTACAACAAAAAAACAATTATAAAAAATAACAATAATAAATTTTGATTATAATGAAGCGATAACGTTTTTTTTTTAAAATTAAAATAATTATTTCGATATCTAAAGTAATTTTGTAACTTATGAGATAAAAATTCTTAAAAACTAAATTTATTATTTTCAAAGTTTTTTTTTCTATTTTTTACTGCTTAATTGAAGATAAAGATCCAAATCTTGTCAGATAAAAAATGGATTGATTGAAAAAAAAAATGAGTGAGCAAGTTAAAAATGTTAGGAACATTAAATTTTAATTTTCTGAAACCTCTTATTTCATCTCACTGTTTTCTTTTATTTTCGCATTTATTTTTAGTAAAATTTCGTTTGAGCTTCGATAAATTTTAATTAATAAAATTGTTTTAATTTAAAAAAAGAAAAAGAAAATTTTTTCAAGTAACTGAACATTTTAATTTTAAGAGTTAAAATTTTAAACGTTTATAGCTATAAAAGTTTTCATTTTCTAATTCTAAGATTCAATTTCTAAGAGATTCAAATATGTAAAAGTTTTTAGTTTAAAATTTTCAGTTCTACGAATTTAAAAACGATAAGTGAAAAATGTGTAAATGCAATCACTTTAAAGAAATTAATAATAATAATAATAATAAAAATATTTAAAAAAAAAAAAATAAAAAATTGGATACTTCTGAATTCGACTAGGAGTAGATTGTTGTAAAACAAATCTTGATATGCGATCACACTTCAAACGCTTGTCTCCTTTTTCACATTTGACAAATCAAACAATGAATCTGGCGTAAGACAATCATCATCTAATGTTGCCACATCATCGTCAGAATAATTTTCTTTTTGATAATCAATCCCTATACTGGCATTAATATCCTGATATCGTTGAACAATGCCAATTGAACCACGCGTTTCCTCAAGATCACTGAGGGAATAAAAATTTTTGCCAATTTTCCTTGAAATCTCATCTTTTCTCTCGAAATTTGTCAATTGCATTTCTTCAAGTTGTCGTTGATCAGCACACGAATTTGACGGACAATTTTGACTATTTAATAAATCACTGATTGGCCCTCGCCGAACCAAATCATTTTCACTAATTGATTTATATGTTTCCTGTATGAATGGCGAGCCTAATGATTCACGTGAACCATCATCAGTCATTTTCTCCTGAAGATGTGAATTTGATGAAAATGAATCGACATACGATGATTTTGAGTATTCACAATTTTTTGAACTTGCAAGTGACATTGCATCACGTATAGAATTACGATGACTTTGACTTTTCAATGAATTTGTACAATCAGTGGGTAATGTATACATACTGCATGAATAACTAGATTTCTTTAGATCCGATCTAAATTGTTCATCATTGATATTAATTGGTTCAATGAAACTTGAACATCGTCCCTTTCGTTTTGTTGGTCTTTCAAGCATATCGTCGATTTCGGAAAAATTTTGCTCACTTTTTTCACTTGTTATTTGTACTATTGAATCCATATCGGAACTGCATTCTAAACTACATTGTTGAGAAGCATTGCGTAATTGTTTTTTCTCTTCGGTTTTTGATCCTGTGTCTGATTCGTATGGACTCGTAGAGACAGTGCTCTGATGTTCTTGATGTAAATGTTGAAAATCAGCTACAAAAAATTATGAAAATAAAAACTTTTTTTCAATTAACATTCATAAAACTTAAAAATTATTTAGAAATTAAAAAATTAATTAATTACCCTTAATTTTTATGTAATTCTGATATAATTTTTTTAATTTCAAAAAGATTTTTATTTTTTCTTATTGAAAAAAATAAAAGTTACAGAGATACGCTCAAAAAACAAAAGAAAGTAAATTTTGTTTAAAATAAAAAAATTGATTAAATTTAAAAACGACAAACCTCTTGTCGGTGACATACGATAATCCATGCTATCACGCTGAGCAGAATCCCTATTTATTTTTTTAGTTGTTATAATACTACTCTGTCCACTGTCCGAGAGAATATTGACATTTTTTAAATCATTAATTGGATTTAATTCAACATGAATATTTGTATTATTGACTTTAGTTCCACCGCTAAGTATACTTCTTCCAATATCGTTATCTAATTTCATTGTTCTTCGAATAGAAATACAACTTCCGCCATCACTTGTTATTCCTCCATCACCTTGTTTTCGTGGTCCTAAATTATTATTTTTTGTATGTTTACGTTGTCTTTTAAAAAATTTCCTCGCCACACCACTTTGATGGGGATTATAAAACATTTCTACACATGCAGGTTGACATTCTGTATTATAAGTTGTGACAGAATTATTCGATCTATATTGTTGTCGATGCATCATTATTAATTTTACATTCGCCATTTCCGGTGGATTAACCGTTGTTGTTGCATCAACAAGTTTCGACATATTATAACTGTTTTGCGATTTATTTGTATGCCTCGATGAACTCAGTGAATTTGTGTCTGACGTCACCTGTAAATTGAAAATCGTTTAATTTGAAATTTTAATACTGAAAATAAAAATTGATATTTTGTTTTTTATTATCAGACCTGAGTAGCTTGTGTATTGGAGAATGGTGCAGAAATATTAGTGGCTAGCGGTTGAGTTGGAACCGGTGACACAGCATCAGTAATACCACGTGGTCTGCAACATCTGTGCTTTCGTTTTTTCAGCCAACATCTCATCAACAACCATTGTGATCTAACGTCACTTCTTGCAACACCATAAAAGAAGAGAATAAAAAGTCCCAATGAACTCGCTGAAATCGCATACAAAACAGCAAAAAGTGTCTCTTCATAAGAAATATATGAAGTAAATAAATTTGCCGATGTCAATGCGGCAAAAGTCCAAGTAATCAGATACAAAATCATAATGATAATTTGTCCCTTGAGTTGTGTTATTTGTGAATGTTCAGAATCTTCAACTTCCGACGAAACTGTCTGACTACTATGTAAACTAGCGCGATCAACAGTTGGATTTGCATTTGGCTCCAATAATTCTAAATCCATATTTTCTGTCGCTTGCGTTCCCTCCGATAATTGACCATTTAAATCAGTATTTCTAATTGTACATCTAATTAGTAAATGAAGAATAATTAAGTAAACTAAAAGAATAGCTGCTGGCATAAAAATAGCTGCGAGTGATGGTTTCGACGATAAAAAACAATGCGAATACGATGCATATTCTCGAAGATTAATTGCTCCCGATAGACCGCAAATTATCAACGAGATACCCCAACCGACAAGATAAAGTCCCAGCAATGGTTTACGAATTGGTGGCTCGTGAATTTCATCATCAGGCAAATTTTCCATATCGGATTTTGAAACACGTTTGTACATATTGCTGAAAAAATAATACAATTTTTCTTTTTAATTAAAATATAATAAACTAAAGGAAAATAGGTATTTAAAAAAGAGATTTCTAAATAGAAAGAGAGAAAAAAAAATGATAATATAAATACCTTGCAGTGGCAGCCATCCAAAGTAAACTACAAAGAGACAAATAATGCAAAACTAATCCAACACCTTGGCAAATTTCAACATTTTCAGTTTGTTGAATTCCAGCAATATATAAAACACAAAGTAATGTCAACGCGATCCAAGTGTTGATAACACAATGCTTTGCTTTTTTCGGCATTGCTATTGAGGGATAACAACATACATAAGTTACAGTAATTATAACAAGACAAATTATTGTTATGAAACTTCCAACGTAAACTGCAGGATTTGAGTATTTAAACATGGCACCAGTTAAACTGAAAATTAAAAAAAGTACCAATTAATATTAAATTTTATTTTATTAATAAAATATAAACATTTATCAAGTTTTATAATATTTGTATTTTGTAATATTATTTTTTTTATTTTATAATATTATATTAAAAATATTAACATTTATTTCAAAAATAAAATAAATTAATGTATTTCTCTTGCTAATTACAGGCATTTATAAAAAAAAATTATATTTCCCTTTCAAGAATTAGAAATTTTTTTTTAATTATATTTTTTGGGAGAAAACATATCATTTTAAAAAAAAAAAATTTGTAATTTAAAAAATTGTTTATTCACACACATTTTTAGGTAATCAAATAAATCAAATAATAATAAACAATTTTTTTAAATTAGAAATTTTTTTCTTAAAAAATGACATATTTTTTTCCAAAAATATATTTAAAAAAAAATTTCTTATTCTTAAAAGGGAAATATAATTTTTTTTTATGAATGCCTGTAATTAGCAAGAGAAGTACCTTAAGCTTCATGGAGAATGGAAATTTAATTATAAATATTAATTTGAATAATTAAAAATGAATAAATTACCTTCCACCTTCCTTGTCTAGGTAACTAATATCCTGCAAAAGACCGTAATATCCAAGTCTGTTGCAATGAAATACGATCAAATTATTCATTAAATTTAATAATTCACAACCATCGCTTGACCATTTTCCCGTACCATTTGTCGTGGAATCCCAAATAACAGGAATTAATTTACTATTGTAATGATGCAAAGGTGTTTTTAACATTACATAAACCGGGTCTGTCAAATTATCAACTGTTCTTCCCACTAAGAAAGGAGAAAAAATCATTCTTAAATAATTTCTTACTTCTAATGTAAGTCAATTAACATAATTCTTTTTTTTCCATTTTTTGTCATATTAACAAATTCTAATGAAACTATTATTTTATTTTTTATAATAAAATAATTTTAATAAGTCATAAAAAAATGAAGACTAAAGAAAAAATATTAAAACAGAAAAAAAATCGTATTATTAAAAAGTACATACGTATTTTACTGCCAATAACACAAGAAGAAATATCCATATTATCATCGTCAAGCATTTTTGGAAAAAGTTTACTATTACTATACATGGAGATCATAAGTTGATAGGCAGCTTCTTTGTCATCAAAATGATTAAATAAAGATGCAGGTAATTGTACAGACGCCTCAATTGTTTGCTCTTTCATACTAATCATTGCAGTCTTATTATTAATTGTACAATAAAGTTCACGTTTCTCATCGGGATTAATACTCTTATACCAACTGCACATTAAACCCACAAAACTCTCAGGTTTTATACGTATCTCTTCCAATGCCATATTATTTTTATGCGATTGAATTGCCGGTGTAAGCTCAGTTATATTTTCCACTAATTTTACTAATTTTGTACATGATTTATAAGAAATTTCAGCCATTTTTAATAAACGTTTTGGTAAATTGAGTACAACATTTATAATATCAATCAACATTGGTCCTAATTCTTTTTCTTCAATAAGAAAACTTAAATAATTATCAATTGTTTGTGTGATAAATTTAATTTCCACTGGATCTGTTAGCATAACACTGTCACCGGTGTAGTTTTTAAATTTTTTAACAGTTTCCATTAGACTTGTTTTTGTTAGAGAGAGATTTACTTTTGAAAATTGTTCGAGAATTTTTGTTGTCGGTGAAACATAAGGACATGAATCGGTATTTAAATATTCCCAATTTCCACTCGAATTGCAATGATGTGTTGCTAAAAGTGGATTTTGTAATAAACTTGATAAAATACTACCTTCGCATGGTAATTCAACTTTCCAACCTATCACTGTTCTAGGCCACATATAAATTCCCTTATTGTTTCTTGTAACTGCAAATTAAAATTTTATATTTTTAAATTAAAAATTCTTTCCTTTTTTTTATGAAAGTAAAGAATTAATATTACCTGTTTGGGGACAATATCGTGTCAAATTCGAAATTACTATGACATTTATTGTTTTTGATTTATTTCCAAACACCGAGGCTAATAAACAATTCCACTGTCCATTGTGTTCTTCTTTTACCGGATTTATACTTAGTGAGCTAAAAAAAATTTTTTTTTTTAAATTTACTTCCATTAAACGAAATTAAATTTAAAAAATAAAAAAAATTATTTACAAAAATTAATTTTTTGATATAAATTAAAATTTTATAATTACCTATCAACAATGCCATTTTCTGTTAATCGTCGATTTTCTATTTTAATATTCGACAAACTATCATTTGGATTCAAATGCATTGTAAAATTTTGCGCATTGAGAGTGATATTTGGATTCCAAAACCACATTATTTTAATGCGTTCATCATCAATTACAGTTGGTGCACGACATCTCAATGTTAATGAATCGCCGGCAAAAACAATTTGATTTTGATGTGGTAATACTTCTAAAGCAGGAATTGTCCACTCACAATGTAGGCCTTCAGTTAGTCTTAATTTTCGAATTGCTTGATCCTTTAAATTTAAAGGTGTCACACATTTTGGAGGAGGGCTGAAAAATAATTTTTCCACAATATTACACATTAAATTGATTATAATTTATTACAATAAATATAAATAGATCTTTTGATTTACTTTAATTTTAATGAACTGTTATAAATCCAGCTGCTAAACCAATAGAGATCACAATTACAGTTCCATGGATTGTCAGACACGTCTCTGGAAATAGAAATTTTTTTACGAAATATTAAACAAAAATCAGAAAAATGACGAAAACAGATAAAAAGAAAAATAAATTAAATGTATAACATTGAAAAATGTTTAATTATTAATAATTGTTTTTATTAACTCACAATTGTTTCAATGATTTAAGTCCGTGAAATGTTCCTTCCATCAATGTTGTTAAGTAATTATTATTCAGTTTCCTGCAAATTTATTAAAGGTTCTTGTAAAAAAAAAAATAAAATTGTAAAATAAAAAATGATATTTATTAATGAAAATTCACAACTCTGAAAAAATTTTTTATATAACGATCTTCCCCCATTTTCGTAAAAAATTTAAATTACTAAAATGTGCAAAAATAAATTAAATAAATAAACTGATTTTTGCAAATATAATATTGATTATTATTCAAATAAAATTATTATTAATTATTATTCAAATAAAAAATAAAAACTACACTTACAAGCGATCTAAAGCCTCCAAACTATGAAATAAGGTTGGACCCAACTTGCTTATTCGATTGAAAGACAATTCACTAGTAAAAAGCAGAAAAAAGGAGTGTCAGCAAAAATAAGGTTTTAAAAAATTGTTTAAAATTTTTTCTTTTTCATTTGAGTTACTTACAGCCGTTTGAGATTTACCAGTTGCTTAAAGGCTAACGAGTCTATCGTTGTAATTTGGTTACGACTCAAGTCTCTAAATGTAATATTAAAGAATTTATTATTATTTTTAATAATAAACAATTTTCGACAATATAAAAACAATTTTGTTTCTATTGTTAAAAATTATTGGTAGTTAAAAATTCATCTTACAAATCATTAAAATAGTAAAAAAAAATTATATATAAAAATCATTACATTTAATTTAAAAAAAATTAATTAATATTAAATTTATCTTACAGCCTCTCCAAGTTTTCAAGACCGTTAAATGATCCTTCAGCCAAGGTAGTAAGTTTATTGAAGGAAATACTTAATCGTTTTAGATATGTCAAATTAATAAATATTTTCGGCTCAATAATGTAAATTTCATTTTTGCTTAAATCACTGAAAAATAAATTTCATAATTGAATTATTCTACTTCATGTGCTAAAAATGATGAATTAATAAATTATAATTGCCGACTTAATGAAAAAAAACAACTTACAGTTGAAAAATATCAACACCGATTGTGTCGAGGGCAATTTCTTTAATCTCTTGTATATGATCATTGCAAATTACTTTCAACCATTCTGCTTGTGGACCAACACGTTTGCATTCACAACGAAGAGGACATGATTGACTTGAAACAAAACCTTGCATCAGAATCAGGATTACATAGACAGTAATCATGATTGACAATTGTGGCCCCTTACCTTAAAAATAAAATATTTTTTTTCAAAATCATTTACAAAATTATCTACACAACACATTTTTATATTTTTCCTTTTCATTATAAACAAATTTTTTCCTAATCAACTTAATTAAAAACATTTGAAATCTAATAAAAAATTAATTCTTCATCCAAAAAGGGTAAATTAATTATATTAAACTGAATTTGTTAAAAACAAATAGGAAAATAATTAAAAAGATAATTAATTTACCATCTGGCAACATACTCTACAAAAATTTATTAATTAGGGACATTATTTTACTGATTTGATATATTTAATCATGATATATTTATTTCATAATATTGTTAACAATAGTTCATTATTTACAAAACAAAAGAATGCCCAAGTTATGTTCTAACTGTACAATTAATGTAAAGTTATTAATAATTAATAAATTAATGAAACTATTTAGAGATCCCTTATTTAATTAAATTAAATTTCAATTATCTAAATATATGTATAAGTCATTGGCAAAACATATTTTAAGCAAATGGTAACGAAATTAAATATTAATTTTATTTAGTGCTTTATTGACAAGCGAGAAAAATGATTGGAATGAGAAATCTATAAATATGTATTAATGAAAAATAAACAAAGATAAATTTACAGTATTATTGATGCTTGGGGAATCCTATATATATATATATATATATATATATATATATATATTTCTGGGAGTTGAATATTCCAACTGTCAAAAATCATTTAAAGGGTATATTTTTTAGATAAAGAAAAACAATTTACTTACGGCCAACGTTTGTAGAACTTTTATTTTCACATTTTTTAATGGAAAATAATGTAAAAATGCTTTAAAAAAGGGAAAATTACACTACTACGGCATTACTAATTCCGACACCAGCATTTACATTTTATGTCTATCTTTCTCTTCTCCCATATTCTCTCTTTCTCTCTTTTGGATCCTTCTCATCGTGTCTACTATTTCTCTCTTTCCTTCACTCAGCTATATTATCTTTCTCACTCTTCTCTCAACCCTTTAATCGTTTCTCTTTCGATATAAGGGGCAACTTCACACGTAACCAATTTAACATTTTTCATTTGCTTTATCATTATTTAACTTTACATTAAATATATATCTATCTAAATGAAAGAATTTATCAATTATTTTTTATTTATATTTATAATTAAAGTATTATCAGTCATTTTTAATAAAACGTTAAGTTTTTTTTGAAAAAAATTTCAAATTTCCGCTTAAAATTTGTGCACCAATGATAATTAAATAAACTTTGATGTCATTTAACTTCAGAGCATACTTTTTAAGATAAACATAACCTAAAAACTTTTGCACATTGACGATATTGTTATTATAACAATATTATATTAAACGTTTGTTGTTCTGACAGTTGGCCAAGCTTTAAGTCATTTAAGAAGAAGAAAAAGATATTAAACGTTGTTTATATTGTTGCAAATGTTATTATTCTATTTTAATAGATTTATAAATATAAAAAAGTTTAAAATTCTAATTTTTACAGTTGAAAAAGTGTACTATATTTACTAGTGTTAGTTTAGAAAAAATGAATTTTAAGTATAATAAAAACTAAATTTTTTTTTCTGTTTTTATTTGGGTGAGATAATTTATAACAATATAGAATAAAAATTTAGTTTATTATGAAATTCAGTAGAGGAATTTTAAATTTTATTAAATGGAGACGATATTGCACTCATCAAGGGGTAAGAATTTTATATATATTTTTAATTCTAGAATACATAATTATAAATAAATACTATATACCTACATAATTATATTATACATTAATATTTTATGCTGCAATATTTATAACAATAACCTATAAATTCTTATATTCTTTTTAATTGTATTATATATTTTTTTATTGATATTATGATTTAAAAAAAATGTTACTCCCTAAAATAGATAGTTACATAATAAAAAATTTAAAAATTAATCACACTAGTTGTACAAATACAGGTTCAAAGGAAAATATTACAAAATGATGGTTTAGTCGATCACAGAACTTGCATTCCGGAACCCGATTATGATGTGGACTTTCTCTGCAATCCAGCTAATCGAGATGCAATTTTTGAAAATATCCAAAAAAGAAATTGTAAAGGAGACATTGATAAAGTTATTGAACTCAAGTTTAATTCTGGCTCAAAACAGTTATTGTCACAAGAATTAAGTCGAATACCCAATTCCACTCATCCTGATGTTTTAAAACTTGGAAAAGAGCCGAATATTTTAAAAGTCTCTGGAGAGATTCCTACATTTAATTTTACTCCAATGGAATTTGAAAAGTTTGCCATTAGAATGAAACTTTTAAAAACTGATGGTTTAGGACCAGTTGCAGGGCAGAGAAGTTATGTATTTTTGGGTGATTTGGCAGAATTGGAAAATGCATTGATTAATTATTCGATAGCCAAATTGAGAAAGCATGGATTTAATTTAGTGACAGTACCTGATATTTTACCAACGAAAGTTATTGAGAGATGTGGATTAATTGTCGATGGTAATAGGACACTCGTTTATGAATTAGATCCTCATTATGGGGACGATTATAGTCTTTCTGGTACTGCGGAAATGGCATTAGCATTTAAAATGATGAATACAACGTTGGATGTTGATAAATTACCGTTGAAATTGGCTGCAGTCAGTAGATGTTACAGAGCTGAATCTTCTAGTTTAGCGCAAGAACGAGGAATTTACAGGTAATTAATACTATGATTAACAATTTTTTGATTTTTATGTTTTTTCTTACTTTTGGCTGAAATTTTAATTTAAAAAATAGCTCCTTTCAATATGAGTACTTACTGTTTGCTATTTTAACAAATGTCCTTCTGATATATTTTCTTTAATTTCAAAAATATTTTACCTAGTTTTTGTGGGAGATATTAATTTTTTTCACGAGCAATCATTTTCAAAAGGTTTAATAAAGACAGTACGTTTTCTCTTTTTACTTGTAAAATTTTAAAGTTTGGTACTTGAATTTTATATAGATAGAGTATTAATTTAGTACTGTGCTCCGAAGAAATTTTTTTTTATTTTTTCTTATTGAAAAGTTAATCTTTTAAAAATGTATTTTACAGAGTTCATTACTTTACGAAAGTAGAAATGTTCGTTTGTTCTGAGCAAAATAATTCAGAAGAAGTCTTTGACGATTTGCGTGCTATTCAGGAAGATTTATTCTCGGATTTAGGTTTACATTACAAAGTTCTCGACATGCCTCCTCACGAATTAGGCGCTCCAGCATATAGGTAAAATTTTATGAAAAACTCTTTATTAATTTAATCATATTTTAAATTTGTTTTATTTTGTTACACTATTATTATTAATTAATTTTTATTTTTGCAGAAAAATCGATATAGAAGGTTGGATGGCAGCACGACAATTATTCGGAGAATTATCAAGTTGCAGTAATTGTACAGATTTTCAATCGCGACGACTAAATATTAAATATACAACTAAAGATGGAAAATCACAGTATGCTCACACATTAAATGGAACAGCTTGTGCATTACCACGAATGCTTATTGCACTTTGTGAAACTAATCAATTGAGAAATGGAACAATTGCAATTCCACAAAAATTACAACCTTTTATGAAGGGAAAAACTGTTATCCATAAGCAATCAATTCCAAATATGAAAATTAACAAAAATAAACAAAAATTCAATTAAGCAAATACAATTAATTATTTATCATTCTTTCGAGATGATTCTTATTTCCTCCCTGAAGTATGATAAAAAAAAGAGTGAGTAAAAATATCCAAAGTTTAAATTAAAGAATATTTAAAAATAGAGAAAATTAAATTAAAATACAATTTTTATGTATATATATATATATATGTATAATTTTGTTGTTATTTAAATATTAGTTTTTAAATTCAATAAAATGTGATAACTGAAATTTTAACAATAAATATTACCGATTTTTCTAAATTTAACAATATTTCATTTATATTTTATCCTCATAATTAAAAATTTCAATAAATAAATTTTTTAACTATAATTTAATAAATTAATTCAACATGTTTTTTTTTGTTAATTTTTGAAATTAGGTTGAATTATATGACATTGAATTAAAAAATAATTATATGCGCATTTAGTGATAAAAATAAAAATTATTTTTTTTCCCTGTTCCGCATTTATTTATGCCCGCATTACTGTCACAAAATATTTACAATCTAATTTATAATTGGTGTACGTAAGAGATAAGACTTTTTATAAATATTAGTAACAAATACTTGAAGTAATAGTCTCGTTAAATTTTTAAATACTTTTTTTTTCCTTTACTTTTTAGTCAGCTCTTTTTACAACATTGTATAAGGTTTTTTTTTTATTAATCGCCTTTGATAAAACAACGTAAAATTCCAAAAAAAATGTTTTTTTGTAAAATTTGTTTTTTACTATTTTTTATATTAATATCTGAAATTTGCGCATTGCAAAAAATGGATATTCTCTATGAATGGAAATATGTTGATTATCTTTGGAAAAATCAGGAACACAAAGAAAAAATAATAAATACCGGTTATCGAAATAATTCAATAATTATTGACGTTGATGAAGCTCCAGGTATTTATTTTACTCTGTTTTTCTTTAATTTAATTATTATGAAGTTGGTAATTAAAAATTTTGTAAGTAATTATTAGTAAAAAAAAAAAAAAATGAAAGATTAAAATTAATTAACAAACTTTTTAGATGGTCGAATGTTTGTCACAGTTGTTGGAAATCAACCTGTTCCGGCAAGTTTAAATACGATTTCAAATAGAAAAAGTAAAGCTGGTCCATTATTAAAACCTTATCCTGATTGGTCTTGGTATGAAAATAATGATAATTGTACAGGAATTATCAGCGTTTTTAGAGTTGCAGTTAGTTTTATAAATTATTTTCGATATAAGTATAAATAGTAAAGATTAAAAAGATTTTAAAAGACATTTTTTTAGTGCCTCTTGAAAATTTCAAAACTTGTATTTAAAAAGTGTCTGATTTTCTTAGTCTTTTTAATTTTTGTTATCACTTTTAAATCAAATCACATAATTATTAAGTAAATTTTTTATATTAACAAAATATTTACTTCTTTTTTTTCGAGATTAAATGCAACCGTTTATGGGTTCTGGATAATGGAAAATTTGGTGCCAAACAAGTTTGTCCTCCAAAATTATTAATATTTAATTTAGCAGATGACCACCTAGTGAAAAGAGTCATTATTCCCAAGAATTTAGCTGAAAACAAAAAAGGGGAGGGGCTTCTAATTACTCCAATTGTCCAAAGTACAGGAATGTTTTGTGAACCTTGGAAATCAAATGTGAGTACAAAAAACAAAATTACGATTATATTATGCTTTTCTAAATTTAAACTAAAAATATTTATTCTTTGCTAACTTTGTAAAGTATTTATTATAAAAATAAAAAATGACTACACAGGAAAAATAATAAATGGTCAAATTAAAAACTCGTTACTGAAAAAATATTTACAGATTATCAAAAGAATAATTCAGAATTTGCAAAATATTTAGTGTTTATTTATTTTTAAGGAATCAATTTACAATAAATACTTTTTCATCAATTGCAAAAAAAAAACAGGAAATTTTAAAATTAATAAAAATATTATAAAATATCTATAATAATTAAAATAAAATTAATAAAAAGTAGTATAAAATATCTGTGTGATATTGATACATTTTTAAAAACAGGTTTTTATGGCTGAAGTTGATTTCGGAGCTTTAGTCGTTTACAATAATTATCAAAGACAAATGTGGCGATTGGATGGTAAAGAATTTGAAGCAGAAAAAAATTTTAGCAATCACACTATCGCGGGAGAAACATTTGATTTACCTGACGCTCTATTTGGATTGGCATTATCACCAAAAACTTATGGCCGACAATCACAATTTCTTGCATTATCAAAACTTTCTTCACGAAATTTATATATTGCACAAACATCGAATATTTTGAATTCTTATTATACAAAATCCTTGCGATTGCAAAAATTCGAAAATATCTTTCCAAGTGAAATAACTACAATGGCATTTAGTTCAAATGGAATTCTTTTCTTTGCACAAACTACCGAAATTGCCATTGGATGTTGGAATAGTCGAAGAAGATTAATTCCCCAAAATTTGGTAATAAAATTTTGTTTAAAAGCTTAATTTGAATTGTTTTAATATCGATTTTTTTTAGGACGTAGCTGCTCAAGACAATAAAACATTGCAATTTACAAGTGGAATGAAAATTATAAATAAAAGAGGCGAAGATGAAAAATTGTTAATAGTAACAAATCGATTTCAAAAGTTTTTCCTCAAAACAATGAACTTTAATGAGATTAATTTTCGAATTTTGAAAAAATCCGTCAATTCACTTATTGCCAATACAAAATGTAATACTTATCGTTATAAGAGAGGGAAAAATGAATAAAAAGAACATTAAATATCAAACACCACCTGACAGTATATTTTTTTTTTATAAACTAATACAATTATCATACAAAGTAATATTGGGTTCCGAAAAATTGTACGTACATGGGGATAAAATTCGATCATGATTTTCATGTTGAGTTTCCGATTTACAATTCTTGTGTACATTCGATAGTGGAGATATAAAAATGTATAACACAAAATATGTTTTCACAAAGCAATATGATTTAGAGACATTTGCAAAATTGACAATTTATCTCTTAATATAAGAATTTAAGTTTTCATTATTTTATTTTAGTTTTTTGTCTTCTATATATATTTATGAAATATTCAGTTAGATTTCATTTCGTTCCCGCGATTGTTGGACTGAATGATTCCAAAAAAAAAAAAACCAATTCATTATAAAATTGGAGTGTCACTGTTACCTATTTAAGTGTCCCCTTCCTTAATTATATCACTGTCTGTAAGTTAACAGTTCTGCTCGAGATTTCTCTGGACAGAATACTGACGTATTGAGTTCTGGCAATGTTGTTTGAATGTGTCTAAATTAGAAAAACAATGATTATTATTTTACTTGCTTATAATTTCAGTGATCATACAGTATCTATTGTAGTTTAAAGAAATGTAAAAATTAAGATAATTTTAATGAATACTAACTGCTATTTTTGTTTTAGTCGTCGTCTTCTCCAGATTCAGATTCCTCTTCTGCGTTTTGTAACCACTCGATAAATTTTTTCATTTGATCTAAAAACAGCATTTTGCCCTTTACAGAGTGTCCCTCCTTATACCACTTCAGTATCACTTCCTCGCTAATTACTTCAGCTGTAAAGAATAATATTTGGTAAAAAGAATTCTTTTTTCTGAATTCACGAATTTTTAAAAGTATTAAAAACACTTACTTTTGTAGAAGAGTAAAACGATTTTCTGGAAGACTTTCATGAAATTCATATTCTCGTAACAAAATTCTTGAACTTTCAAAATAAGTGCAAGTTCAGATCTGGCAGTGGTTGTAAAAGCACCGAATAATTGAGTATAGAGCTTCAAATGTTTTAAAGCTTGTTCAGCGACAAGTTCTTCTTTTTTGTTCCATTCTGCCTGAGCCATAACTGCGCCCCAAATCTATTAGAATATTTTAATTATTATTATTTATTTTTTTTAATTTAAAAGAGGAGTTTTTTTTTTTAAAGAAAAATTTGTAAAGAAAATATTTACCAAGCCAATAACTTCGTGCTCAGAGATATTACATTTTTGGGCCATTTCCTTAAGATCGACCACAATATCCTTAATAGCACGTTTATCGGCTAAATTCTCCAAAAGAAGCTGTTGGAGATCTCGTTTTGCTTCCTGGCTTGCTTGGGCTTTATGCAATTTCACTATGTCTGCTAATTCAACAGCCTCGAATACAGATCTAAAGTATTCCTCACTTCTCTTATTTGGTGGTACGAATTCCATTAACCTGATAAATTAAAATTCAATTCAATTTTAGTAATGAAAAATATATTTTTTAGGTATCTTAAGGGATTAAAAAGGCCAAAAAATTTATGTCTTTTTAAAAATTTTTTTTTCATATAATAAATAAATTATTTTATTTGAACACTAAGTTTTTTGAGACGTCTTCTAAAATAAATGATTTTGCGGTAGCCACGATATGCTTAATAAAAAATAAAAAAAAAACAAATATTTTCTATTAATAGGTGAGTATAGCTCGTGATTGAATGAAGGATTTTTAAAAAAATTGAAATTTGAATTTTTGGCAGAGTTTTTTGTCATAAATTACGATTTTTGGGACCATTTAGACCATCTAAAATCGGTTGTAATCAACAGAAAAAAATTCTTCGTTCAATCACTAGTCAATACTATCTAGAAGAAGTGTAACAAATTTCAAAAAAATTCGTGCATTAGTTTTTGAGAAATCGTGACTACCGACTTCAAAAAAAAAGTTTTGAGAATATAGCGTTCAAAGTTGAATGAAATTTTCTTTTATATTTTATCGGATTCGTTTGAAAATCTTTACTCTGGGATTTTTGAGGTCGCTGATTACGAATCCGGTATCAGTTTTTCAAAAATAAAAATAGCTGATCCAATATCTCCAACTAAGTAATTAAAAATCAATTGCAATAGATGATGGACGAAACAAAAAGTGTTTTCGAAAATTCTCACTCTTTCCAAGAGTTTTACTCAAATTATCTTAAAACTTTGGGAAAATATTCTTGACATGTTATACTATCAAATAAAAAAATTTGTTTTAAATAAATTTTTTTTATTGTTTGACCCATTTAACACCTTAAAATTCTACAAAAAAAAAGAGTTATTTTAAAATAATTTAACTTACCTTCCTTCGATTCCGCCACGTTTCAAAGCAGTCATTAGACTTGGAAGTCCTTTTTCCTGTTTCCACGTAACAAATACCTCAAGTAAGAAGTCTAGGGCTAGATTATCTTTAACAAGATGTTCGTTAATCAAAACAGAGAGCACAGTTGGTGGAACAGAACCATTTGAGATCCATAATGCTGTCATCCGAGCCAGCTTGATTCTTTCCTTTGGAGTAAATCCTTTAATGAATACCAGAACTTTCTTCATTTCCTCGTCGAACATTTTCTCCAGGTACTTATATCGCCGCATGAGCTTAATAAACACCTAAAACAATTTTTTTTTTCTTCTTCACATCACTTTTATTACAAAATAATAATTTTGGAAACAAAATATTTTTCAATAACAATTTTACAAAAATATTCTTGAAAAATGAGTTTTAGTTGGAAATTTTTTTTTATGATTTATGTAAAAGGGAAATAAAAAATAAAATTAATTTAAAAAGAAACTCTGTAAAATGGTAATATTTCTAAAAAAAATTAAGTTTTTTATTTTTAATTTAACTAGCATATAAAAAAATAAATTCTTAATAAAAGTAATATTATCATATTATTATATGTATTTAACAGTTAATTTAAAAAAAATGAGATTTTTAATTTCAGGAGTGGGGGAGAAAAGGATGAAAAAAAAAATGGTAAAACTAGAAAATAATAAAATGAAATGTAAACCTGTTCGAAATTTCGCATGGAATCCATGTCCTCTGCTTGTTCGAAGACACATGCTGTCGTTTTGACCGGTTTATCACCATCTTGAGCAATAGAGCCACCAGGTACCAAGAGACCACCCGCTATTAAAATATCAAATAAAGCCTCTCCGTATCGACGATAGTCTAATTTGGATCCAGCTGTATCCAAATATTTTGAAATTGCTTCTAAGTCGTTACCAGCCTTCTCGAGACCAAGTAAAATTGCATCTCGAAATCCAGTTGGATCATATTTTTCCTTTTCATCTGTCAAAAATGATGACGCGTTAAATTTCTGCTTAGCGACAAGGACGCTTTATTTAAAACACTTCTCTTTCTCTCTCCCTTTTTTAATTTAAATAAACATACCTCTTTTTCTGGTCTTTATACGCTGACCTGATAGTACTGGCTTTTCTATTTTTTGACTCATACAACACCCTTCTGAAATTACAAACAACGAATATAATTTTTAAAAAGTTTTCTTTTTTTTACTGCGAACCTATATACAAAATGTCAGTTGAAAATTAGAATATTATACATATCTAATTTTAAATACATAACAAATTTTTTATCTCTATTCTTTTTCTTGATAAATGCTATCAAAATAAATTAATATTCTCTTTGACGTTTCTAATAAATATATAAATTTTTTTAAATGAAAAAGAAGCACGCTTTAAAGTGAAACTTGTAATGAAATGAATCATTCATAAATTGGAGTAAATTGAAAAATATTGGATAAACAAAACACTGGTTAAAGGTTAGGGGGTAAATATAGAAAAAAAATTTTTCATTAGAAAGTAAAAAAAAAAATGTTTTATAACTATAGACCACGAGAAATTTAATTAGAGCGGACTCCTTCGCTGAGGTTAAGGTCGACCTTAAAGCCATCAGGCACGATGGCTGAAACTAGGTTTAGTTATTTAAAGCACTTCATAATATTACACAAAACTTTATTTGACAAAGAATAATGTTTGTGAAAAAAAACTTACTTTAATACAAGTATGATAATATAACCACTCCCTCCCTAACGTTATTAAGTGATGCGAAGTATTTAAAGGAGGACTGAGGGCAAATAGGAACTTGGGGTCACCGAAATGAAGAAATAAAAATGGAAGAGGAAGACGACAACCATTCATGTTCCTTCGCGCAAGCGTTGTAAGTAATCAGAATTGCCAATTGTTTTTAATATTTTTTTAAAATAAAAATAAAGAACTAACAGTTTGATTAATATTTTAAACAATTGAAAATGTCACACTAACCATTATACTAATTTGTGGAAAAAATTTTCTTAATGTACGTAAAAGAAGATAAATTTTTGATTTCTTATTAAAATTCTACGTCTTGATAAAGTGAAAAGTTGGTAGCACTGAAGGAAGTCATCAAGAACCAATTATATTCCTTTGTACGTTTCAGCACCAAATTTGAATTGTCAATTATAATTATTTACATTTTACAAAAATTAATGTTATTTTACAATGTACTGGCTATAAATAAAGTAAAATTTAATTTCAGGAATATTATATGCAACAATGAAGTTTATAAATTTTAGTTGATTTAAATTTTAAGTCTAACTTATAAGAATCGATTAATCGAACTAGTGTTTTGATGTTTATACTTCAGACAACTTCAAGACTAATCAAGTCAAGTGCAGAGAAAAAATGTTTTTAAATGTTTAGTTAATTTTGTCAAGTTTTTATATATATTTTTAAAATATAGTGCTGAATGACAAATGCGTTTTTTTATATTCTGGAATTTTATAAAAAAAAAGTAAGTGAAATTTTCAATAAACTTCATGAATTAAATTTCAAGCTCGATTAAAAGTGAGTTGATTCAACTTTTTTACTGTTAAGGTTATTGACCTTTATTTTAAAGTTGATTTTAATTTTTATTATGAAATAAAGTATTTTTTTTTATTGTCTCTTTTTTATAAATTCGAATTAAGTTAATCTTTTTTACATTTTAAATGTTATATTAAAATCGATTGAATAAGTTTAAAAGTTGACGTTTCTATTATAAACCTAACCTCAAAAACAATATGCGATATTGCGATCGATGCGATTCAAAAGAAACAGATTATTAAATAAAGCAATATATAAAATGGATAAATTAGAAGGATTTCAGCGCGTGTATTTGTATTTTATGTTTATTTGTGGTTGTTTTATTAAATTAAAGTACTTTTAAATGAGGTTTAATGATATTTAAATCGTGTTTAAAATATCAAATCTCTTTATTTTTATGATTGTCTTTTTTATCGACTCTGCCCCTGATAGTTGGTTTTCATTTCTACTAAAAAGCAAGTCCAAAAGATGCATATTAAATTAATAATAATTCTCATTATTTATTATTATTTAGTTAATTTAACAATATATTATTACTTCACAAATGAATATAATTTATAATAAAAAAATATAATTTCTTAAATTTTTATGAATTAATAAATATTTTTATTTATCATTCATTATTTCTTTAATTAAATAAAATAAATTTAGACACAAAAACTGATTTAAATTCATGTTATATTTATTGTCCACATTTGGATCATTTTCACGTACATCTAAGTAACAATAATTGTTCTAAGTCTAGATAAAAAATAATAAATACAATTAATATGTACAAAAAATCGTTAGAGTCGTTAGATTATTGTTTATAATAGAATAAGTCTCAATTTTTTTTTTCAACAAAAATATTTATTAATATTACTCTAAAAATGAAGGAAAAATTTTTTGAAAAATTTCCCAAATTTTACGTACAAAAAATACTATTTTTTTGAGACTATTCTATTAAATGATGACTCTAGTCGTCAAAAATCTAACAAACAATGATTAATAGACTTAAATAATAAAAAAATGTATAAAATATAATTACAAAAATTAAAAATACTTAAACTTAAATCGAAAAAAATGTAAAATTAAGCTTATAAACAATTATCTAATTTTATCATTTTACTATACAGCCATATATATTAAATTATTGATATTTCTCAATTTTTAATTTGAGAGCAATCGTATATGTCTAAATAATGCACTAACATCGACAATAAAAAATATTTTCTTTACAATGTTAATGTAAAAGAAAAATTTTAATTAACAAAAGTTATTAATTTTCATTGTCGATTATGGCAGTGTGTTTTGGTGTCTATAACCATTGTAAATAAAGGTAAAAAATATTTTTTTACCTTAAAAAAATTATAGTCTTATTTGTCTTATATATTTTAAAGATCACAAAATCAAAAAGCAATTTTTTTTAAAACTTCATTATTATTTTACTGAATTTTTTTTTTTTTTTAATAAATGTTTAAAAAAAAGGAAATTTTTTTACTATTTTCTTATAATGTATGAGGAGTAAAATAATAATTAAGTTCTAAAAAAGTAGAATTTTTAAAAAAGTAAAAAATGGGGTTTTGATAATACTCATTGAGAAATATTTAGATGAAATATGCGAGAAAATTTTTCAAACAAAATTTATCAGAATAGTAAAAAATATTCACTTCATTTTTAGTGATCTCAATTTTGAGAGATTTTTTTTAACTTTTTACCCATGTTCGTGTCAGACGTTATTTTCTTGGTAAATGTTTTAATTAAAAAAAAGACAAAACAAAAAATTTAAGAAGAAACATTATTCAATAGATAAAAAATTATTAACGACTGCTAACAAAAATTTGTGTCGAAAATTATGCTTTAAAATTAAATGAAAATTTGAGGGAACATTTATTTATTTTTTTTTTTTGATTTTATTATAATGATATTTTTATCAAATAATTATTGTATTAATAATATTTTTAAAAATATAATAAAATTATTTTAATAACCTAATTACTTTTAATACCATATTATATATTTTAAAAAAACTAAATTAAATATTTAGAAAAAAAACTAAATAATTTGTTTCTTTTAGTATGTTATGAAAATGATATAATTTTTTAGTTTTTTGTATTTTACTTATTATTTTCTCCATTAAAATTTTGCAGCATTAATTTTCGACAAAGCATAATAGTTGAATCACTTGTATGTGACAGTCTCTTTTATAAGTATAAATTTTGCAAATTGGATTTATTTTAGAAATGTTACTTTTTATTTTTTTCTGTTTGAAAGAAGAGTTTCATTTTTTTTTTTTTTTCATTAGAATATTGCAAAATTGAGGTTGAATAATTTTTTTGAAAAGCATCGTTCTTAAAATCAAATTTACATAAATTTTTGTCAGATTTATCGTGCTATATAAATAATTTAATTTTTTTCCAACAAATTAACGTCTGACGTCAATTTTGAACATTTTGATAATAATTCTCCCTAAAAGTCCAGTCTTTTAAATATACAAAAGAAAAATGAATTTTGAAACCAAAATTCATTTAGAAAAACAATTCCGCTCGATTGACTCGATTAGATCGCGATTTTTTGCGATGCAACTGATGACATCAGTACTGTGGATTAGGTGAATTTCTCTGAAAATTGCTGTGCTGATTTTGTTGAATTGGTCCAGCAGGACTTGGCCTTCCATCTCTATATTGAGGAGGACATGGTGGTCCATTTAGTAGTGGTGGAGGTGGTCCAGGTGTTTTTCCATAATTTCCCCTATTTGAACTCTGATAGCTGCCATAAGCAGAATCATCACTACGTCTTGCAGTGTGACCATACATACTTTCCGGTCGTCTTGAACTACTGCCATTGTCACTTGTATTAAGTGGTCCATTAGCTTGATTTTGATTTTGATGATTTTGAGGAATTTGTGGTGTTGACGATTGACTTGGTGTACTTTGTTGAGAACTTTGCCTCTCTGGTGGTGGAGCTGGTGCTCGTCCATAAATATTCGTTCCAGTTGAAACACCGTAAACGCCATTATCCCTAGTACTGAGACTTGTTGAAATTCCTCTAACACCATAAATACTTTGAGTACATTGTTGTAATTGATTTTGCATATTTTGATTTGTACTGTTATGATTTTGTGATTGACTTTGAGTATTGGTTTGTGAACTTTGTGAATTTTGATGATGATGAGGTGTTGTTGTTTCACGATTGATGAAATTTTGCGAGGTGTGTGTACCAATTCTTATTGGATATAGGCTTTGTGCTGGAACAAGGGGTCCTGGTTTTGGGAACATTAGGCCGTCCCTGGTGCCTGATGTGGATTTAGCGTAGACGCTTTGAGATCGGTTCAAATTAGCCCTGGTCAAAGGTGGGGATTTGCAGTAGAGGGATTTGGTGCCACCGTAAATGGACTCGACACGTTCGAGGGCTGATGGCGGAGGACTATAGATTGAGGACGATGCACCAGCAACGGGTCTATAGGTCGCGTATGTTCCAGGGAATTTTGGTCCTGTTTGTTTGTCCAAGTCGTCGTAGGTGTCCTCGTCTGATCGAATCGATGAATTATCACCGTCGTCCATCTCACGCGAGTCTCGTGATCTTCTTGGATTTAGAACGTATTCGTGAAGGAGAACTGCTATTGCTCCACCGGCTATTGGACCAACCCAATACACCCAATGGGAGTCCCATTTGTTCATGACAAATGCCGGGCCCAATGCTCGTGCTGGATTTAAATTTGGATTCTGTAATGATAATAAAAATTCACAGTTAATGATCAAGTGATATGTTTTGTTTTATATATGAGTTTAACTTTCTCCTCACTTCTAATGTTAAGGTTCGAACTTTAATTAACATTGTCTTGTATTTCTTTATTTTTCATAAATTATTAGAGAACTATGTAAAAATTAGACTTTTTTTTGGTGCGGTTTTTGTTTGAAAAAGTAAAAAATGACCACAGCTTAATAATGAGAGAAAGATAAAAGAAAAATATTTAAAAAATAAAATACAATGGAAGATAACAGTTTTCTCGTGAAAGCTGAGAAGTTTGTTACAACCAGAATGCATTCTATTTCTGGCAAAAGTTGGGGACAGTTTCCGGCTAGCGAGAAGCTACAGTGTTTCTCCATTCTTTGTTTGTCAAAGTGCCAAAATACTTAGACTAAATTTGTACACAATATTTTCTCTATATTCTGCAAATTCTCGCTCAATAAATTTCTACTCAGTAAAGCAAATAGTGTGACAAGTTTCAGGTCCTTGCCAATTTGTAGATGACTTTATAATTTTCATTAAACTATACAGAAATACTTTAAAAAATTAGAATTTGAGTGTTGTTTTATAAAATTAAATTAATTTTACTAATATCCAACTAAATTTTTTTTTTATAATATAATTTACTTGTTTTTATCGAATCGCTCTATTTTGTTTTTATTTGATCGTGAAGCAATTTAAAATTTGAAAATTCCAATGTAATGCAATATAAAGAAGGTATTTTGTTGAGTCTGCTGGTCAGTTTTTACTTTTTCGGAGGCCATTGTACGATTTCGGCCAAAGCAGGTGGGCCGCAAAGGCCCGAGTCCTGTTCGGTGGCAGGTGCTCTTTTCAAACACGCATGAATTAATTTTGCGTTTGTGTATTCCTTACACATACCCACACTTGTAGGATTGCATACTAAAAATCGAAAAAGAATGAAATCCTTTCAATCTCACTCTCGTGGCATCCCGTGCGTTTATTGTTATTATTAAATTTTCATTCACAATCAACAATTATTCTTTTCATTCTTTCTCTATAGGATATAATTATAACTTCGTTTCAAGGTTTCATTAATTTAAAAAATAAAATTTCTTTTCTTTTATATCATTAATTATTCATTAGTAAGAATTCGATAGTCATTAATTTACATAATTCAGTGAATTTGTCTATTTAGATCTAAATCCTTATGTGTGAATTGTATTAGGAATTATTTAGTATAATATCAGTAACTATAATTTAACTTTAAAATGCTAAAAGAAAAATACTTACATGAACAAGAGTCGCTGATGCGTATGCTGCAGCTAAAACAGCAGCAGGTTTGGTTGTTAAAAATGCGGGCAAATTTCTTCTTGAGTCGGCAGTGAAATGGGCCAAAACAATTAAAATTGAAAGAGATAATTCGACTAGTAGTCTTTCAATTGGACCCGCCAATCTTCCGGATTGCGTTGCAGTATGAATTGTCACTCTGAAACAAAAAATTATACTTCGTTTACAAAAAAATTCAATTATTATTTTGCTGTACGAAATTCTTTTAAGTTCTCATAAACTTTTATTTTTTACTTTCTCATTGTTTCACATTATTTATTATATAATTACTGGTATATACTTTTTGCTCATTTATTGTTTATCATTAAATGATTTACTTATATAAAAATTTTCAAACTTTCAAACTTTCAAATTAAAATCTGTTTTCCTCATTCACAAAGAGATTATACACAACAAAGAAATGCTAATTTCAAAACCTGTTAAGTTGTGGCAAAAGTTTCAATTTTCAACGATGATTATCTCCCCTTAATTTTAAGATCTTTGGCTCAACTTTTATATATACGCGCGCAAGAAAAGAACTCTCTCGACGCAAAAAAGCTTCTGTTAGGCCAATAAAACAAGTGCTTAACAAAAAGAGAAAAAAAAAAGCAATTGTTAGATTATAATATAAGATTAAAGAGACCGCCCAATTGAGCACCCTTCGTATATATATATATTTTTGTGGGTTGACCCCCCTCTCGTGCCCCTTAAAAAAAAGGAGAAAAAATTATATCGATCTGGCTTTAAAAATTCGCTCGCATATGGTTGGCCTTATGGAAGGTAAGAGACGATCGAAAGAAAGGAGAGAAAATGTATGAGTTACAAGACCACAATAATATACGATGATTTTTCCATTCAAAGAGTGAGAGAATGAGAGTGGGTATAAAACGAACCAAAACCCCCTTGGGGTGAATTTCAGTCCCTGTGGTGTAATGTTTATATTAGCCGGTGCATCGACACTCCCCCAAAGAACAAAAAACGCGTCAATTTTCTCAGCCCATATAATCATACGGGGTCACAGAGAATAAGTGAACTCTTCATAAATCCATTCCAAAGTGCTCATTTTAATGTTTGAGAAAAGTTTCGGGTTTTATTTATAACCATGTTTTTGGCACCGAAATCTGCACATATTTGAATAATAAACCAATTATGTGTATGCGAATCAATAATGTTGTTTTTTTTTTTGTAAAATTTATTGCTTGTATTTTCTCTCTAAATTTAAATTAGTGAAAATTGAGCTACTAATGCACATTGATAAGAATTTTTACTAATTTTTTGTAAAATATTACTATTTGTAGTAGTTTAAAATTTTTTTTACTAAATTTTTAGTAAGTGACTAAAAATGACTAAAAATTAGTGAAAATTCCTACTAATTTAAATTAGTAGCTCACTTATCACTAATTCAGATTTAGAAAGTTTTGGTATTGTGGCTCGTTCTTTTTTATATGTCGTTTGATTACTTCTTTTTACTTATACATGTATAAAATCGCAATCGAATGTTTTGTTCATTTTCCTACTATTTTGTTTAATTAAAATGTTTTGACTCATTAAATATATAAACGAGGATTGTATTTTATTTTACGCTTCTATTAATCAATAAATTCGCGATTTTCGCCAATTAAATTTACTTGGGTGAAATAATTAGAGAATATATATATATATTTTTTTTATATTATAGTGTTATTCAACAGTTCAAATTCACAAAAGTTTTACATAATATTTACATTTACAATAGCATGTGAAAATAAAATTGAAATAGGTATGCAAATTTTAAAATACAAGTGTAGAAAAAAAACGTAATCCGCGTTAATTCAAGTGCATACTTTTGTGCCATGAACGTCGAATCTATTTAATAATCAGAGAGAAATGAATCAGTTAAAATGTAATTATAAAGACTCTTCCAACCGCAACATCTCGAAAGGATTACATATATAGAGGGTCTTTTAACGACTGTGTCCCATGGGTTTCAGGTGGAGGGAGAGTGGGAGGAAATTAAATTCCCCCCACCTGTTTGAGAATATATATATATATATTTCGACTGTGTGCAGTATAAAGAAAGCTAACACCCATCGCTTGAAACAAACTCTCAAAGTTAAAGTGAAAATACTGGGTGTAGACAAAAAACAACACACTAAAGCAGACCGTGGGATAATATCAGTAGTATGAACTTGAAACGAAAAAGCCCCGTTTATTGACCTCGTGACTGCATCTGCATCAAGGGCAATTTTGGTCCTGTTGATATTTCTTAAGTATCACGTACAAATATATATAGGGATGCTGTGTACGATCGTAAAATTTCACTCCCCCCCTCCCTTGTGTATTTAAATATATGCGTATTCTATTTATACTTTTGCCCCAGAATTGAAAAAAAAAAATCCCTCGAGTTCTCTTTTTTTCACCGAAATGTGGCACGGAAGTTTACTGTGGTTGTCACATGGGAAAAGAATTATGTAGAGGATTCAGTCCCTTTTTTTCCGGGAAAGGGAAATCCGCTTATCATCCCAGGGATTTTAGTTTTTAGAAAGACAGAGAGAATAGAGAATCCATGAGAATGAGAGAGGGTGGAACATTTTTGTTGATTTGATTATACTTTTTTTTTATCGTGATCTGCATTTCTGATTTCATCAATTCTCGGTGTCTGATGACGATCGATTTTAAAGAGAAAAGAGCTTTGAAGAGGATCTTCATTTGCATGAATCTATATATGGGTATAAGTATAGCGCAGGGATAGAGAAGAGATGCTCTTGGTATAAAACAGAGTAGGGACATTGTTCGAACCCTAAAGTAGCGTTTAAAGCGAGATTAAGCGTGTTTGGTTTTGCATGCACGTCATCAGCTATTATATACGCGACAGATTGTTACGCTTGATGTCTTTTCGCTCAGGTGATTCTTCCTTCAATAAAAAGTAAAAAAAAAAAAAAATTTATATCTGATGCTGATCACATCTAATCAATCTCACTTTAACCCCGTTTTGTGTGAGACGATTATTTTTCATCAATTTTCTGGGGGATTTCAGTTTTTTGTAATACCTAAGCTTGTCACCTGAGAATTCACTTTTTGATGAAATATTAGAAAAAGAAGAAGATGAAATATTTCAAATTGGATGTTGGCTGACATTTTGTCGATGTATCAAACATTGATTATGGTTTTGTTCTATAAATTGTTCTTAGTTGGAATGAAATTGAAACCGTGTGCAAAATCTCTGTTTTTGGGTATAAATTAATGAAATTAAAATTATGACAAACAATATGGAACATATTTCTCTTTATCAAAATTAAAGTTTTCATCTGTAAGGGAACTCGGACATAAATCTAGTTTAAGATGTAAAGCATAGCTGATCTGACAGTATAATTATAAATATATTATTATTGTTATTTTTTCTAATTATTTTGTCACGCTAAGAAAAATATGCTGCTAATTGAAACCACAGTATTTTCGTCTGAAGCATAAAAATTATTGATTCATGCTAGACTGGCATCTGATCACCTGAGAATAATGATATCTATTATTGCTGTTTTTCTTAATAATTTCAATAGTGGCACCTGCGATCGCATTTACATAAAAATTTCGAGGCAACGAAACATTGTCAAGTTTAGATATAAGAAAATAATGAATGAAAAATCTCCTGCAACATGAATTTAATCTTTCCTGATGCACTTGACTCAAGAGCCTAGTGCAACCTGTGCTCTATTTTCGCGATTCACACGCGAGGGGGCGACCCTTTATATAGTAAAATGGAGCGATACATTTTAAATAAATTTCGATTCAAGAGGTATAGAGTCGCCCCTCGATCGTGTTTAACGAGCTATTGATACCCCCTTCTTGTATTATACTATGATGTGATACATCCCCCACTGTGTATATAAAAATGAGAGGAAGCGGGGGTCTCGAAAAGTCCAGCAGCAAATCAACTCTTGCACATACATAGAAACACATTAAGGTCCATCAGACAATGTCCGAACCCCGTAAGAGAGAGAAAGAGAGAAAAATGTGTGCACATGTGACACGCGTGTAAAATCGAGCGATGCTGCTTAATCGACAAAGTCGAACTAATATGACCCATTATAAAGTTTGCTCTGGGAAATTTGGGGTCAAAGTACAAGAGCGTCCGAATAGCATTGTGGGAACGCTTGCATGTTATACTCGACCCTTACAATCTTATGGCAATTCAGAAAGACTCCCACACCCCCTCCCTGTACACTTTTTCTGCATCTTTTCTATCCTTTTTTTCTCTCGTTTTCTTGATCGCTTCTCCTTTTTTTTTGGTCTTCCTCCTTCTCTCTTGCATCGCTCAACCGAATAGAGAATGCCCGAGAAACTTGAAGATCAAGAGAACCAGAACCGAGCAATTTCCTGTGTATAAGGTTATGGCTTTAAGGTCGATCCGGGCATGGCCCCAAGTCTCACAATACATTAAGGAATTCTTTTTGGTACCCCGCTTGAATTGTGGGAGGCTGCATCAGAATCTCAGCATCCAACACAACTTCCCCCTTCAAATGGGAATAAGAGTTTCTGTATATGTGTGTGAAGAAGGAAGAAGAAAATAAAAAGACATCAACACAGGAAACGCGCAATAATAAAAACGTCTCTGTGTTGTCTGATATAAATCTTGTTCCCCAGTTCCTTCTTTAGGTTTTGATTTGTTCTCCATATTTATATATATTAGAATCATCCAAATATACTTAAATGACATATTATGTAATGATTAATATTAATAAGGCGGCATACACTGTTTTAAAATCAATTTTGGTTAAAATCACTTACGTTTAAATAACGACTGTGAATGTATAGATAAATGACTTTAATTGCAGGTATATCGGCTTATTTTTTAAGATTAAAAAATTGTGACAGTGCCGAGCAGTGCTGATGATCTTACAAATAATATATTATTATTATTATTGTTTTTCCTAATTATTATATCAGTGGCATCTGCAATTGTAGATGAACATCAATCTCCAATGGCATAAAAATATTTTTAATGTAAAAGCAAATAAAAATATTTGTATCAAAAATATATAAGATACAAAAAGAAACTAAGACTTTTGTGAGTATAGAATTTCCAAGAAATGTGTAGAATCAGTACGCTTTTCTTTGAGATACGAATTACGAATGTGTTCATGTAGAAAATGTGTTTGCTTCAATTGAAGATTTCAGAGGTAT